CCACGTTTACACGCAAGAATAGGAGCTCAACGATGACGATATATGATGAACAAAATACACACCACTTTCTACCATTTTTGTCAAGTACCAGCGCTGTGGCTCTGCTGCCTTTTCAACCGAAGCGTCTTTCTCAAGGGAACTCTCTGAATTGCCAGGATGCTCTAGTTTGGGAAAGATAAACAGAGGGCTCCTCCACAGCTCAGTAGCTAAGTGTTCAAAGTTGCTTCAGTAGGAAAAGCAGTAAACCAGTAATGATGCCAAGCGTCTGACGCAAGCTCATCGTCTCAAAAGTCTTCTTGTAGTGGAGCAGGATTTGGTGTTTTAATATATTCTTTGAGGTAGCTCCTCACTGTTGAGCAGATAAACAGGATGCTGTATCTTATTGTTTTATTTCGCACTAATGTCAATACTTTTTGGGAGCTGTCAAATGGACATTTTGTTACATTTGGAAGGAAATGAACACGGGTGTATTTTAATTGCAGTGAGTCAAGGTGCTTCACAGTTGCACATATGATACAAAACCATGAACTACAACAAAAATAACAGCATACATGCTCCTCTGAAAAAGCCCTAAAAACTTTCCTGAGCGGTTCATAGATTTCTATGTCTGTGCCCACACCCTTGGCAGAGTCGTACCTTTGCCCATTTTCCAGGGTGGGAAATTTTCTATGAGCTTGACGACATTGACACAAAATATAGATCTTTATCCTCCATGAAGAACTTGGTTCCACTTTTGGTTCCTTGGCCAGAGTTCTTTCAGTAAAAAACTGATGACATCATACAAGCTCTACTTTGTTCGTTTTCTCGAGGAAATCCAGACAGCTTGTTTCAGTGACCTGGAATGGAAAAGTAACAACAACAAAAAAAAAAAAAAGAAATTCAGATTCAGCAATACTATAACATATAACTCGGTTAAGCAGTCTGGGAACAGCTGAACAAGAGGATTACGAAACAGAATTGGCCCGTCATCTGTGCCTAATCCTCATGGCTTTTGAGGTGTGGTGGAATTACAAACACAAACATGTTCCTTAATTTTTTTTGTTGCTCTGATTTCAGGCGCCTATGTTAGAAAAAAAAAAGGGCGCTCGGTCACTTCACATAGCAACGGTCACAGCCTCGCTGAGGAGGAGCGTCGATGACTAACTTCTCTCTGACTTTTCTTGTGATCTGTGGGTTTTCTCTTCTCTTCTCGAGTGTAGGAGTGAAACAGAGCCTGTGTGTGAAGAAAGACAGATGTACGTGTTTGTGAGAGAGAGTTTGTGCGTGAGCGTGGACCGGCCTGTCTTAATGCAATAAGTGTTTGGGGTTATGGGATATTGATGTGATTGAGCGTGGTCTGGAGATGGGAGAGTTTAGATTTATGCCAGTCTGAGCCAATGAATGAAAAAACTGAATTACATTAGATTAGTGTCAAAGTTGGCTTCCCAGTGTACAATTCAAATGCATACAGTACACTTTATTGCACACCTACACAGTTTAACACAATCCAACTGTCCAACAACTGGTCTGCCATAAAGTCTATTTATGACGCCAGTAATGTAATAAAGATGTTAATTATGCTTTAGCATTGAGGTCATGGTTGTGGTGTTGAACTGAGCTGCACTATGTTCAGAGGTGTTTCTTATATCCTGACCTCTCATGTATGTAGACATGAGAGATATGAAGAAAAAATGAGGAACACCTCTCAGTATATTCCAATCCAGTACAACACCACCATTTAACGAATTAGCACGTTTCTGACGACTAAAAACTGAACATTACAAACTTCTTTGTAGAGGGCTGGAGACAGGACAGGTTAGCTTAGCATTAAGACTGGAAACAAGTAGAAACAGCTAGCCTTGTTCTGCGCAAAGGTAAAAAACAATTCCAACTGCCAGCAAATCTAAAGCTCACTGATTAATTTCGTTGCTCTAAAATCATCAAGATGTGGTTTTGCAGGAGGTCATGTGCCGGGCTATTTCTTAGCTGGGAGCAGTTACTTGAAGAAAAATAGTTTGGCGTGGCACACCACCATAACTTATAGCAGCGGTTCCCAACTTTTTCCAACTAAAATAATGGGTCCTTTTGACTCTCTTTCCTTTTAATTCTTCCTGTTGCTAACCAGCTCTCCATTTTCATACTCCAGTTTTTGCCATGGATGTAATCTTTTAGCGCGCAATCAGACAAACAAGTATACAATGTGGTCCAGCCAGTGACAATGTAAAAGTTCCTATCATTGGTTTATCACAGTGATAGGACATCTTTTCACCAAAATTACACTGTTTTATCGGCCCACTTGCAATACTATCGTGACCCACAAGTGGGGCCGGCCCATAGGTTGGGAACCCCTGGTTTAGGGGGTTTTGATATCAACCATGAAGCAGAGTATCCCCAGTGTGAGTCCAGCCAGCGACCTTTGTTGCATCTCTCTCCGTCATTTCCTGTTGTCTCTTTATTGTTTATAATAAAGGCTTAACATGCTCAAAAAATACTTCACAACAGACAAACAAAAAAAAATATTATTCAACTATTCTCATTTTTACACTTTGATTTTTGTAAAGCTTAAACAAATGTTTATTAAAGGGCTTACAAGGAACTAGTCGGCGGATTTTGTGACCTTTCGACAGGACCAGGCTATCTGTTGAGTCTTTATGCTAAGTTAAGCTAACCCTCTTCTGGCTCCAGCCTTACATTCACCATATTGATACGAGTGATATTGATCTTCTCATCAAACCAAGTGGAGGACGTCGGTCTGCGGGCGATGTGACCGGTCGAGAAATGTGATGCATTCTCAGGAACTGTTGGGGCAAATCCAATCAGCTGTTTCTCCTGTCCCTCTTCTGTTTTGTTTCTAGTCGCGCTGACTGATCAGCACCAGCTGCTGCTCTCCCTCATACACTTCACATGGCCACTGACGCTGAACACGAGCGTTTGTTCTGTAACAAATGTTTTCTAGAATAAAACCTGGAACACTGTAAGAAGCAAAAGTATGAATGCTAGAATTAGACAAAGGAGTAGCTCGTCACAGCTGGGTTCACTCCCAACATGCGCTCGCTCACTTGTGGATGCTCTGCCAGTGTAAAGCTGAGGACAGTGTTGTTCTTTCTTTCACCGAGAGAAAGAGAGCAAAATGATGGAGGGAGGGGGGTTGAATGAATCGTTTATATAATATCTCTGAGAACACTGCTCACTGCTCTCTTTGTGTTTTGCCAGACAGCAAGAAAGACTGTCACTTCTGATTTGTTTATATGTGCGTGAGTGTTGAGGGGATGCACATTCACTCCTGTCTTTGTGCAGGTTCAGTTTTCCTTTACAGTGAAGCTGCAATGAGAAGAAATGTGGCAGTCTGGTGCGTTGCAGTGCGTCTTTGCCTCCTCTATCACCTGTTTGACTCCGACGTAGAAACCCACCACCCCGAAAGTGGCAAGCCGCCAACAAGGGCTCCGTGCCAGCCAGTCAGACTCTCAGTGACAGACAACACAGAAACGAGGTGTCCGAGAGAGGTATTTAGCGATTGCGTGAGTGAATGCTCGTGTGTCCTGAGCGCCCCCGGCCTTTGTGGTCAGCTGCCAAGTTTTCAAGGGCAAAGACGCCATAGTCTGTGTGAGGGGCACGGGCTGGTTGTGAGGACATGGAGGCCGAATCCGAGAACCCTGGCAGTGACTCTAGAATAAGTGTGTCCTCTGAGATCAGTCATAGTGTCGAATTTTTGTTATTTTTTGTGTTCCCCTCTCTGTCTGCAATCTTAGTTTTCCCAGCTTCTGTCAAACATAATTAGGGCCGCAATTAACAATCATTTTCATTATCGATTGATCTGCTGACTATCTATCTTTTTGATTAATTGTGTTTATGCTGATGGTTGCCAAAAATAGCCTGTTCAGTATAACGCAGTACAGTTCAACGGAATCACAAACGGCGGCCTCCAAAACTCAGTGTAGCATTTACCTTGCAGAGATCTTTAGCGTCTCGACTGAGGCAGAGAGAATAGGTGATCAACAAGAGAAGACACTTGGAGTAAGTCTTGAAAGTGTGTTGTACAACAGTTGAACACAGAGCTGCTGTATAGATTCTTCAGGCCTTTACTTTGTATTCACATCCAGCAGAGCCAGCGTCAGCCTGGATCCATGTGAAGGCCCATTCATAGTGAGGCTGGCACGCAAGCTGAGAGTGGACGTCGTCACTCCTCCTCTCCTCTCCTCTCCTCTCCTCCTCTCTCCTCTCCTCCTCTATCCTCTCCTCCTCTATGCTCTTCTCCACTCTTCTCGCCTCTCCTCTCCTCCCTCTTCTTGTCTCACACTTCTCGTCTCTTCTTATCTCTTGGTGTGCATCACTTAACAGTAAAAGTATGTGCTGTACCTCGCACTGACTGCCTCCCTCCTCCTCACTCACATAGTCTCCCGTCTTCCCTCCCTCCTCTCTCTCTGTAACCTCCATGCATCGGATGCTGTTACACAATCAGTAGCTGTCCCGCTTTTATTTTTGCCGTCACAGCACCACCTGATGGTGAACAGTCAAAATGGTGAGCTGATGTAACAACATCGTATTTGCAGTAATAACAGGACCAGTACAGCTTAATGTATTATATCTGCACATAAAATGTTCAGATATATATATATATATATATATATAGTGATACAACTAATTTTCATTTGTTTTTTTATTTTTTAAATTATTAATTGTCAGAATAGTTGCCACTTAATTTTCTCTCGATCGACTAGTTCATTTTTCATCTAGTTGTTACAGCTCCTTATGTACAATGATTACACATTTTTTATCCTATTTATTGATTACCCGAAATAATCAGGAACTCTTTTGATGATTGATTAATCGTTTATTAATTTTTAAAGTGAAATCCCCTGGTTATTGCTTCTAAAATAGAAGGATTTCATGCGTTTATATCATGACAGCAAACCTTTCACTATTTTGTACACGTTGCAGTGAGACTCAACACTGCCGTCATACTTAGTTCCTAAACCTAATTCATCAGTCCTCCGTCTTGCCCCTCTCTTCATTCTCTCCAGGTCCAATCAGCAGTATCCTTGTGAACAAATATGGCAGTCGGCCAATCATTATACTCGGTGGCTGTCTGGCAGGGTCGGGTCTGGTCGCGGCCTCCTTCTGCAACACTGTGGAGCAGCTCTACTTCTTCATAGGAGTAGTGGGAGGTCAGTATTTGACCCACTTCCAACATTAATGTTCCCTTTGAAGTTGATGTCGCGTGATATTTCTGTATGTTCTTTTGTTTGTGTGATTTCACTGATTTCACCAAACAGAGTCCTGCTGAAGCAGATTGAGTTCTTGAGTGTTAAATTCATAACAAATAAAACATAAATATGTTTTAATTGATTGCTGTTAATCATTTAATCATGAATATTTAATGTCATAGAAAAATACTTGAGCAAAGTTTTCTTTAATGTAATGTAACATAGGAACCAGTACTTGCTCCTTTCAAAGACTCAGTTCATCATCACTTTTTTCTCTCCCTCCAGGTTTGGGACTGGCGTTCAACTTGAATCCAGCCCTCACTATGATCGGTAAATACTTTTACAAGCGCCGGCCCATCGCCAACGGGATCGCTATGGCCGGCAGCCCCGTGTTCCTGTCCACCCTGGCTCCTCTCAACTCCTGGCTCTATGATGAGTTTGGGTGGAGAGGCAGCTTCCTCATCCTGGGCGGACTTCTGCTGAACTGCTGCGTGGCCGGTTCCCTCATGCGCCCCATCGGCCCCAAACCTCAGCCGGCAAAGCCTGACTCGGAAGCAGGTGAGGGCAAGGCGGTGGATTCAGTGCAGCCGCAGCCCAAGAAGACAGTCCTGCAGACCATCAACTCCTTCATCGACCTGACGCTGTTCAAACACCGCGGCTTCCTGCTGTACCTGATGGGCAACAGTGTCATGTTCTTCGGCCTCTTCGCTCCGCTTGTCTTCCTCTCTAATTTTGCCAAGAATAAAGATATCAGCAAGGAGAAGGCGGCTTTCCTGCTGTCAGTGCTGGCATTCGTTGACATGTTTGCTCGGCCCTCCATGGGCCTGCTGGCTAACACCAGGTGGGTCCGGCCTAGGGTGCAGTACTTCTTTGCTGCTGCTGTCCTTTACAACGGAGTGTGTCACGTGCTGGCGCCGCTGTCGGTGGACTACACTGGATTTGTAGTGTACGCCATCTTCTTTGGTTTTGCATTTGGCTGGCTGAGTGCCGTGTTGTTCGAGACACTGATGGACCTGGTGGGAGCTCAGAGGTTTTCTTCAGCCGTGGGTCTAGTCACTATAGTGGAGTGTGGACCAGTGCTGCTCGGCCCACCGCTAACAGGTAAGACCAGCATGCCTCGGGGGGGGGGGGGGGGGTTGTTCGGGGGAGAGGAGTAAGGTAATTAACTCTCCTGCTCTCTTCATTTGCTGCAACAAATGTTGAATCTGAGTCTCTCTTCTCCACCTCCAGGTACTTTCTATAACTACTACAACCACTATAGCTACACCTACATCACCTGTGGCATCATCCTCATGGTTGCAAGTGTGTTCCTCTTCGTGGGAATGGGCATCAACTACCACCTGCTGGAGCGAGAGAGGAAAGAGGAGGAGAGAAGAGAAAGAGAGGAGCCCAAGGAGGAGCGCACCGCCATGTTGGCGCCCCCCTCTCCGTCTAAATCGGACGAGGAGGCGAACGAGGAGAACAGTGTACCGGCCGCTGTCACACTGGATGACGTCGCCAAGATGGATGAGGACACGGTGTAGGAAAAAAAAAAAAACAGACTTGAGAAGGATGCACACACGGCATCGCACACTTTGCAGAAACACACACGAAAGTTGCAGTTACTCAGTGCAAACCACACACTGTCTTTATAGAGTGATAATACCCTTGTACACAACCCTGAAGCCATAGAAACAATTATTTTTATCATTCAAAACTGAGACCTGTTGCTGTGACATGAAGCTTAGCCGACCGTAAAGCTCGTCAAGCAGCGTTTCACTGCGTTGATACCTCTAGTTCTGGTATTTGACGTGCCTTTGGTAAACCTCAAGTCCTCCAGGAGCACACGCATCGCTTACACAAACACCAGATAGACGCACAACAGACGGAAAGACTGTAAGATAATAGTCCAGTAAACTAATGAGGATTTTACTCTCAGGGTCTTCTTGCGAATCGCTCGGCCTCGACTCCGCTTTAGTCGAGCCGAGGCTCCGAGTCAAACCGTACGTTTTGTTACAGTACTTAAGAGATACTGTACATTTCCCCCTCTCATTCTGCATGCACACACTTGCGTTGCTTCACTCCTCAAGGGCTGGACATAAATTAAAAGGACACATTCATAGTATCATACATGCAGTGATAGTATATCTGTCTGTTCACGTTAGAGTGGAATTAATGACATTTCCAGGTTTTTTTTATGCACATTTATGCAGAACACAAAAAATATGATTAAAATTTTGAGTAAAGAGAATTCAGAAATTTCATTAGTACACAGGGAGAAGCGATGTTGATGATGACAGCTGTAATATTTAGTCAAGAATATAAAACTGAGAAATGTTTAAAAACACAAAGATGTTGGAAAATAAGGAAGTTGAAAACTAATGTAGGAATGAAACTAGGCGGTTACAATGCTACTAACCTGCAGTGTAGAAGGCACCTTTAATGGTGTGCTTGTACATACATATGTGTGGACTTGTGTGTGTGTGTGTGTAATTTTGTATCATACACCCTCCAACCAGAGCAGCTCGTCACACACAGTTTTATTGATAAATGACGAGACACATTTCAACAAAAAAAAAAAACAACACAAAAGAAACAGTCACTCAGTTGTGCTCGTCCGCCCCGCAGGTCTATCTGCTGTGCAACCAGCAGGATGAGACGACTCGCAGTATTAAATGACCAGAGTGGTGCCAAAATAGGAAGAAAACATCTCACTCTGAATCACACAAATATCCAAATTTTTCTTCATTTTGGATTATAGCACTTGCAGCACCCTGTAGTGTTGTTTTTTTTTCTAAATATTGTGAATAACACATTGTAGTTTACAATAATATCAACAAACCTTTGTGATTAAAAAAAATAATCTATTTTAGCTCAGTGTATAATGACAATCTGACAGCAAGTAATCTTTTTAATGGATCTGTAAGCAGATGTATTTGGAGAAAAGGAAGAGTGTGTGTGTGAGTGAGAGAGAAATGTGTGTGTTTGTTCGTGTCAGTGAACAGATTAAACTGTAGCCAGGTTTCATCATTTCATTTGTTTGAAATTCAGCAGCTGCACTATCAGCACGTCCTGCAGTTCGTCTCTGAACTGAACAGAATGTCTCATATCAGACCCACAATGTTTTTAGTTTAAAATCTATCACAGACACTCAACCATTAATTGTACAATGATCGGTGACTGGGTTTACTGTCAGCATGAACTGCTGATGTCCGTTGAGTAAAGTTTCTGTGTGCATAGGACATGAGACACATTCGCCCTCCTCAGCCTCAACAAGCTCTTTGTTTTTCATTACAGGAAAATAAATGGAGGTTTTAAACAATTCATTATTTGGTATAGATCTGTTGAATGTTGTTTGGTTTCATAGAATGAAATGATAGTTTTGAAGGAAGGCTCACTATTTTTCCTTTTTCCTTTTTTTTTTTTTTTTAACACTACAGACTGTGATCATATCTTGAAGTGGGAATAATGTGTACCTTTAGCTTCCTAAAAATACTTTAAAGGATAAGTTGGTTGATGTTCTGTATTTTTTGTCATTAAATCCCTTGAAAAGACCAAAACCAACAATGAATTGATCCTTCTATTAAGTAGGGCTCTGCAACTGACTATTATATCATTATAATTATTTTCATCTACTGATAATTTTCTCTGTTAATTGCTTGGTCTATGAATGTCAGTAGATGGTGACGAGTGTTTGACCAACAGTCCAAACCCCAAACATATCCAGTTCACTGTCAGAAATGTCTAAGAGAGCAAGCAAAAATTCACATTTGAGAAGCTTGAACTGTGAATTTTTGCTTCAGAAATGCTTCATGTGAACTGAAAAGTTTTTCAAAAATGAAACTTCATATTTTTGAATTCTTTTTAAACATTTACATCTTCAGTAGGAACCATTGGGCTCGTGGCTGAGGTGCCATAAGAGAATCACGAATGCATTGAGAGATGGATTGACTGTAAGTTTTGGTCTTTTTTTATGAGATTTGTTGACAATAACAAAAATGTAGAATATGACCAGTTTTATCTTTTATAATGTGAAGACAATTCTGATCAAATGAAAGATAAAAAAAAACTTTTGTATGGTTAGTTGCTCCAACACCTCTCTTCAGAGAAAAATGTCTGAGCAATAAGGCGACAGCCAGGGAGGCAAATCACATTTTCTGTTTAAGTGGGAATGTAAATTAATGTGTTCAAGGGTGTACGTTTACACTATATGCTACCTTTGTGTATTTTGAGAGCTCTTTTGGTAACTATACCATGACCAAATGTAAGTATTAGTTTCAAACCAATTACTTACAAAATAGAAGTTGTCGTCTAAATGTTATTTGATTTTGACAGAAGTCACTGCTTGTTGTTCAAAGGTATTGTTGGTACCAATGGGAGAATAGTTTGTCTCTCGCTCTACCTGAAGTATTCACCTGTTCATGTGTTTGACTTTTAGGTGGATCTCTGTTTGGGATAACGGACAGGTCTGTGTTTCAGTGGAAATAGAGAATTTTTTGCAGCCTGTTGTCTCTGTGTCCACATTCCCCTGCCTGCTCTAAAGCCATGTCTCAGTTACAGCCTGAGACTTATCAGGACTACTTCAAAACTAACTAAAACCTTCAGTTATTTTGCCTTTCAGATGAGTAATTAAAAAGAAAAATTGGCACTTGGAAAGACTGCAGCAAAAGCATTTCATTAAAAAACTTAATGTTAGTGTTTTCTGGTGCGGGAGTTTTTGAAAACGGTACTGTTCTTAGCCACAGCACCTTATTTTATGTTTGGAAAAAAAAGAACAAATCAAGTTTTAAGTTTCTGGAAAATAACTTTTTCTTTTCTTTTAGTTTCAGCAGATGTTTTTATGTTTCTACAGTGAGGTCCAAACGTCTGAGACCACTTTTGGACCCCACTGTATGTGTGAAGTGTATATGACTGGTGAATGAATGAATAAACAGTTTTTAAAACAAAACTCCTTCCATTTGTTTTTGTTCTGTCGAAAAATCTGATCTTTACTTCAGCAGCAAATGGAGAAATACACAGATACATTAACCATAATTACACTTTATAAAAGTTCAGTTTCAGTTTGTAACAGTAGTTGGACACTGGAAAATATGTATTTTCTTTCTTGTCCAGAGATCAATAATGGGAGGCTACCGTGCTTGCAGCAGTTTATTTTAGCATTATGACTAAACCGCTAACCTGGCACTATGGGAAAAAAAATCCGTTACGAAAATGTATACAAGTCACTAATTAAAAACGTTATGTTGTTCATTTAAGCAGCATAGAAACAAAGTGTAAGTAAAAACGACATTGCCATTTTAGGTGGGGTCATGTGCCCGACTGATTATAAGTTACTATCTAAAAGTTCCACTGGTTGCTTGGCAACGGCTCCAAACCAGGAAATAGTCTAGTAGTAACGAGGCCTCCAGTTTTTTCAATCTGCTTTTCGTACGAATTAATATTACGGAAGAGGATTACGGTCACGTGAAAAAAAAAAACTTTTGACTTTCCACTTTTTTTCACGTGTAGCCCTAATCCAATAATATATTCTGTAAAAAATATGAGGTATAACAGTCGGATTAAAGAAACGAGATATGATAGGCTCATTAGTTTGCCTTAAGATGGGCTTGGTTTTGTAACCTTTGGAAAGAGCCAGGGTATCTGTTTTCCCTCTTTCATTATGCTAAGCTAACCTTCTCGTCATCGTATAAGTAATGTTTTCTTCATTCACGGACAAGCTCTCATCAAGAAAGCGGGTGAGTGTATTTCACGTGTCCAACTAATTTATTCCTCTAACTATTTGAGTTCTGTGGTGTTCTACAGAGAATAGGTAAAAGATCATGCAGACTGTTGTGTATTAATGTGTGGCAAGGCAGGATTGTGGCGGATGTCTATGTGGTTCAGTAGTTGGAGGTGTGTGTGGCGGTGGAGTCGTTGGGTAAGGAGCTTCTGCGCTGTGTGTGAGCGCGGCAGAGCAGCAGCAGACGGAGCTCTGGAGAGACGCTGCTGGAGAACGCAGAGTAGATCCAGGGGTTGGTGCACGAGTTCAGACTGGCCAGCAGCATCAGCAAGGTGAACACCGCACCTGCACGCACGCACGCACACACACACACACACACATTGTATGCTTGTCTGTAGACTGCTTTTTTTCATTGCATGCTCTTCTGACTGAAATACTGTTAATAAATAGATAAACCAATTTCTGGGAAAGTATTCAGAAATAAAACATAATGGACTGTGCATTTATCAGGAGGGTGTCAGAAAAGGGGGGAGGTTATGTATTTTTTTGGTCCTGGGCTAAACTGAGATTGACATTGTAACATAAGCTGTCAAATAAATGTAGTGCAACAAAAAGGACAATATTTTCATCTGAAATGTAGTGGATTAGAAGTATAAATAGTAGAAAATGAGAGGCATATAGGAGGTAATGAACAACAGGAAATTACCATAACTGTGTGATGACTATATGGGTGTGTGTGTGTGTGTGTGTGTGTGTGTGTGTGTGTGTGTGTGTGTGTGAGAGTGAGTGAGTGTGTGTGGTTTCACCATTCTGAGGTGGGTCGGGGTCCCAGGCAGCCCACAGCTGAACACTAAAGAATGGGGCCCAGCACAGAGAGTAGACGAGCACTATGACCAGCGTCATCCTCACTGTCTTTGACATGGCCGCTGATACCTCCCCACCCCGGGCAGCGGGGGCTTTTGGCGGGGGGCAGCAGACAGCAGAGGGCGCTGCAGGGCCAGGCAGCACATCAGGCTGCAGCTCGGCTGACAGGGCGCACAGAAACAGACAGAACTTTAAAGGACCATAATGCAATTTCTGAAGGAATTAGTCCCTTCATGTCAAACTTAAATGTCAACTCCAAATACAATCACTGTCAAATACATCACTTCCTACCATTTCAAAGCACAACATGCTTTTTGTTTTTTACTATTAGTGAAAATCAACTTGTATGGACTTGTGACTTGCTCCAGATATGTACTCTATCCCTATTTTTAGATCATTTTATTATTCCCACAGAGGAGAATCTGTGCCCATGCACAGAGGCAAATAACACAAATCAAAGCAGACAACACAGAAAGACACACTCCCACAGCAGTAGTAACACTAACACACAAAGCATACAGATAATCTAAGCGCACATAGTAAGCTCAGGAGCCCATCTAGCCACTAAATAAAAAATCAATATATTAATATGATCAATCAATGAACACTTAAATAGCTGAACATACGTAGACAATAAAACACTTCTACACAAAACACAAATACACATGAAATAAAGCCTTAAAAATGTGCATGAGTAAATACAAAACAAATAGAAACCAGTTAATATCATATCTGCTTTGACACTTATTTTATTAATATATAAATATTTGATGGTACGTTGCTGAAAGGTCCTACATGAATTGCAGAATGTGGTGCCCTGATGATCACATTGTATTGCCATTACATTTTCACTTTGTTCATTCATTTATTCTTGTATATATTATGGAATATAGAGACAAAAACTGACTGATGAGAGGATCGATACCATATAGCATAAAAACTGTCCGCTGGCTCTGTCCAAAGATTTAAAAAAAAAATCCTCCTACCAGTTCAACTAAAGCTCTAATTAATACCTAATATCTTGTTCAATCTGTTTATGGGCAGTTGCATGCAGTGCCACTTGCGTGGCTAAAAATCCCATAAGACCCTGAAGCAGATATTTAAGATTATCAGGTAAGAACTTGAGGATCCATGAGAAGTGGGAAAAACAAAGTCTGCCAGAGCAGATTAAGATTAAGTGGCAGCAGTGTGTACTCGGTGTGGCTCTCACCGGGATGAACAGCAGTGTAGGTTTGATTATCACAATGTGAAGTGATGCTGTCGGACCTGAGCGGACCCAGGGGCAGGTGGTGATAGGTGGATGCAGGGTCAAAGCTGGTGTGACTGACAGGGTTGTTGTACATGAGGGGTGACACATACAGGGAGAGACTGGACCTCCCTCTGCTGCCTCCTCCTCCTCCTCCTCTCTGGCTGTCCCGTCTAGATGGAGGGAGGGAGGTGGGGGACAGGCGGCGCTCTGACTTCAGGTACAGATTGTTGTGGATCTCCTTGAAGATTCGCACCTGAGGGGAAAGGAGTAAGAGGCGGGGATTGATTGTGTGGTAATTTACAATTCTGGTAGTCCATCACATTGACTATCAATTGTTTTTAGAAGCATTGTTTATTTAAGGAGTAAATTCTATTGTGATCTGATCTGTTTCTCTCTACCTGGCAGACAGTGATGGTGAGGACTGGGAGGATGAAGACAGCCAGGGTCATCCAGGTCACGTAGGCTTTGAGGCCCCAGGACTCAGCAAAGTGTCCCCAACACTCATACACCCCTGGAGCCACTTCTGAACGGGAGAAGATGAAAACCTGTGGGGGGCAAAAAGGTGTGTGGAGGTGACGGTAAAGACAGAGATTTGAATGCCTATTTGTGTGTGTATTTGGTTGGTTCTATAAAAGGACAGAGGCTTTGTTGCAGTTTCATGCTTTTGGTTTTACTTTAAAATCATCACCAGGAGCATTTAGAGGTAAAACATTAGTTTTACCGTATATGTGAAATGGACAATGTGCATTGTTCAACATCACTGTAAATGTACCAGTGGTAGCCGAAAGGCTAAATATTCACTTTGACAATTGAACAAATGATAAAAAGCTAAAATAAGAAAAGCAAGTAACATGAAGAGTAGGAAATGTACATGTAGGAAATGCTAGCAGTTAAAACAAAAATGACAACATACAGTCATTTGACATCACAATCAGAAGACAGAGGTGGAACCATCAAAACTGTAAAAATAAAAAGGTCAAAGGACACATTCAAACAAAGGAGAAACACAAACTGAAAGCCAAGCAAATGAGAACAGAAGAAAGCACGCAGTGATTAGTGATGTTGGCTTCTCTGGCAGCTTTTTTACCAGGTTTTAAGATGATATGCAAAGGATGTATATTTAATGGGTGGATGTCCCAAAACTGGGAAGCTCTGACTGTATAAGAGCTGTGTGGCCAAACAATGGTTTCCTCCTTGGGATAACAACAGTGTGGGCCTGTGAAATCGTCAGCCAAACTTTAACTGAATAATCTGCCGGCACTTGTTTCCTGACACCTCTACCTGCTCCTGGTGGGGGTTTAAAGTAAAAAGCTTGACACTGCAACAGTGCCTCTGTATGTTTTTGGAGTAACTCTACTCTTGTATGTTTAAAGTATCAGTGGATCTCCTGGTGTTTTTATTATTAATCTTCCAGGCAGAACAGCTGCAGTGGTGCACATACAATGATCAAACTCTCAGGATACAGATTCATGCTTTGTCTCCCTGTCGTCCCGCCTGTGTCATCCTCCCTGTATAGTCCTACCTGTGTCGTCCTACCTGTGGCAGGCTGAGCAGCAGTGACAGCCCCCAGGCCAGCAGTATGAAGGTGTTCCAACGTTGGGTGGCCCCGCTGCGGTGCGCCTGCAGGGGGCAGCAGATTGCGTAGTGGCGGTCCATCGTCATGGCTACGATCATATAGGAGGAGGCGAACATCCCAAGCACCTGCAGGTACTTCACCAGACGACACACAAAGTCAGGGCCAGGAAAGCGGCCCTTGGCGTCCCAAACCAGCTGAGGCAACACCTCATAGAGGAAGAGGTAGAGGAAGAGGGGGAGGAAAGATGGGGTGAGATGTGGAGAAGGGGTGCCCATAGTGTTTGTGTGTATGTGTGTGTGTGTGTGTGTGTGTGTGTGTGTGTGTGTGTGTGTGTGTGTGTGTGTGTGTGTGTGTGTGTGTGTGTGTGTGTGTGTTACCTGGAACAGAGCCACCACCAGGTCGGCCAGACAGAGGTTCAGCATGAACTGGTGCAGTGGGTTATGGTGTCGTCTCCGCCTTAGCAACACCACCAGCACCAGCCCGTTACCGAGCAACGCCATCACCAAGATGACCGCCAGCACCACCACCTCGGCCACTGCCAGCAGGGTGTCACGCTGCCATCCTGTTACATTAGAACCCGCCGGAGTGACAGAGACCACCAACCAGTCGATGGACGGGTATGAGTCTGTTACCATGGAGACTGACATGTTGGCTAGGAGAAGAGAGGAGATAAATGCAGTGGTGGAAAGTAACACCATGTAATCCTATACTGTATTTATGTACAATTTTGAGGTACTTATACTTTACTTGAGTATTTCTGTTTAATGCCACTTTATAACTCTACTCCACTACTGTATAACTAATACTAAACCAGTGGCCAACCTTTTTGGTACAATATTTTCCTCTGAGATGTAGTGGAGTATGAAGCACTAAAATACTCAAGTAAAGTACAAGTACCTCAGGACTTAGTCACTTTCTACCACTGCCTGTTGATTTATTGCTTGATATTCCATCCAATTAGTGACTGCCAATTAGCAGTTCCCATCTTTTTTCTGTACTTCTCATGTTGCCAGAAATGATCACAGGACGTATTGTGGCCTCAGTGGTTATGAAACATGAGCGTTAGGCGGTTTACAGTTTGTGGATAATGACCATCTACAGGCCACTTGCTCCCCAAAGCATCGACTCTGGACGCGTCTATACGCCTGCACGTTCATGGTCAATGTTGGTAGCATGTCTATTTTAGCTGAGCATCTTTCTGCCTGTAAACGTCCTACAAACACACAGTCACACACAGCTAAAGTTAATAGGTGTTTATGTGTAGGGTCAGGCCTCCGTGAGCACATTAATTGCGAAACAATGAGACGTGACTCATGTTTACAGCAGTCCTTCACACACACTTACAGTTCAGCGCACACAGAAACGCACACAATCGCAGAGGCATGCAGAGAGGGCCCCTCATTTGGGACTGTTTACTGAGTGCAGATTCTAAGGTCAAAGTTGTTTGACCAATGTCCAGTGATCAACATCACACGGTCAGGGATTACTAAAAACTGCACTTGCTACTTGCTAGTGTTTCTCAACCTTGTGACCTCTCCACAGTAAAACACAGTTGGGCCCTGGTGTCATGTTTCAAATGTCTATGAGTTGTTAGCAGTTCCACTATTTGACATTTCCCATCTAAACTTCTCACATGGTTTCATTAAAATAACTGTTTGAGGCTTAAAGAGGTCAAATTATCCAGCAAACATTAGAGAGAAGTCCAGAAAATAGATACAAATTTGTGGCGCCTAACTTTTTTTTACATTATTATTGACACATTATTCAAGTCAAGTAACTGAGTTTTCAACAGGAAAAGCATAAATGAAAGAGAGCTGCTGACAGTATCATCTATCTGTGTTAGCACAAAACAGGTTTTCCAGTACTCTCAGCGGTCCTTAGGCTCATTAGTCTTGCCTTGAAAAATTGCTTTCCACCTTAATTTTGCCCCTAATACAAAACTTGAAACAGTTATGCAGTGAATTAAGATTTGAAAAATGGACTATGACCAAAAAAAAAAGTAAATGTAAAAAAAGATTGTGAGCCTGTAGCTTACAAAATGACAAGCCGTTCTTTCTTTTTATATTTCTTTTAAAAATAGTTACATAATCTGCTGGAATAAAACCTTTTAGTGGCACCTTGAGGATGTAATGTTTCATTTTGAAGATGAGAGTCTTATAGTAGTTCGTGCAGCCTGAAGATACAGTTTGAAAACACTTGGTACCTGCAGGTGCTAAATACAGAATCCATTTCAGCGCATGCAGCTGATGGTTGGATCCCTCCGAGTCTGTTTCTGAATCAACAATAGCACAACCAAGGCTGTTGACATCTTTTGGGTATGTTAATCCAATTAGAAGACTGGACACCTGCAGTTCAATACTAATTTTTTCTTTTCACAAACCAGAAAGCTAAACTTCTCTGTAAACCTGCAAGAGTAATTTCATCATTCTTGTCTTGATTGTTCCTGTCAGAAGTGGTTCTTGATCAACTTTAACGGATTCATTTATAGTCTTAACACCCAAACATGCACCTGAAACCTCTCCGACCTCATTAAAAGTAACAGCCGGTTCCTCCGATTTTCATTTCCCATTTCAGTGCAAAACGGTGAAAGAGTCGGGAAAATCAAGAGCGAAGTAAAAGCAGAGGTAGACGACTTACTCACCTCGTCCTCGTCCTCAGCGTCCCGTGAAGCATCTGTAGGAGCCAGGACAACCCGATCTGCTGTTGCACACACTAGCCGCATCCATGCTGTGTGTGTGTGTGTGTGTTTTCCTCTTGCTTAGCGCTCTGAGGGTGACCTCTGCCACCTCACGCTGCTGACTCCTGTCTCCCCATCTCCTCCCTTTCGCCCACTCTTCTCTCCCTCCTCTTTGACTCATCCCTCCCTCTTCCTGCGTCTCTTGAATATATTAAAAGCGGGAGAAAAGGAAAGACGGGGTTCTCAAGCGGGAAGCGGGTGTGTTAATGAAAGGACGTGATGCCCAGGCTTCGTCAGTGAATTAATGCAATTTCCTGCTGATTGTTCAGATAATAACCGTGTTGCTGTTGGCCCTACTTTGATCCACATTCAGTGCAGGACAGAAGAGCACACGAGGGCTGTACAACCAGCAGATCAAATGAGATCTCTGCCGTTAGCCTCCCTGAATGATCAAAGACCTCTCATACACACATTAAACTAATGTGCGCGTCTGATTTTTGCATCAGTGGAGGATGGAGAGGGGTGGGAACAGGCGGAGAGAGGCAGGAGAGGCAGTGTCAGATGTTGTGACAGATGGGATGTAAGGTTTCTTGGAGAGAAATGAGAAGGCAGCAACAAGAGGAGCGTTATCTTTCTCAACGGTGAGAAAGAGTCTCACCCCTGTTCCCTGTTTTTCCTCCCCCCTCTCTCCGTCTCCTGCATTCCACCTCTTTCTTTCTTTCTTTCTTTCTTTCTTTCTTTCTTTCTTTCTTTCTTTCTTTCTTTCTTTCTCTCTCTGACAGGGCAGTAATCTGTTTGCTTCCCCTCAATTTCCCCCTCATTTGGAGAAGCCTCTAATTATCGAGGGGCCCGCTGAGTGAGCTTAAACCTACACACAGAAACATGAACACGCTCAAACATGAGGCTCGTCTTTGCTCAAGCTGTTTCCTCTCATATCATGCTACCACAAAACAGATTTTCCAAATACAAGTGAACTTGATCAATGGACTTTAATTACTTGTAATTCAAGCGTAGATTCAAGCATTTGAGGTGTGGCTGTTGAATAACGAGACTTATGTAAGTTGATCCAGCATTAGTCTGATTATTTCATAGCCACACATCGTAGATCAAAGTCTGTAAGTAATAAGAATTAAATAGAAAAAGTACTGGATTAAAGTTTTTGTCCCTATCAGCAAATCCAATGAAAAGACCAAAACCAATGTTTTCGTCTGTGTCTCAGTATTTCTCTACTCTGTGACACTCAAGTCAATTCGTTCCTACTGAAGAAATTCATATTTATAAACAGTTCATGCAGTTTTTTTTTTTTTAAATCCTAAATTATGCCCTAAAACAGTTGAGCAAACACTACTCAGAGGAGGAAAGAGTGCATTGGTAGAGGCTATTTTCAGCAGCGGATTAATACGCATTTGGTGCTTCAGTGAATATTTCTGGCAGCTGAACTGGTGCATGTGGGTTTGAGTCAATAATAAACAACAGTCTGTACAGTATGCTCATGGTTCATTGATGTGCATTTAATGGTTTTTGGACAACAATGGAGTTCTGTGTCACCGAGGAATAATATACACCAGGCTTTGGATACACAGACGATACTTGTTAGTCAATCAGATCCAAATTCATGGTTGGGTTTGGTCTTTTTATGAGGTTTGTTGACTTTAATAAAAAATATAGAACATCACCAGACTTATCCTTTATGTAACTGTAAAATATTAGCAGTGAAATGTGTTTGAGTATTAGAGATTATGATTCTGTAGAAAAGCCTTATTGATGCATGTGATCCTGGTCAGTGCTGTTACGTTTTTCCTTATTCAAATATCCAAATACAGATCCCATGTTCATGTTGGGAGTAAATGGAGTCAAAGTTATTAGTCAAAATGTTTCTATCTGCTTCCCGTTATCACTACTCACTCATTCAGACCAAGAGATGTTACCCCTCACCCTCCTGCTCACTCTGACTCTCTGTTCACTCTGAAACTGTTTTTTCTGATCACTTTCAATAACAACACTGTTGGCTATATTTCAGACTCCTTAACCTGTATGAGTCTGTGCACACCTCATCACAGGTAAGTCACTCTGTCTGAACAGGAGTTCAGTATTGGAAAAAAAAAGTGGATAGAGGTTTTGAGTTTTGAAGCACTTTATTATTATTTTAAAAAGTTGTTAAAGTACATTAATATTAGTAGTAGGCTGTTATTACCAGTATTATTAACTAACTGCCTACCTATACTTTTTATTGTATGTTTTTCCTCTTGGCATTATTGTGTATTATTGTAGTATTATTATCAAACATTTTCTCTACTGTTCAGTTTTATTTTATTTTCTGCTTAATATTGTTTTAACGGAGCATTTTGGGATGCTTTTTTGCACACAATGAGTTTTACAAATATTTAATTATTATAGACCTTATTAGAGTTATTAGTTGTTAGAGTGTCACTCCATAACACAACAAATGTAGTGGTTACACAAGACAATGTGGCCTCCCTGTGGTCTAGATGAGCCAGTGCGGGACACATTTATACATGGGTGTTTCAGCACAGACGACTGTGGGGATGAATGAAGTAGAGGGAAACAGGCTTTATTAGAGGTGTCAGGGTCAGACCAACAGCCAGAAATCCTGACATACATACAATACATCCAGCAGGAGGACAGCTGTGTTTGGTCTAAAATAATTTAAATTTCAAATACATGAATAACTCTGTTCACTTAATAATGAATAAACTAATACACATGGAGAGGGTGGGTGTAACTCGGACTGCTGCAGTATGATTGTACTGTAGCTTAAAACAAAGAGCTCAAACAACTTTAAAAAAAAAAAAAAAACGAGGTCAGGAAACAATTTATATTAATATATATTAATCTGCTTTAAATTGAACTTTTAAAACTACTAAATCCTGTGAGTAAATAAAAACCGTTGCATAGATCATTTCAGTATTACTATTAAACAACTCACTATTGTTATTGTAAAATTGCATAGGAGAGTTAGTAAAGAGAGGTCTAGTATTAGAGGTACTCATCTCTGCTATTTGAGGGGTTTCCCATATTTATGTCTGTGTGTTCTAGATGCTCAGCGTGCGGGGCCCGGTGCTCTGAATAGCATTCATGATGGACTGGACCACTTCAGAGGTAGAGCCTTGGCCCCCCAGGTCAGCAGTGTGCAGCTGAAAAACAAAGGAGGTAACACATGGAGAGAGAGAAAAAACATTGTGTGCAGAATATTCTCTACTCTCTGTGTAACACATCATCATTGAATGAAAGTTGTAAAAACAAACACCAGAACTATCTTCTATGTAATTCGAATATTATCGTATCATATATGAAATATTAGAGCTTTTCTGCTTCCATTATTTGGGTTCATCCTGTCGAACCACGGCTTGAAAACAAAAGTCAAATGTCGCTTAGAGGTAACAAATTATTGGACATGTTTTAGTTAATCAGTTAGACGTCGAGGCGTGTGCTGGGGCGTACCCGAGTCTCGGTGACGATGGTCAGGATGGCTCTGCGGATCATGCTAGCGTAGGCGTGGAGCTTCAGGTGATCCAACAGCAGGCAGGAGGCCAGCAGAATGGCCGTGGGGTTGGCTATGTTGCGGTTAGCAATGCTCTTTCCTGTGTTCCTTGTTCCCTGCACCAGTAAAGCATGAATTAAACAGAGATCGCACTGTATACTGTATGAAAGAACACAGCAGCTTTAACATTTGATTATTTGGTGTTACTGCTGTGCTCAATTCAATTCAATTCAATTCAATTCAAGAAACCTAATTTGTCCCTGAAGAGGCAATTCAAGGCAACCATCCCACCTAAGGTCCAAAGCTTCTACTAAAATACATTCCTGACTGAATTAACTCAAAGTAGGACATGTTTGGGCTTGTTTATAATCTTATATGCCATTTACAGGACTTGTTCAGTATTAAGCTCTCATGCTATGAGTGACTGATGCTGATATGCTGTTGCTCAACTCTGAAAACTAGTCCTTTGGAAAATCCTTTTCCATTTTTCTAGTTTCCAAATGGTTCAGAGTGAAATGGGAAAGGCTAAATAATAGTGAAGGCTCATTAGATCCTGTTGAATCTAATTGATGCAGAGATGCATTCAAAATTTTAATCAACTAAGGCTTGAAAACAAAATTAAAACAATATTTTTTTATTAACAGTGTATTAAATGACTGTGTGTATGTTAAACCCACAAAGAATCACCACCCACCAACTCTGCACTTCCCCTCAGCTCTAGGGAACATTTTATTATCTTTAAGCTCATTGTTTTTGTTTTCCGGCCATTTCCAGCTGTAGCGGTTAGCTGTTTAAAAAAAAAACAACAAAAAAAAACTCTTGATAAACCTACTGTGTGCCACGGTGACACAGTTATCTACTAACTGGTGAACATAGTGAAACATTTAGCACCTAAAGAGCCAGATATTTTCCTTAGGAGAAGACTGAGACCAAAACAGAGCTACAACGAGAGTGATTATTGGACTTGGATTCATCGCACGGCCAGAAATAACCCTAACGCTGCTCGCAAGACGCCAGAAGATCTATCCAAGATCAAAGGTTTTTCCTGCTTTCCTTTAATAAATGGTCTCTGTGCTTCTCTCTGCCTCCATTACCCACTAAATCTCCAGATCCTCATATCACCTTTCATCCCTCACACTCTTGTTGACATCTAATCCATAAATTCTGGATGTGTGTCCTCTCACCGTCTCAAACACGGCGTAGTCCTGTCCATAGTTAGCTCCAGGCACCAGGCCCGGTCCTCCAACTAGCCCCGCACACACATTGCTCACAACGTTGCCATACAGGTTGGGCATGACCATTACATCGAACTGCTGAGGCCTGGAAACCAGCTGATACACACAAAGAAAATCTAGTTCTAGAGCATGTTCACAGCTTGAAGAAGTTTGTTTCTTTAAATATGAATAAGGAGGCCTGCATGACATTGGGAGAAATTTAGAATAACTATGTTTACTGTAAGTATATGTAGGTCCAATTAATGTATCGTGTGACTGTAGAAAATACTTGTATTTTAAACATTATGTTAGCTTTTAGCCATAACCATCTGATTAAAAATAGCAGCAGGAATGTAACGCACTTAGCATGATGGTGATGATATAAACAAAATATAATGAAATGAGCAGTATGGCAGTGTGCAGACATCCTGCAGCTACCTGCATGGTGGTGTTGTCTACAATCATGCTGTCGAAGTTGATTTCAGGGTAACCGCTGGCAACCTCCTTACAGCACTCCAGAAAGAGGCCGTCAGCCAACTTCCTGCTCCAAGAAACACACACACACACATTAAGACGTATCATGTCTCTTACAGAGAGAAAGAAAGACAAATAAAGAGGGAGATAAAACACAGGCAGAGTCGAGGCCTTTGAGCCCTCAGAAACTGACATGATGTTAGCTTTGTGTACAGCAGTGACTCGTCTGCGTCCTTTCTCCCGAGCCGTTCTAAACGCGTAGTCAGCGATGCGCAAGGATTTGGTCCTGGTGATTATCTTCAGACATTCAACAACCCCCGGTACATTCTGCAGAGACACACAGAGGCTGGATTTGTTATGATTTGGAAAGAGCAGCAGGTCCTTCTCCATAAAAGTGACTAGGAACCACACACACACACACACACACACACACCTCGTGCTCCAGGCTGCTGTACTCTCCCTCTGTGTTTTCCCTGATTATCATGATGTCGATGTTTTTGTGGCGTGTCCTCACTCCTGGCAGAGACTGGCAGTGCATCACATTGGCATACAGATCCAGAGTGGTGCTGCAGAAACAAGAAGAGGGGTATGTCGATGCTACAGCTGAAACACAGATGACTTAAATACTTTGACACCTAACCTAACCCTGGTAACCCTGTTGTGTGGTTCATTTGGGCTGGTGTGTAAGCTGTGAATCGAACTTTGGACCGAGATCACTCGAAAAGAAGGGTCTCTGGTGCAATTGGTTCTGAAAGCAAACAGACCAACCACTTGATTTTCTTCTGGTTTTAAATGTGGTTTTAGCATGAATTCACAGGCTAGACTAATAATAAATCCATCTGTAGTTTGTGAACTGTTATTGCAAATCATTAGGTGACCTCGTGGATGTGGGGTTTTTCCTGATCAGTCTAAAAGTTAGAGGAAGTTTAAAACTTGTGTGTGTTACACTTACAACTTTGGCAGTCCATTAGGTCCATTAAAATGTCCCACCATAACATTCCCCGGAATATTTCTGTCGCCTCTTTTTCATTCTGTTTCTACCTGTTTGTTATTGTTCTATCTATAATGATCATAGTTAGTTATTTCTTTGTGAGCTCTGACACCAGAAAAAACAAATATACACATAAGCAGCATTAAAGTGCAGCATGACCTGCAGTCAGTCACAGCAACGGTGACATGGGTCCGGATGATGCAGGATGACAATCGCCAAAAAATGTCTAATCAGTGAGTTACCTGTCAGTCTGGACGCCTTCATGTTTAATCGTCTTAGTTTGTCTGTTGAAAGTCAGCTGTGAACAAGTACTGGACCAGAACTAAAATTCAACTGTGTCATTTGTTTCCTTTGGTCTGGACCAAATGAACTGAAGTACATGTGTGAAAGTGTCCTAAGATTAGATAAGGAAGATGAAACATGGTGGACTCACCGGAGCAGATTGTTCCGGGATTTGTAGGAGGGTGGCAGGTTATGGTTGGTCTCAATGTTACCTGTAAGAACAAACCCAGTTAGCCTCAATAATGACAGCTAACATGTACTGTAGATATTACATAACAACGTCACGACTTTCTTTTCTAATCTGACAAATTCAGAGCTGCATTCTTTGCTATAACGTGAGAGCTTGTAGAGTCACACACATACATATAAAACACCAACCTTTCAGTGCAACTCCATTGCGTCTGATAGCCATTATAGCATTATTAATGTCGTCTTCTGAGGCCATAGACGAGTCCACATTGACAACCTCAAAGTCCACTGGCACGCAGCAGAACCTGGTAATACAAAAAGATGGAGGACACTTCAATATAACAGAGCTGAGTCATTGAGAGACAGTATAAGTCTCTGTGTGGTTACTGACTCCATCCTAAAATTGTGTGTGTGTGTGTGTGTGCGTATGTGTTGTAGAGAATATATGAAATCTCACCGAAATAATTCACGCACATGGTGGGCCAGCTCTGGTCCAATTCCATCTCCAGGAATAAGAGTCACTGTGTGTCTGCCTCCATACCGTGCAGGGGGAGGCTGTAATACACACACACGCACATTAAGTCGTCCTGATACAATGCAGTAGATGCATCCGTACCATAGCACTGACAAGACTCTAAGCTACTAGACAGACAACTATACAAACTTGTGATCTTGTGGCTATTCTCCTATCCTAATACATGACTAATGCTACACCACCATCTGTGTGTGTCGTAAGCAGCCATACTCACTATGGTCTGTTGTGGAGGGAGCAGGGATTCAAAAGGGAGGAAAGAAAACAGGAAGGTTAGTAGGAGAAAGAGGGGGGGAAGACATGGTTTACACAAAACAACATTGTCTGTATATACAGTACAGACATTTGGACATTTTTGTGCTTCAGTTTTTAGCAGGTTAGGGGATCCCCTTAAAGGTGTTTAACAGTGGGGTTATTGGTTGAATAGGAAAGTCACGGGGTGAACCTGTGGGTCTGTTGTTTGGGGTCCTGAAGTGAGAAAACCATTGTTCAGCCCTGATTCTGAATCTACTCTTTCTCTGCAACTTACAGTGTAAGTGGACGTGTGTCTCCGATTACATGTAGCAGCACCATAAACCTGTGAATACAGAGGACATGTGGTTATTTGCGGAAAATCTCAAAGAAATTCACTTTATGAGAAGACAACGAAAACCAGCAAATATCCACCAGTGAAAATGACTGAGATGATTAATCAAAATATGGACACTTATATAAATATTATCTATTTTATATATACTATATAAAGTTTGAAGAACCCCACCAACCCTGACCCCGAAATCCAAGATGGCTGCTCCACACATCGAAAGAAGTGAAAGCAGTAGTAAAATTCGTTTTTTTTAGCACTTGTGTCTTATTTGTGTCTCATTAAATCAGTCATCTTCACAGAACCGTCCAACTTCTATCTATGGACGTGTTGTGCAAAATACCATGTTTTGTGTTGCTATCAACTGGTATTGCAAACAATAATGGTCCACTTGGGTGTGACATCGTTCCCAGCTCCAACATCTGACTTTTGAGGTAAACTGAATACACCATAAATTACAGTATGTTGAGCAAAGAGGCTGAAAGATGCTGATGTTTTAGATTGTACAGACTTTTTTTTCTTTTGAAACACTTTATCACTTTATCTAGTTATTCCTGTGATGATGCAGCAATTTTTTTTAAACAGGCTAGGGGGCCCACTGGGACTGCAGGACCCATCTTTTTGTACTACGCCACTGAGAGGAGGAACTGACCTACTCTTCTGTTAGTCTCTGAATAATTAATGACTCTCTACAGGGATCACTTTAAGTGTAGGCCTACATTTATCTCGCTTGGGAGCTAAACAAATAATGCTGCGCAAATAGCGAAATAAATTTAGTCTGCAGGGAATTCAAGTTGACAGCAAACAGAGAAGTGCTGAAGGACAGCAACGTAAGCCCAGCTAACTGTTAACCAACCGACCATCCGTTAATCTGCTTAGCTACATTCTCTGCTTTTCGGGAAAATCAACCGGTAAACCACTTCACATGTCAAAACAACGCCTGTTTAACTGCTGGTGAACTCAGCTGCTCCTACCCTGGGCCACCGGTTGCTGAACACTGGCTTCAGGACTCCGGACAGAGACCGCAGAGACCGGGCCGACATGTTCACTCTCACCGCGGATGGAGAGACATACGCGGACGAGCTGCGCGTTCACACTTAATCTCTCTCTCTCTCTCTCTCTCTCTCTCTCTCTCTCGCACACACACACACACACACACACACACACACACACACAAAGGCTACCCACAGATTTTCAGTGATGTTGAATATCATATTGTGATTGTCTTGTGTCTCATCACTCTAAGGTCCTTTTGCATCCCTTTGTGTTCATTCCGTGTCTCTTTGTAGATGCTTTGCGTGTTTATGTATTTGATTTGTATCTCTTTGTGGTTGTTTTGCGCCACTGTTTGGTCGCTTTACATCAATTTTTGATTATTTTGTGATGAATTTGCATCAGATTGTATTGATTTTAGTTATGGTAATGTTGTGTGTCTTTGTAACTGTTTTGTGTCATTTTGCATTTCTGTGGATATTTTGCATCCCTTTTTTGTAATTTTGTTTCACTTAGGGTTCATTCTGTGTCTCTTTGTGTTTACTTTGCATGACTGGTTATTTTGCATCACGTTGTGGTTACTTCACATCACTTCATGTATCACTTTGTGATTATTTTACATCACTTTATAGTAATTATGTATCATTTTGTGGTTATTTTGCATCACTTTGTGGTTATTCTTACATGACTGACTGTGGTTATTTTATATCGCTTTGCAGTTGTTTTATGTTTATTTGTGTTAATTTTAGTGAAATTTGAAGAAACAGTGAATAGTGAAGAAACAAGTGAACAGTTAACAGTCACTTCACACAGAGGCTCTGATACTTATCAGCCAACTACCTATCTCCTTATGACTCTCGTATGGGAGGGCACCAAGGTTGGCCAGTCAGATTCCGGGGGTGCCTGTTCCATTCCTGGGCCGGCCACCGCTCTGGTTGCATTCACTCATCCACAAAAGGATCCTTATTGTGCATAGTTTTGATGAAAGAGGAAACGCAGACAGCGGTAACACAGGCAAACACAGTGCAGTTGCATTACTTGGAGCTGGCTTCATGTCACCATGCCAACCTGAACAGAGAGCCTTGAGGCCCGCTGGCCTAGTTAGTTTGTTAGTTTCTCGTTTTTCGTCAACAGCAGAGCTGAATACGACCACTGGGAGGCGACAGAGATTGAACATGAATGGGTCAGCACCATTCTACCTGTTACACCTCAATCGTTTTTCATGCACCAAATAACAACTTATTAATGTTTAATTTGTTAATTCACTAGTTTTTCTTACTTGTATTTCCTGCATCACTGCTTAAGCATTTGTTAAGAGCTACTATAAGGCAGATCGTTTAGCATCCACATTAGCCTACCATTTCAGCTGTTATATTATGATTTTTTACATGTTATATCTGCATGTTGAGCATGTAAATATTCGGACAAATGACGATGTTTATAGTTGAATCACTTGTGGACCTCTTGGAGAAATTCTACTCTCCAGCTTTTTATCCCCAACCAAACCGCCGTTATCCTTTGACTGGTAGTTGTAGTTTTTTCTCTTTGTCGCCACAGTGTTGCTAATGAGACGTGATATGGTTATTACACTACATTTCCCAGCGTTCCCGCGGCGGCGCCTCCTCCCTTCACTCCCTCCGCCTTCCCTCCCACTCCACTGGGCCGCGAGGAAGTCGCAAGATGGCTGATGTCGCTTGGAAGTAATGTTCCCCTCTGCAACATGAAGCCGTGAGTGTGGAAGAAAGCGAGGGAGGCACCATCGGGCTTTTATTTTTATTTTCTTTTAGTTACTTTTCTTTTATTTCGTCAAACATCCATCTCATTCCGCGTCGTGTCCGCCCCGGACTTGTCTTCGGGAGTTGACGCGTCAAATCACGCCGGGGACCCTGCCAGCAGCTAACGGCTAGCCACACCGTTAGCAAATATCAGTACAGTTCGTCAGTCAGCCAGGCAGGCACACAGCTTGTTAGTTTGTTTTTAATCCATACTCTGACACCGGCGAGCCACCAAGCTTCGCTACACATGTGCTGAAATTTAGCCTGAGGTAGTGCAGAATAAATGTCCAAATACTGAATCTGTAACGATTTTACAAGCTACTCGGTTTAACATCATGTCCGCGAACTGGCCATCCAGCCTGTTGGTTGCTAACTAATGCGCAGTATTGACTCTGTTTCATGTGCACAAACCAGCAGGATCATTATATTATAGTCATTTCTCAATAACATCCACGAGCCAGCTGCATTTCTGTTACTTGCTGCCAACTACATTTTGGAAGCTGGGTATGTTAAAGCCAAATTATGGGAGTAGTAAATATGTTGAACTTTTTCTGGTTGTAGGTAGCTGCACTGGCCTTGCTGGCATCTCACCAAAAATCCACAGGGATGGACACTAAACTGAGCAATCGCAACCAAAACTGAAAAATTGGCATTTCGATATTTAGGTAATTAAGTAGCTTTGACTGACAGGGTCGTGCAGCAGTGCATAGTGACTCATTTCACCAGTCTGGGTGTCGGATAAGTTGTTTTGCAGGGTTAACGAAACTACAGTTAGTCACTACATCGGAGACCAGTTAGCTTGCCTGAAGTGCACAGCTAGCTACAGTCTCGCCCCACATCACATTACAAACACGGCGTACAGAACGTATTCAGAGCCCGCTCCCGGCCAGACACACAGGCTCAACAACACCGTCATGGGAGTGCAGGGTTTTCAAGAGTATTTAGAGAAGCGGTGTCCCGGGGCCGCAGTCCCGGTGGACCTCCTGAAGCTTGCCCGTACCGCGGCCCGCCAGCCCCCTCACCACCATCATCCACACCACCACCCACATCACCCCGGGCCCATGCCTCCCCCGCCCCCGCCTGCCAGGATCCTAATCGACGCTGACTCCGGCCTACAGCGCCTCTACGGCGGTTATCAGACGGACTGGGTGTGCGGGGGCGAGTGGAACGCCATGCTGGGCTACCTTGCTGCCCTGTCACAGGCCTGCCTGTACCAGGGTGGCCTGGAGCTGGTCGTGGTTTTCAACGGCACATTGGGGAAGGAGCGCTGGCCCGAGTGGGCGCGGCGAGCTCAGGGCCAGCGACAGACGGCGCAGCTGATAGTCAACCACGTCGGCAGCAAGGCCACCCCGCCTCCCCGGGCATGGTTCCTGCCCCCGGCTTGCCTCAGCCACTGTGTCCGCCTCGCCATGTTCCGCTTCCGAGTGCGGGTGAGCAATGTGATAATGGCTGTGTGAAGTTGTTTTATTGTGGTCATATGGCGTGCCGTTCATTTAACAGTTGCCCTTTCTCGCAGCACGCCCATTTAGTAGCTTACATCATCCAGCGCTGTTTTAACTCCTTCCAGTTAGTGAGCAAGTGTAGCTGCCTGACCTAACCACTGATACTAGTCAACCTGGGGTTTTGTTTAGAGCTTTACACGAAGACAGACCCGGTCTGTCAAACTGCAGACTGGCTGTTTGTTGCAAGCAGAGTATAGATTCCTGTCTCTAGCTAATACCTTTAGTTGGTCTGCTCTGCTTTCATGGATGTATTTGGGATGGTCTACTGGGAGGACAAATGTTTCCAGTGCAACAGATATTTTGGATCTATGAAAGGCTGCTCTTTGCAACCTTATTCAAGAGCGGTTAGAAACATGTATTTCACAACATGACCTAGTTTAACCTATATATTACATAACATGAACTCAATGAACCTTTCATACATTGTTGAACAACTGCTGAGTGGATAGACTATTTATAGATCCCCAGTGCCTGACAGTGGTACACTTGTAAGGACTTATTCCATGCGTTTCAATTGGTTGATGAAAGTTTAAAGTATTTTATTTTTTTGTGCATTTGACCTATTGACACAAAAGTATTTGGTATATATTTATATATAATATAATTTATACTGATATAAATTACCAAAAGGTGGATATACTATATGTTTAAATATATTAGGCTTAAGTGAGATAAAGAAATGTGTTGTAATGTAACCAAATCTTTTAATGAGGCACCGAATAACTTCACATGAAGTCTTTGAAAAAGGAAATGTGACTCATAATGTCATGTTGAAGGCCTGCCGTAAATGCAGCCACACTGCCCCTGAAGTTTCCTTTCAATCAGCTTTACTTGGCTGTCAGTTTTTGCCTTTGATTTACCTTCCCATCAGATTGCATGCTAGTATTAAAAGCCCAGTACCATCGTGTATACTGAGAACGTACTTGTTAGAACAGAAAATCCCACCCACATTACAGTACAACAGACTCTGATGCTCTTTGTGCTAGTACAGCATCATTACTCACAGTTCCCATGTGTACTTGTCTTTCTACCCGTATTCTGAGAAACAGTCCTATTTCTGCAGCTTCAAGTATCCTGCCTCTGCTTAAATTACACCTTTTTATAAAGTACACTGCTGCTCCTCTCGTTGCAGAGAGTGCCTTCTCATCTTTACGTGTAATACACGCCCATTTAACCTATCTATTTGACATTTTGCATATCTATTATTCCGGCTGTTGAAATTTTATATTAGTTTGTTTGTATTATTGTTGAGTGACACAACAGAAATATGAAACAGTTCAAACAAATCTGTCATAAAACAGTTTCCTCAGAATCAGCCTTGCCATCCCTGTCCCATATTGCATTCATTTGAAAGAGATTTCATTACCAGCTCATTAAATAGATTTTTAATGAGGTAACTGAATGTAATTATTTAGTTTTCACATTGATTAACACAGACGTTGATTAACAAGATTAACATAACAGTTCTGGCATAATCCAGAAGCTCTTCCGTGCTCTCTCTGTGCAATAACTATGCACCACATGCACCATTTGGGTACTGCATCAATGCTTTCTGAAAAAGTGATGTTGCCCTAGGTCTGGGTATCTGCATCACCAGCAATTTGGAAGTGATTGGTGCAGCACAAATTACCACAAATGTATTTTTTTCAAGAGAACAGTGCTTTATGAATTGTTTGTGTGGACTATGGAGCTAAGCTTAGCTAAACTCGGTATACATAGTGTCAGGTATCAGCACCACTAGGAGTCTCTCATCTTTACCTTCATTATAAATTGAGTATATTGCGATGACTGGTAGCAAATGTTGGGTAATTTTTACTGTCTTTGATGTTGTTATGTGGTGTTTGTGCAATTATACAGCAACAGCTACTTCCTGTCCACAACTAAAGATTATTTTCAGTAACGATTGATCTTAGTTATTTTCCTGATTAGTCATTTGTGATTAAAAAGAAATTAGAAAATAGTAAAAAAAGAAAAAAGGCTGTCACAAATCCACAAATTAGAGACACATTGGGAGTTGTATATTGCTCAAAAAACAGCAATTGTCAAAATAGCTTCAGATATATTTTCTGTCACTCAGCTACTTGATTAATTGACTAATTATTACTGTGATCATTTGACTTGAACTATGCTGCAAACTGTGATGCATTCACAAGGAGATGCCATCAAACTCCATCCAGAGTTTGTGTTTTCATGACACAGCAGGCTGAGTTTGCCCATTCTGTTTCCACAGGTTGTACAGACTTTGGAGGACCACCACCAGGAAGTGCTGTCTCTCTACAGGGACTATGGATTTGCTGGTCTGATTGCTCAGGATTCTGAGTTTGCCCTCTGCAACGTACCCGCCTATTTCTCATCGCACGCACTCAAACTGAGCTGGAACGGCAAGAACCTGACCACACACCAGTATCTGCTGTCTGAGGCTGCCAGGCAGCTCGGGCTTAAGACACAGCACCTGCCCTGCTTTGCTGCTCTGCTGGGTAAGGACCAGACATACCTCAGCTTCCACAAATTCAAACATATGCCACATTTCTCTTTCACTGAAACACACGCCCTACTTGTGAAGTGTATTTTTGGCGCCTCTCTTTGTCTGTTGTGCTTGTTCGTTGACACAGCAAACATCTGAAAGCATTTCCGTCTTGCAGGAAATCATATTCTGCCTGATGAGGACCTGGCTGCCTTCCACTGGAGTCTGCTGGGACCAGAACACCCACTAGCTTCTCTCAAGGTACTGTATGCTTCTGTGTCCCAAGTCTTTCGCAAATCACACCAAATCACACAAAATCACACCAAGCTTTAACGATAACGTAATGGTATAATGACTCAAATTGTTTTGTGAGTCCTGACTAAGCTCAAGTGTCAACACAACCAGATTGCTTGCTTACTTTAGGTCTTTATAGGTCTAATTTTCTCAGTCTTATATGTATAGTATCATTTCTGGAGAGAAGCCTTTCTGGTCATCTTCTATGCTAATTTGCTGTTGCTGAGAGCTGCTGTTTCACAATAAAATCCTTTGTGGTTTAGGAGCATAATGCTTTCTCATCAGTGGATTTTCATTAGTTTCCAGCACTTGTTTCCACACACATGACACATTTTAAATATTTAAACATTGCTCGAATCTGTCTTCTCATTTTGACTGTTTAAAGCAAAACAATGTACCTTTAGCTGCGCAGCAGAAGCAGCAGCCTCTGCTGCTTCTGCTGCCTCTACAGCAACAAGTGGCTATTACAGGACGGTGGCGCATTAAATTCTGTTGGGTTTGAGCGGTTAACGGTACTGGAAGCAGTGAACCCCTAGAAATGAACAGCTCATGTACAGAAAACAAAGCCTATCAATCGCTCAGACAACAAACAAAAAAATCATCATCTCAGTACAAACCAGAAATCACGCTGTCCACTCATGTCAAGTCAGCATTTGCTGGCAGTTGTGTGGTAAGATGTAGATGCTAGGAGCTAGTCTCTTCACCTCTGCCATGATGTCTGTACTGAGAAAAGCAAGCTCACTGCTTCTTATAGGTGAAGACATGTAATTGGTGGTTTGTGCCACAAACGCACATCCTGTGGGAGATTGTACCAGCTCAACCCATGTTACATAGTGCAAGAACAGCCTCAACTTTGTCTATTACCCTCATGTCTATTACCTTCATGTTGTGTTTTATTGCTTACCAATTAAACTGGGAATCCTCTAGTAGCTGCGCTGTTGTCTTAAACGACTTCTAGAACATGACATACTCTCTACTCTCTAATTATGCCTCTCAGTTAAATTATAATTAGATTATCAGAGCTGATATAAATGGGTGTTTGAATTTTGAGATTTGTCCTGTCCAGGCATTTTCTCTCATACATAATAATAACAGAGGAATTTAAAGGTTTAACTCTATGAACCAGACACAAGCAGAATCCAATTAAAGTTATTTAGCCAGGCAACTTGAGATGAGGGGATCTCCTGAATGTTATATCTGGAATTTTTCAAATCTGGCTTGAAGATGATGTCTGGCTAACTAAAATTTCTCTTTGATTCAGCAGTGTGCAAAGCAGTTTTCTCTTCAGCATCTTGGATCACTTAAAATAGTTAAAACAAGCACTTGAAATAGTTCATTAAAAAGATTTGCTCAGTGCTTGACACAGCTGAACGGAATATATTCCTCATGACCCCTGGCTTCCAGAACTGTCGCTGTCGCTTTGACAAACATGCCAAAGTCTTTTTATAATTCTTGATATTTTGATTTTCCGGACTGTATATGGGAGTTGAAAGCTGTTTATTTTAATGACTGTTAAGCCTTTTTAACTGATGCACAGTTTAGCATTAAACTTACATTACTAACTTAATGGGCCTGATTTAGGCAGTTTGAGCCACTGACTATCACTCAGGGCTCATGTTCACTGTTCACGTTCATGAGCCTCACATTCACTCTGTAGTACATTCAGTGAACGAATCACTGAACATGCACCGTTCTCTCACAGTGGAAGGATCTGAGGCAGTCTCAGGGGCCGCTGACTATCACTGAGCCCTTCTTTGCACTGCTATTCATATTCTGTTGTCCCACTCACATATTTGTCGCCAGGCATATATTCTGCTGATTTGTACATCTAGTTGTCCTTTTTATTTTTATCCCTTATATTTATTATTATTTTGTTGGCATTGATATATACTTTGTTCTTCCACATTTTTTTTGTTCTACTATTAATCACTCTCATATTTTGTTCTAAAGCTGTTTGTTTGTATACGCTACTTGCGACGCGTTGTGTTGTACTGCACGTGTGTTGCTGCTGTGGCAACACGTGCAATAATTTTCCCTCCGGAATCAATAAAGTACCAAACTAGACTTGAACATACCCCATTACACCTGCGAACAAAACTAACTGGAAGCACTCACTCAGTGAGTAAGAGTATCCCTGCTAACAACTAAATATACATGTCAGTGTATCCCTCACTCACTCACTCACACTGAGTGAGTGAATCAATGACTTGAATCACTCACTCAGTCAGGGAGTGTATCCCTGCATGTTCAACTGAATAGAGAAATTAATGGGTCGTTTCAGGAAGTGATTCACAGTTCGTTCACCCAAAAGATTTGTTGTTTTGAACGAACCGTTGGCGAATAGCAACTCAGACTCAGTATTGAGGCTAATGGCTAAAGTACATGTTTTTTAAATGAGTATCGACTCAAAAGGTCTGATATAATTGTGAAATTAAACATATAAATTATAGCACAGATGCCTTTTGTAATTGCACTATAATTTTTATTAATGGAATAACACCAAAATCTGTAAAAGGTCATCAACCAGTAATATTAGTGGCGAGGTATGTTGGTTTGGCCCTAATGCTTTTTCAAAATTCAAAAACAGTCCTTCCTTTGTAACTGTGGTCGAATACATTAGCCATGTAGTGACCCTGCAGTGCACTAAGTACCTTTGAAGTTTCTGTTTACTTAAGTAAAGTGATTGTGCTCCAAGTTGATTTAAAAAAAAAAAAAAAAAGTGAGTGAAAAGTGAAAAAAAGTTGTAAAATGATTAGATTAGATCAGATTAATATCTCTGTAGCCCTTTCATAGTTTTTCTCCCGACTGAACCAGAGATACGTGCATCAAAACTGTGTTTGCTGTTGCAGGTGCGAGCTCATCAGTTGGTGCTGCCGCCCTGTGAGGTGGTGATTAAGGCCGTCTCAGAGTACGTCTCCTCCATCAAAGACCTGGGAAACCTCGACGCCATCGCCAGAGATGTCTTCAAACAGTCACAGGTGAGTCATGTTTGCACTGTACATTTCACTGATTATTATGATTTAGTTTTTTTTTTAATCAATGTAATGAATTCATTTAAATTTATGAAAAGTATACATACACATTACACCTAAGAATTTAAAAGTATAAATGTGCTTTTAACTAATGTTTGACCTTATATACCAGACTCAAACTTAAGTCCGCATCTGTACTTCACTCACAAATCAGTGCTAAACCATAGACTTCTACCAGACCTTATAATAATCCATGTGCTTAACAGGATTAAATAGTCTCAGTTCTTCAGGAGAGGAAGCTGCAGTGTTTACAGTGTTGATTACACTGGACATATTTGGGCCCAAACTAATGCAGCCTTTCTAATCAGTTTATATACAGTATGTCTTGTCACTGCTCTGTGACATTTGCCCTGGGAGGGGGTCTGTGCTCCAACCAAGGGGTGCAAACAGTGTTTTTAATGATACAGATGATGATACAAATTAATCTTTATCAGAAAAGTATTTGCTGTACCTTGGCTGAGTGTACAGGCACCAGTTTGAAATATGTTTTTAATAAGTAAGAGCCAACAATTTCATTTATAGTTTGGCTAACTCAAGAAATACAGCTGAGAAACGAGAAGCTCGTTAACAGTATCAAATTCTGCGAGAGTTCCTGCGGGAACGTAGTGACGGGTCAATTTAGGTTTTATGGGGTTCATTGTTGCGCTGTTTACTGTGATTTGATGTATGTGAACATTTAATGCCAGGGCATCTCTGTGCCTATAATGTGTCATAATCCCACCGTTATGTAGTCAACACGATGCTTTGTTCCTCTCACAGTCTCGTATGGAGGACAAGGTGGAGCGATTCAAGAAAGCTGTGGAGTATTTCTCAGCTGCCTCCAAACCACGCTCGCCCAACATGGGGCCCTCCTCTTTCATCTGTGAGTCCTGAACTGCTCAGGAAACAGAATCAAGTGCCTACAACATTATGTAATCACTTTTGTCTTATTGGAGCTGCATATATATTTATAAAAAAAAATGTTAATTTGCTTCCTTTTTTTTTTTCGTCTTTTCATGCTCAGTACCTGGGTTTGGACCCACTCCATTTGGGGGACCACCTGGCCACATGGGACCGATGCAGCCTGGAAAGAATCAGGTAGATTCCTGCGCTTGGCAATCCTTCATCTTCCCTGATGTGTGTGTAATTGTTCTCTGCTCTACATAAATCTATATGTAGCAGAGTGGATTAAGTTTTTTGCTCTTTTAAATCCCTTTGTGGCAAGAGTTCATTTAGGGGGAAAACTGGCTGCCTGAGGAGGGTGCAGTCCTTTCCATCCAAAATCCTCCCACCAGCCTTGATTAGATGCTTATAGCTTGATGTGAAATAAAATAGGACAGTATTAGCTCCCGTCCCTGAGACATCTTCTCCCTTCTCCCTTCCCTCTCTCTCCTCTCCTACTTCTCTCTGTTTCTTCCTTTTCCAACCCGTTTATTTTCTTATCCCTCCCCTCTCCTCTCCCCTCTTGTCCAACCGCAGTTCCCTCCTCCCCAGGTCCCAGGGTTAAAGCCACCCTATCAAAATGCTCCATACGGACCTGGCTCCACCCCTCTGTTCCAGAACCCACCGCCACCGTCCCAAGACTGCAACGATTCACTGACGGGCAAGATGGGCTTCACTGACTGGTCAGCTCCATATGATTCCACTCAGGGGGGAAATCGATTACCCAATCATCACACCGGCAGTCAGTCTGGTCCCTCTCCGTCACCTTCCTCGTCATCAGATGGAGACGAACCCAATGACAGCAATGCAAAGTAAGACATGTAGTCCGGGCTTCAGACAAGCTGCCTCGTTACATTTAAGTCAAAAAGGGACTTTGTCATTTTAGGTGGAACAAAGCACTTGTTTTGACTACTCACAGGAAGAGTTTAGCTTTCACAGTATGTTGGCAGGCTACACTTTACGTTGAACATGCAACAGGTCAGTAAATGGAAAGGAAATAAACAAGAATGAAATCATTTTAAGTCTATGAGAGCTATTGAGCGCTGTCAGACGAATGTAATTGATGTGAGAATTTACAGAGGGTTTACTTGTGAGACACTTGTGTCCCTCGCTCTCACATCAATCATTATGAAGGATTCAGTGAAAAATTTAAGCTGCGAGCAGCGTTTTCCGGACCCTCGCACTGTCACGAACCTCAGGGCCGCTGCCAGGAGCCCAGTTGAGGCCGCCAACATGCATTACGTTCCTGTATATCAAGTGTAAACCAGACCATGAAAATGTCATGTAAATCAAATGATGATTGTCACTTGAGGGTTATTACCTGTTTTCAGTAGGCGGTGCTTTGACAATGACGTCACAGTAGCATGCAGATATCTTTTCCCAGTTAAAGCACCACTATGAAGTCCTGCTTGACCTGAGAACAGCGCAGGCAGAGATTTATAAAGCCAATTTCATATCGGATGAGCCTTTCCCACAATGCACTGCACTCATAGCATCTCTATTTCACAGACACTTGTTGACTGACTGGCTTTTTGTCAACAAGCTTGTGGTGTGAAGTAGCCCAGCTGCAGCCTAGAGATTCAAGGCTTACTGAGGAGTGACTGAGGAGAAAGAAAAAGCAGCAGGGCAAATCATCTGCAGTGGTGAACATGTGATTTTGCCTCTTCATGTGTTTTGTTGACCCACGAATCTTCCTGAAATGGGATTTAAAAGTCAGAATGGGGGAACCCTTGGACACGTTGTAGAGGTTTATACTCTTTTTGCTGCAATAGTGTCTATTTTGTAGCGAGCCACTGAAACAAAGTGAACATTGACACGTTTGCACAAAATACGTTTGAGGAAATGCCTTTTTTGCAGAAACTGTGCAATAGTGCAAATACACAGACAAACAGGGGTGTGTATCTCTTCCTCTGAAACGATTTGATACACATTTAGGTCCAAAGTCCACAATCAGAACAGCAACGGTCCAGGAACAACAGTCAATTATTTATTCCAAATACTGAATCAGAAATACGTCAGAAAACGATCTCCTCTGCTACACATACAATAATCAACAGGAACAGTGATACACTGGATACATTTCAGTTCAGTTCCTGAAAATGCCTTTGACTGGGAGGTGTTAACCCCAGTCTCTTGCACCCTGTTTAGACCTGGTATTAACATCTGTCTCAGCTGATCCTGTCACAGGTAGACAGCTCTCAGGTTCACGTATGAACGCACCCAAGACACATTGAAGACGCATTTGAGATCCGATCACTCAGACCACATACGGAGATGGTCTGGACCACGTGTGGCCACATTCTTTTAGCAGTGTGAACGCAAATGCGTCCTGGCCACATAGAAGGGCCACCTACTCTACTGACGTCCTCTGCCACAGTCTGATTAGTCCCAACAGTTTCATTCTGTACCGAAAAAATATTTGACTATTTCAAATGGATAAAACCTGATTTTATTCGCTCAACCCCTCCATGCTGTGCTCGTTCTCTCTCTCTCTCGCTGGCTCGCTCTCTCACTCACTCACTCACTCACACACACAAGCACGCATATTGACAATTGATCTGTCTGTCGGATTGGCTAAAAGCAACTTGTGTTTACACAAATCCAACATGTCTGTCATTGTGGAAATATTAGGGATAACTTTAAGCAGGTATGTGACTGACTGGAATGCAGTGACCATACACAGAGGCGAAGAGAGATTATTGGAAAGATTGTTTTTTTTTGTTTACAACCATATCTATTTTTTTTCTGAATTTCATCCTGTAGTCAAATGTCCTGTAGTCTTGTGCATGTTTTCCTATATGTATTGTTTAATCTTTACACCCCTATTAAACCCACAGACATAAGATGAATGCCAGGCCAGGATGACTAAACACTCCCATAAACCCTTTCTTTCAGCCATTTGACGGACAAGTCCTCTCGGTGGGAGGATCCTGCTGGAAGGGGGGGCTCGGCCTCTGGAGACGGTTCCCAAGGCAACGGGAGTGGGTCAAACATTCCGTCACTGCTGTCTATGGCGACGCGGAGTCACATGGACATAACCACACCCCCTCTGCCTCAGGTGAGAGACATAAAACACAAATCAAGTAGCAGTTGTAGGTTGTTTTTGTGGAAAGCTGCATTTTGGCATCAGTGTTTCCTGTTTTTTTCTGTTTGTCACTTTAGGTCAGTGCTGAGGTTCTTCGTGTAGCCGAACACAGACACAGAAGAGGACTAATGTACCCCCAGATTTACCACATATTGACCAAGGTACACAATTGTCCTCACTCATATGACATCCAAGTTTTATTTGTCTTTGCATTTGTCCCCTCATCATCTTGTCTAGTTAAAAAAAAGAATTATAAAAAAGACAACAGAGTAAGAAATAAACCTCGTCAGACCTCCGCTTCCTCCTGTTAATCTCTCTTCTTATTTCGTTTGTCTTTACCTCTCCCTCCACCATCCGCCCCCCCAGGGAGAGATGAAGATGCCAGTGTGTATAGAGGATGAGTGTAACTCTGAGCTTCCTCCTGCCTCTCTGCTGTTCCGTGCTGCCAGACAGTATGCCTACGGCGTCCTCTTCAGTCTGGCTGAGACACACCGCCGCCTGGAGAGGCTTGCCCTCCGAAAGAGGGCTCCCCTGGAAGGTAGGCCTGAGTAGAGTAGGTAGATGAGGCCAGTGAGAGAGAGACAGATTGATCATTGTTGACTGTACACACCCTTACATTTATTCTTTGATTAATTCTTAGACGGGTTCTCCACAAATCTGTGTTTTTCTTTTGAATTGATCATTTCTGTGATGAATGAATTCCCTTAATGGGCTTGGTTGAGATCACTTTTGAACCAGGTTGGTTAGCCCTCTTGGTAACTAGTTAACTTTAATGTAGGGTTCTTGTTTTTTTCCTCATATTTAGATTGTAATATATTTTAGCTGGCTAATCTATTGTGCCCTTATTGTGTGATTTAACCAATTTCAGTTTCAATTGGTTTCTTGGTTTATTTTGTCATGTAATCTTCGAGTACAGGGATGTAGAATATACATCAGCTGTTGATATAGCCTGATATTTCCGGAGTATTGTTTGTACGGCATGTACCGGCAAATACAACACAGTACTGTATTGAAGTATCAGAAGTTTGTCAAGTCCAAGGTTTATTTTTGGTTGTTTAACTGATGGTTATAGCTTTACTGTTTAATGATTTTTTTGTCAATGTGAGCAGAAATGGTAGCTAGTTGAGCTGTGACGATTAGCCGGTTCGTCAATTGACAGAAAATTCACCGGCAACTATTTTGATAATTGACTAATCTTTTCATAATTTAATTTTTTCAAGCAAAAATGCGAAATAGTCTCTGGTTTCAGCGTATCAAATGTTTCTTTGTCATATGTGACAGTACATTAAATATCTTGAGCTTTTGGACTGCTGGTTGGACAGCAGAGGCAAACTGAAGATCAAATAAATGTTGGTTGCAGCCGTAGTAGCTAACAAGTAAAAACATCCAATGAGAAACACAGTGAGAAGTGAAAGCTAGTGGAACAGAAGTGAGGGAGCAGTTGGCTTCATGTCAGACCAGCTCGGGTTTGGGACACATTTTTAGTGGTTATGTTTGTTCTTCTGTTTTTCAGTGGGCTACCTCACACATCTGCTGACACTTGAGGAAGGTCCTTTACTGAAAGCATGCATCAGTAAATCAGCAAGGCATAGATTAGAGCGGTGAAGGTTTCCTTAGCCAATGTGAAGTAGATATGAAGTGGTTATACATCTGCTGACTCGCCAGAAAGCTAGTTAAGGGAACAAGCCACTATTTGCATTTGCAGCTTTGATGTTGCTGTGTAGGCAGAGGACATTTTGATTTGCCAAACACAGGTGTAGATAATGTCATTACTGTTGGCCAGTTTCCACTCAGGTCTACTGGTTGCAGGGCTCTTCCCACACCCCTACATGTAACTGAAGCGGCGTTGCTGTATTAAGTTACACTTGTGCTTTTCCTGGGATGAAATGTCAGAATGGCTGCTGTGAGAAAGACAAGAAAGTCTCAAAGTTAACCATGGGAACTAAACCTTTATTTATATTACAGAGCATTGACGGGCTTTTAACCCTACCTACACTCTTACTGAGTCTGTTAGCTACATGATTCATACCACAATGCAACAGTGATATATCAACTTGCTCTAAAGCCTGGCACTGAACTGTCTGTGTCATACATTTATAGTGCCAGTTGTACCATTTCCTTTAAACCAAACCATGCCCACACCTCTCTTTCTTGGCTCTCTGTGACAGTTCCTCCAGTGATTGTCAAAGAGTGGAGCAGCGGTAAGGCCAAGTCAGCCCTTACTCCAGAGCTGGTTCCAGCCTTGTGTTTCCGGGAGTGGACCTGCCCCAACCTGAGGCGGCTGTGGTTGGGTCGTGCCAGCGAGGACCGCTCCAGGAGAACCAGGGCCTTTCTGGCCTGCCTTCGCTCTGACTGCCCAGCCCTCCTCAACCCAGCACAGGTTCCACAGCATCTGCTGCTCATGTGTTGCGTGCTCAGGTATGACAGTGTTTTACACCTCTGCTGGGTGTAGTATTCTTTTATAATGCCTCATTAAAATGTGCACGTGCCTTGCCCTTAATGTAGTGTGTGTCTTTGTAGGCACCTCAGTGAGAACCAGTGTCAGAGAGTGTGTGGATGAACATTTGTGCTCAGTTCTTTTCACTGCTTTTCCTTGTTTTATATGATAGCAAATTAAACATCCTTGGGTTTTAGACTGTTAGTGGGGCTGTTAGTGGCTATGGAAAATGGTGATTGGCATTTAAAAAAACATTTTTCAAGATAAAAAAAATTAGTTAATTCAGGAAATAGTCAGCAAATTAATCGATTCTGAATTGTTTTGCTCATGAAAATGACAGTAAATACTCAAGGCTGCACAGTATCTTAGTACACTGCATGCAGTGTATTATTACGCCAGCTTGACCTCCATGTTGGTGTTGGTTACATTTATACAGCAGGAAGTAGCTCTGTAATTTTCTAATCGTAATGGGTGTGTTGCTTGATAAGTTATGTTGCTCAGTAAATCTTTGTTCCAGTTGACCTGTGTTTCCACTGTGCTCTGATAAGTTTGATATTGATAAATGAAGGTTTACAGCTGGTGGATGTTAATTCTCTTGGCCAAAACATCTGTGATGATTATTTTGATAATCAGATAATCAGTATCAGTTAATCGTTTAAGTAATGTTTCGAGCATGAGTGGTTTGATGGTAATTACGAGCAGCCGAGTTGGACAAGCAAAAAAAAGAGTAACAGAGGTATCAACAAGCCTGTGGCAAAACGGCTGCAAAATAAAATCCAATATTAACACAAATACAACGATTGAGCTAAGTTAAAAGGAGCTGTATGCTGCTTATTTGTATCACTTATTTACAAAATTAAAAACACGATCCAAATATAAAACACAGAACAAGTGGTTAATTTAGGCCTTTTAAATTGTGTGACTACAAGGCTGGAAACAGGAGTTACCACCTGGGAATGATGCATGAACACAAAGTGAGCATAGTGAGAGGTTTTTCTGCAGGACAAAATGATGTCAAAATGTCACTCGGACACACACAAGCTCCAAACGTGTCTTTCTAGGAAGACATTCTTAAACAACCAGTGACAAAAGATTTATTTCTTAAGTTTAAGTTGTAATTAGTCTACTGATAACATCTGAAAGCAATGGCAAATTGATATAGAATGTCAAACAGAAGAAACACTCACTATAGTGAGCTTTAATACTGATGGAGACACAATTTGAAATGTTACACAAGCTTCATTGTACACTATTACTGAGAGGTAAGCTTGGTCTAAGCTCTCCTAAATGTATTAAATGCAGTTTACAAATTGGCACATATGAACATTTGTTTTGGAAATGTGCAAAGACACAAACATTTTTTAGAGAAGTGAAAGATTAAATTGTTGATAGAATATGACCTGGAGCTATCGCCAAGGCTAAAACAACGCTAAACTGATTGAATACTCTTATATATTGCGAGAAAGACTTTTGTCAAGTTGTGGATCTGTAAGGACGTCCCTGCTGTGGATGATCGGTGTAAGGAGGTACTGAGTAAAAGTGACCTACACCCTTCATGATAATGTAGGGGGATTCAATAAGATATGGCAACCGGTCTTGGACATGGTGGGCCCCTCTGGACTGGACCTTGTTCTACCTACTTAACAACATTGGACTACAGCGTACTAGTAATTTGAACGGAATCATGTCAGTGTGATGGTGTGAATGTTTGTTTAGTCTTTCAGTTTTACTTTGTTTTGAATCATGTTTGTGAATTTGCAACTTCCTATTTTAAGGTGATTCAGAAACTATCAGAAACAAAGTGGTTCTGTGCATATTCAATGTCACCAGGACTTTGTCACAGCAAACATTATAATAGAAAAATCCCAGGTTTTTACTAATGACATTAACGATAGCTCCATCTTAGTAACAGCAGGGAACCTGCATGAACAGGATCCTGAAACGGAAGCACTTACAGGGAGTTCATCAGTCATTCTTGTTATTATGCACTTCTGGGCTTTTCCTACTGTGAGATGTCACAATGTCCTCTGTGGAAAGGGCTTATTAGGGGATTGACAATAAGTCAAAATATGATACTATTAATACAAAGAAACCAGTGATTCAGTCCCTGAGGTACACTGTGCATCGTTCCCCTGCAACAGAAATTTTATTCAAAGCTCTTCTGCTCACTTCTCGGGTTTTAGGGGATATCCCTCGTCTGCTGTCACACTCACCTCTTACACTACATATGGGACTCTTTTTTTAAAATATTTTTATTGCATTTACTGTGTCAATGCTGTATTATGTGATTATAGGCATTTTTTAACTAGATCAGATTTCAATTCAAAGCCAGCAATTCAAATTAAGTGGTTTGGAGCTAGTTCTTAAGAAACAGTAGACATCACTATACTCCATAGTTCTGTGTTCCTGCTCTCAACTTAGCTTTGTTTGTCCTTCGCTCTCAGGTATATGATGCAGTGGCCTGGAGGAAGGATCCTCCAGAGACATGAGCTAGATGCCTTCCTGGCCCAGGCTGTTTCCAGCCAGCTCTACGAACCCGACCAGCTACAGGAACTCAAGGTGAGACACAACTCCTCCTTCCATCACTGTTGGGGGGTTTCCTACTGAATACACATGTTTCTGCACGTTATTTTCATTTAGTTTCTACTTTCCTTTATTTGTGCTCTTGTTTAGTGCAGTGTGTTTTTGAGAAGCACAAAATCAAGGTGCACAAGTTCGGTACAGGGCTGCAACTAACCATTATTTTCATCATCAATCAACCTGGCAGTTTATTTTTTTTCTTAACGGTCCCATATTTTATACTTTTCCTGTGTTTTATTTGAAGTGTAGTTTTACATCTCCTCTCTCAGGCATCTCTCTGGAGCTCTAGTAACAACAGGTCAGTGAGCCAATCAGAAGAGAGACTCTGAGTCTCAGAGAGACTCTTGAGTCTCTCTTCTGATTGGCTAACTGTTTTCTGAGTGGTCAAATAAAAATATAGCAGATTTCAGGTAAACACTCACAAAATTGTGAATAAATGCCCCTCACTTTGCATTTCCCAAGGTGGCATTTTAAAATGTTTTGATTTGTTTAACTAAGTCTAAAACCTAAAGATATTCATTTGACTGTGATATATGACAAAGAAAAGGAGCTGAAAGCAGAGAATGTGTTGAAAGTTTTGATTGAAAGATGACAAACAATTACTCCATGATCAAAATTTAGCAGTTGAAGATTATTTTTCTATCAATCAAATAGTCATTTCAGCTCTAGTTAAGTTGAAACAAACCCTGGTGCGTGTGTTTGGACTCACGCACCAGGGAGAGCTGTGAATCAAACTCTGGTGCGGACTAAACAACTGGACCAAGGCCGCATGAAAAGGAGGGTCTCAGCCCGCCTCCAGGCTGACTCTGGTGCAGATTGTTTGTGGTCTGAAATCAAACAGTACTACCAGAGAATTTAATGATAGTAGATGTGTGACTTCTTTATTTGGTAACTATGGTGATATGTAGGAATATGTGTTTGTGTTGTAATCCATGTAGTTCATTGATTCAGTACTTCAGTCAGTTCATTAATGTATGTTTGTATGTACAATAAGTCAGACTGAAGCTAATGGAAAAGTCCCTCCAGACGTTTCCACTGCTGAACATTTGACTATTTGTTGAATTCAGACACAGTGACACTGTCATGCTGTTTGCCTGTTCTCTTCTCACTCCGCTGTCAGTCTACTCCAACACACACACACAGCAAACAGGGTTCCCACACATCCTGGAAAACCTGGAAACTTTCAGACCAATTTTTAATTCTTGATTTTAATTCCTAATGCTTGGTTAGGATGTCGCTTGGTTAGGATGTCGCGTGTGTGCATGCGCGTGTGCGCCTTTGACAGATGGAGCTGAATGAATACAAGCCATGAGTGTACATGTCTGTTTGTCTGTGCGAGTATGATTGTGTGAGTATAGTGTAAGACTAAAAACTCTTTAGTCTTTTAAGTCTTTTTGAAGTCTTCTAGTGTATGGTGGGTATATGGTGCCTGTAAACAGAATGATAGATCAGGGTTTTTACACTGAAATCTAATATTTCTATACACGATTCACATGTTTTCCTTTCTTGCTTTTTGTGCTCCTGATTTCGTCTCTTTGTGCAGAGCATGTTTGAGTCTGCTGGCTAAACTAATCTCACTATCCCTCCTTTGCGGCTATTTAAGTGATCTTGATGAAAAAAGCCAAATTCTTCTGAAATCCTCCTTTGAGACAAAGTGTGACGTGTGTGCCAACAAACCATGTGTTCAAGAGCTTGTGATTCACAGCTCCTCTGCACTGTCATGTCTTCTGTCTTCTCCTCATCTCTGTGTACTGCGCACAGTCTGAAATTACTGTCACTTCTCATTTGTGTGTTGGCTGTCAGGTGGAGAAGGTGGATGCCCGTGGTGTGCAGCTGGCTGCTCTCTTTATGGCCGGCGTTGACACAGCGCTGTTCATCAATGATGTGTGCGGCCAGCCGTTGCCGTGGGAACACTGTTGTCCCTGGGGCTTCTTCGACGGCAAACTGTTCCAGAGCAAACTGGCCCGGGCCGCCCGCGACCGGGCCGCCCTGCTGGACATGTGTGAGGGGCAGGTACGAACCAGAGAGTGTTTGTGTGTGTGTGTGTGTGTGTGTGTGTGAGTTTTTGGGTGTGTGTGTGTGTATGTGTGTGTAATCCTCTCAGCTCATGGCAGCACAGTGATGGAGGGAAATGAATGAGCAAGTGATGGAAGTTTGTCTTTCAAGACCAGAAAGCCAATATAAACCCACAGTTTTAAAATGATAAAATGTTCAATGATAAAACGACAGACAGACAGACAGACAGACAGACAGAGTACTTTAATAATCCCAAATGACAAGAAAATCACAGAAGCAATGAGGTAGGTAAAAACTTTTTGACTTTTTACTGTTTAATTCCAGTTTGGTAACATGCTGCATGTTAAGTATTTTTTTGTATTTTAAGGGGTGCATGTCTCAAACGGACTTTTAATACTGGAGTGCTGTTGACACCAGCATTTTAGTGCCTTGGTTTAAAGGCACTTAGACAGTAATTATTGAGTAAAGTAAAGGAGAAATGTGATCTCATCAGTGTCCTCACTCAAGACTTTCCCAGGCTGTGGTGGTGTCTTCATCTCAATAACTGTACCTCAAAGGCTCAGTCACGGCCGTCTTTCTGCTCTGCAGGAGGAGCTGGTGTCTAAGGTCGAGAAGATGCGTCAGGCGATCCTCGAGGGCATCAACCTGTCCCGCCCTCCTCCTCCTCCCCCTCCTCTTCCACCTCCTGCCTTCCTGCCCCCTGCCATGGTGCCCCCTTTCTACCCCATGCCTCCTCTCTACCCACCTCGCCCCATGGGCGGCATGCCCCCTCATCATCACCCACATCATCCACATCACCCCGCCCAGCACAGACCCAGAGCCTTCCCAGGTACAGAGTTGCTTTCTCATATTGTCTCTAAGTAGACAATAGCCTGTCCCAATTTGATACAACACACTCATTCTAAGCAGATCCAAATATGCATTGCATAAAAACGGAGGCCATTTGGTGCATGTATTGTATACAATTGGGACAGCTCTAGTTTGTCACTTCAGACTGACTCTACAGTAAGAAAAGACTGTCTGTCTAAACTGTCAATAATGTTCTTCTTTCTTCAGGCATTCAGTCCATCCCCCCTCAGGGAGGGAAACTGGAGATAGCTGGCATGGTGGTTGGCCAGTGGGCTGGGAACAAACCAGTCCGCGGAAGAGGGGGGTTCAACATGCAGGTGGTGTCAGTGGGAGCAGGGAAAGGGTGAGTAATATGGTCTTTTAGTCTCCAAAACAACACTTTTGCCACAATAACTTTTCAGGAAGAATGTAGATATTGAGGAGCTTGGATATACTCTGTATAACTGTGAATAGTATCAACTACAACCTATGTACTTGCTGTATATAGCTATATTGTTATGCAACTGCCAGCTTTCCAAAGCTGTAACATTTACATTTCATATGCAGGCTCTTTTGCCCTGCATTTTTTTATGTTTTACCAGAAAAGTATCAATTAAAGCAATAACTTTCTATATTTTGGACACAACAGAGATAACGTGTGAATGGGTGGTTATAAAGTAATGAGGGATTGAATTTGTCTTAAAAGATGGTGTGACTGAGCCCTAAGACTGATGACTAATATTTCCTCACTTTAAGGGGGAACTGATGTTAAACATCAAATGCTGTCTACAGTGTTACTGTATTTGTGAAATATGTTGTGTAAAGCCTTTTTTTTTTGTTTTTGTTTGTTCAGTATGAGTTTGAAAATAAACAGTCTGGGTATGTGAAGTTAGAAAAAAGAAAACAACCTCCCTGTTTCTGCTGCATTGACATGTAGTATTTTATCCATCAGGAGTCCAACAAAGTTACAGAAGTGCAATACGAGATGGGTACTTTTTAAATGACTCTGTTTCTTCATCACAGGAGGGGTAAAGAGATTCCAGCAAAAGTAAGGGGAGGGAAAAAGGCAGCTGCCAACAGAACACAGGTATGACCCATCAAGTAACAAACCAAACTTTTACACTAAGCTGTATCGCCCTGTAGTTCATATCCTGACATGAACGTTGAAACCACCAGAGAACATCACAGATATCAATTCCCTCTTTGTCTGTCACGTTCCCACACTCTTTCTCTCCTTCTAATGCCTCCTGCTGTTCTGTTAAAACTCCTCCAGACGTCATCATCCCCCCCAGCCAGCAGTCCCCCAAAGCCCTCAGAAGAGGCGGGCTCCACGCCAGAGGTTGCGACTCAGCAGCTGAACGGCAGCTCAGCAACCTCCGCCATCGGCCAGTCCTTGGAGCTGGCCCCCCTGGCCCAGCCAATCCCGTGTGCCTTAGCCAGCAGAGACAACCAATCAGAGGGGGTGGAAGTGGAGGCCCCCTGTTGCCTTGACGACTGCCCGTCAGACGGAGCGCTACAGAAGGAAGAGTGATGGCATCCTTCCTGGGATGCACTGCTCTGAGAGAGTTATCTGTGTTCGACTGCCTTTCCCTGTTTTTGTAGCCCCGCCTGCTAGCTGTGCACCTTATCACATGGAGCAGGAGGTGAAGCGAGGCTCCTCCTCGGCCTCCCCCGCTGCTCCATGTGATAGGCTAAAGCAGTTAGCTGTTACTCCCTTTTTAGTTTTCTCATGTGGTTTTACATTATTTTATGAAGAGAGGTCTTCTCCATGAGTCTGTAAGCGCCCCACCCCTCAAAAATCCTAAATGCCTCCCTCCCGCACTCAGAGTAAAAATAAGCTTGAAGCCCCACCCCCATTACAACCCACCATTTTGAACGAGCCCCCTCGAAGTATGGGTATCTGTACAGTTTAAGATTCTTATTTTTTTGTTTTTAATGGTCCCGTTGTTTGAATCTCTGCACACAGATGTTAAGCTTGCGGTTACGGTGACAGATTGGATGTGGTTTCCGTGGTTACAGCATCTAGGCCTGGTCGCCATGGTCGGTAGTTGTGTGTTAATGTGGTTTGTTGCCATAGCCATCTCGTGTGAGTTTGTCTTACATGAGTTGAGAGAGACGTTCAGAGTGATGTACCATTCTTCTGTGCAGTGACCCTCGTCCCCCTCACTCTGCAGGCTAGCCACACTGCTAAACACACAGTGTTGGCACACTTGCTAGCATCAAACCCCTTTATAGATCAATTGGTTATCTATCACTGGAGCACTTCTGCACCGCCATGGTATTAGTGTGCTATTTTACTTTGACCTATGTAGCATAGCCTAGTGCTTAGCTGTTGTGCTAAGAGACCCCCATGAATTTATGCACCTTAAGCCCTAAAGTATGCAAGATTTTCCCCCCGCTCCTCCAAAAACAAAAAAAGTGCATTATTATATTATATTCCCACCCCCCCCTTTGTCCCTTTGTCCCAAAGCTTTGATTGTATTATCCCAACAGAAGCACTTAATGTTGTATTTAAATATAATGAAATTGAACAAGCCCCTGTACAGTTGAATTGACAGTCTGTGAGGGGTGTCCCCTGCGCCTAAGTAAATCATAATGACATGTAGAACTACATTTAAAGGTAAAGATCTATTTGAGAGACGTCAGAATGTGAACAGAGTGGTTTCAGACAAAGAAGCACTTTGTTTTAAAAAATGTTAAACCACACTGGACAGTCCTCTACCAGGTGATAAAGAAATGAGAAACTCTGAGGCACCTTCTGGAGTTAAGGCCAAAAAGAAAAGAATAATGCTAACCCAGCGAAAGATGGAGATGGATGGTGAGAGTTTGGGTGACTGCTGCCAGGCAGAGTTCCCTTCAGACTGGCCTCACACATTCAATCAAGAACTTTGCAATGAAGCTGAAAGGACTCCTGATTGTCCATGTCAAGGATTCCCGGGAATCATTTCAGATTTCTAAAAAGTTATTTCCAAAGTGTATTTTAATAAGGCTAGCCGACTGAGGCGGCCACTGATATAAAAGGGGTGTGGCAGCAAAGCCTCAAAGATCCCTCCACCCTCAGGTGGTGGTTGAGCAACTGTTGTCATGACAATAGCCCAACACCAAGAGCTGTTGCCCCGCAGAGCTCTGGTGTGTCACTTTAGACCAGCAGGAAGCACTTCCCTGCCCTGAAGCACCTCAGCCACAGCAGAGGCTTTATGGGTTGGATCACATGTCACACGACAGGGGAGAGGGAGGCCTCATGGCGGACCTGAGAGTGCCGCTCACAATCTGAGACTTATAAGATACTGAATTGTTTTATTAGAGCACTTATGTTTGTAGAGAATGAGATGTGTCCCCCACAGTAGGTTTCATCTGACAATGGAAATACAAATATGTACTTCTTACCGATTACTGGTAGCACAACTGCAAATGTAAAAGCAGTAGACCGACAAATATTGCCTGAGAGATGCTGGCCATGAACATTGTAATCTCTATAAACGTACGTAAGAGGTTGAAATGAGCTCATTTTAAAAAAAGGCAAGTCAACAAGAAGCACCTTATTTTCTTACTATGTTGATGACTTGTGCTCTATTGTGTGCCACAAAATTGACATGGATAAAGCTCTTATGAAATGCCGTTTTGAAGGACAAAACCCTGACTATATATGTAAGTGTTAATGTAGTCGCGTCAGACATCCCCTCTGTTATGAACTCAACACATTACAGTGAAACGCTGACAGTTGACCCAGCCATGAGTGTAGGCGTACGCTCATCATCACAGGGCTGGGCCGCGCCGCCGTCTCTTACACCAACACCAAATGAAATCAGAGGTTTGGACATGTTAGCCGTTATTGGTAGGGATTAAGCATGCGAGTGCTTTAGGTGTTTATAGGTTAAGAGTAGGTAACAGCGTCGGGCTTAACACATGACCGTAATACACAGACACCAAGACTAGGCTAGAGAATATAGCTCCACTGGCCGAAATACTAAGTCTAGAATTACTAGGAGTCATATACTTAACTGCTTTCAACTTTTGACATTAGTACAAATATGTGTATCGCAACAGTACATTGTTAGAAGATGGCTTTTCTGCGGCGAGCCAGAGTGTGATCCGGTTTACGATGCCCTCTCTCGATTCGCTCGCCAGATAACCATTACACACACACACACACACACACACACACACACACATACACACACACACGTATAAAACAAGAGCACATAGACGCAGACACGCGCACACGACAGACAGGTATTCAGTTGCATTTGTTATCAGCAGCATTCTCTCTGCTTTTGTGCTGAAGTGATTTTGTGCAGTTTCAGTTCCCAGTGGAGTGGTCGTCAGTTCATCAAGAGATCATTTGGTAACACATTCTACTGACTCGAAAACCCCACATTCACAAGTTTGCATGGACGGGTTAAAAAAAAAAACAAAAAAAACAACATGTTAGCGGTGTCGTCGGGTAGGCACAGAAACAACCATCTATACACACAACACATTAATACACACACACACATACACACAGATACATAGATGTTAAACCCTGAGTTACACAGTAGCTAGTATGGAAAAAAAAGTCAACACAATACATGATGTAGTGTCCCTCTTTTGTCCTTGTCTGTTTTAGTTTGATAGATATTTGATCAGTGATTTTTATGCTTGTTATCCTAACCCCCCCACCCCCCCAACCCACTCCCATCATCTTCCTGCTATGACACTTTCTCTCGCCTGCCCTCCTCCCTACCCCTCCCCAAACTGTTCATTCACTTCTTTTCTCTGCCCTCGTATCTTCCTCATAGATGACATGCTCACACGTGCACACACATACACACACATCATACCCATTGATTGTCATTAAAAGCAGCCACACACAAATACAGATATTTTACACACAGGTTACCCCCCCCCCCCCCACCCCACTCTGTATTTCAGTTCTCTCTTTCACTCTTACCACCTCCCTCTCTGCCTCTCCTTTAGCCCTTAGGACCGTTACTATTGGCCGTTTTTCTCTTTTTCTCTTTGGGCTGCCCCGCCCCTTAATCAACCCAACTAACAGTAAAGGTTATATTAACGTTGATAATCAGTTTCTGTATGTATCTAGCCAGAGTCTGGAAAAAAAAATCAGAAAAAAAAAATCAAAACTGTTTTATTCAATTGTGCAAATGTGTTTTTCTTACTATTTTTAATGTTATTACATCTTCTAATCTAATCCTTCTACCATTGCTTCAGTTAGTACTGAAATACGCTTAGCCAACCTAGAGATTTGAACTGTAATGATTGCGATTTTCCTTACCTGTATTTTATATGGCATCTTTAGACCACTTCACCATTTATGATGTACGTAAGTAAATATTGCCCGTTTTGTTTTGTTTTTTTTCGAATTGAAAATCGTTGTCTGCACTATGTTTGATTCTCATAATATCCCTGATAACGATTTTGTGGTCGACTCATTATCAATCGAAGCTGAACTCTGCGCCCTTGCACAAAGCAGCGAAACATCTCTTGTAAACACCTGAGAACCAAAGTGCACCTAGCATCCCCCTCTATCCCCCTTGAAATTCCCTATAGTCCCCCCCCCCGCCCTGACATTGACAGTTTGCCCCGCCCCTCGCCCAGAGTAACAAGTTTTCTGATGAGTATGATTATATATATAATGACATTACAGCACGTGTGATTTTATCTGACAAGTCTGTGACGTAACAGTGTTTTTACACTGTGGTTGTTGTGGAGACGCAGACAGACAGGGAAGAAGGAACGGAGTGTGTTCGCGGACAGTGAGTGAGTGAACGAGCAGGCAGGTTTGGACAGTGAGTTTGTCTTTTGCAGGCATTGTGGGTAGATTCACCGCTCATGTTGCTCGCTTTCGCTCAGTTGTGAGCTCTTCATTGACTGAATTTAGGCTGTGTGAACCACTGCACACGCTCGCATCAGATCTACACTAATACACAGGAAAGAACGACACCTGACAAATATGCTTTCACTCTTGCTGGGGTTTTGGCGCCCTCTTTTGCATTTTTCTTACATGTAAATTGTTGCGCTCTCTCAAACTTGCCTTTAACTCCCCAGACTCAGATTGACAGAGCACACAGAGCTATACTGAGTCTTCATACTGTAAGTGGGCATGGAGGCTGTCGAAAGTGGCTGAGTTTTCCTCAAAACACAAATCTGAGACCGGTTGCCTTCCAGTAGATGAAATGTGAGCCATTAATAAAAATCAGGAGAAAGACTTTTGGGCTGAAACAAGTAGTTGATTGATGGGAAATTAATTGGCAACTATTTTGAGTCATTTTTCAAGCAAAAATACAAAGCATGCTCTGTCAGTTGGGAAGATTTCTTTTAGAGCTGCAATGATTAGTTAATAAATCGATTATTCGAGTGCCTGAAAATTAATTGGCAACAATTTTGATTTTAAAACTGGTTCCAGCTTCTCAAATGTGAGAATTTGGGGCTTACCTTTGCCTTACATGATGGTAACCTGAATATGTTTCTGTGTAGGACTGATGGTTGAGTAAAAACAAGCATTTTTGCATTTCAATTTCTTTCTTATGTGAAAGTAAAATCCTTGGGTTTTTACCTGCTGCTTGAACAAAACCACGAATTTAAAAATGTCACTTTTGGTTTTTGTTTATTGTGATGTACATTTTTCACTTTTTTTGACACTTTATAGACTGAACAATTGATTAATAGAGAAAATAATGTATAGGTTAATCTGTAATGAACAAAAACATAAGTTGCAGCCCTAAAAGACTTGCTACTGAGCTTTCTTTATCATCCACATAAATTAAATTCTTTGGTGATTTTCTTGTCAAAGACAAGTGGAAGGCATAACAACAAACCATCTCAGCTGAAATGACATGAGGAAAATTCACTCCTCTCAAATGAAATGATGAGAGTTGTGTCAGTTGGATGAAAGCACCTTGCCTCTGTGCCTACAAAAATGGGAGCATCTCTGAAGAGTTTGACAATGTTAAGAGAACCAAAAGTCCCAGAATAGAGATGTACTATGTAGTATTGTAGAAGTTGAACAGTATTAATGTCTGTCATACAGAATGTGGAAAGGAATCATCTGTTGTTTTGTACCTGTTCTGATCTAATTGCAGGATTCTCACAGCATTTTGTCCAGTTTGAATTAAGGTCCCTATTCTGTCTGTCTCTCTCTCTACACTGCCACTCCCCCCCTCAACAGCCCCCCAAGCTCCAGTATAAGCCCCCCTTCTCTCTCTCTCTCTCTCTCTATGGCTGAGTCCCAGTAAGGGGCTCCATTTGATCATTGTGGGCCATTTCTTGTCACGTTGGTCAATCACGCCCTCAGCAACATGTGTACCAGTGCATGTACTTGAGTTCCCAGGGCCACCCAAAACTACCTGTGCAGCAAAAAGGGTTAAATTTATCCATAATATTATTGTTATAGAAATATTATCATCATCATTATTGCTGTTATAATTATGGTTGGTATAATTTGTCATCATTGTTAGCATTATGGAAGCACCAGACTGTTTGTGTAAAGACGAGAAAAAGAAAGCTTTTTTTTTTTTTTTTTATTTGTCTGGCTGTTGGTGGTCTGATCTCACAGAGGGAGGGGAGGAATGGTTCAGAAAGAGACAAAGATGGCAGTCATGTTTGTACTGGTTGGGAAATGACTTACAGTGCTGAAATAAAATTTATTCTTTTAGTAAAAAAAGTATTTGTTGTGTCCAGTGTTGTGATTTTTAGATTTACTTTCGCTTTGATTTTGAAATCTTGAAATCATTTGTACTGTACACCTAACTCTAAGTGGCTTGTTTTATTGTAGTTAAGCAGTCTATAAAACGGCCCTTTCAGGAATAAAAGTGGTCAAACAATCATTTTGTCTATTTGCATAAGATTGCAAATTAACCACACAGTGACACAAACTAACCATAGACGCCAAACAACGACAAAGTGATGCAAAATGAGCACAGAGAGACACGATATTACCACAAAATGATCACAAAGTGATGCAAAATGACCACAAAAAGACGCAAACAAACATTAAGATACACAAACTCCCGAGCTGCATGGTTGGGCCTGTTGTGTCATAATCCGCCCATGTTTAACTGATGTATAAAGCATTAGTAAATTATGTAATAATCATTAATAAAGTCATTAATTACAGCTTATAAACCCCACCTTATCAGACAGTGGAACTTTTACTTTTAATGGAGAATTACCACTATGTGGTAATGATACTTTTACTTTGGTAAAAGGTCTGAGTACTTTTTCATAGGATAAAGGCTCGGTGATTTGCGCTGTGGCTGCGGCTGAAGTCTCGTTCTGGGCGCGGAAATCTCGAGATATTTTAACATGCCACTAGCTCTCAACCAGCGATCACAAACCCGCTCCGCCTGGAAAGATGGCGAGGATGATAGCGGAGCCACCTGGGCTAACTGAAGGCTTGAGGTAAACCCCGCTACTTAGGGTTGGCACACACGTAATCGACGAGTTGGGGGGGAAAAGCTCGCCGTTGTAGACAGTCAGCCGCGGGTCTGCGTGAGTGTCTCCGGGACGGCGGATGTGACAACAGCCGGACTGAGAGGTCGAGAACCGCCAATTCCAGCTAGCTGTCAGCTAGCTGCTTAGCTGACTTCCAAGACACGCTGCGCTTACATGCTAAATTCACTCCGTTGCATCATCAGCACCTAGTTTTCGCTCTTACTCATATAATAAATGTAGCCGTATTGTCAACAACACCAAAAAGCTTGTGTTAACCAGTTTGAGAGGCTGAGGTAGTGCCCAGGTTAGCCTGTTAGCCTCACCTGGTTTAGGATACAAGCTGCAGGCGTTAGTAATGTAGTAATATATGTTGGTTAGGTTCATGTGTGTTTGTGTAGATGCCAGCCCATCATGTCCTGCTCCTTGTAGCATGTGGTTTTTTTTGTATCCTAGGCTCTTGTCTGGCACTGGAGACCCCCCTCAAGGACAGGAAGCCTCTGAGAAGTAGGCTTCAACATTTTCAGACCGGTCACCTTTTCTTTTTCCTCACGTCTTACCCGATCACTCCTGTCTTTGATAGATATGGGTTTTAAATTCGTTATCTTAAAGATCTCAGTGATTTGGACTCCAGAGAAGAACCAGGGGAGCTGTGGGATGAGGTAGTAGTTTGTATAGTTTTAGGATCACACCAGATCTGGGAGATAACTATACAGCCTACTGTCTTTCTCACGGCATCCAAACCATCACCTGCATGACTGCAGAGACTGCCTGACATGTCCACGTCTTGTTGCCACAGGGACTCTGTTGTCAGAAATTGCACAATGAATACTAGATCCGGTTTACTGGATGTATTCTGTTTCCCTGGCTGTTCTCAAATTGGACACCTTTCAGAAGACAACATCTGTCTCATTAATAATCCTACTGATATTATTGCAGCTCAGTTAAACACATCACAAACTAAATCCCAAACTTACTTAAAGATGGGACAAATTTCAAGTCTGCCCTCGCACAGTGACAACAAATCTTCAGGAATTCTTTTGGGTTCTGTTTTCCTGGTGCAGGGCAGATGTGTTTGTAGCTGTGCTGTGGTGAGGTAGTAAGTTGTGTTGTTGTGGGGTGTGGGATATTGCAACCCCTATTTTGGAGATACAACTATACAACTTACTGCCTTCCACAATGTGGCAGCATGAAGCACTGTGTTCCAGCATCTGCAGTATTTTTAAGACAGGTACATGCTACTTTTTTTAACAGCCTGTATTGCAGGTCTTGAATCTGCAAGTAAATAGGTAGATTTTCTGTTGAAAATGTGTTTTGCTGATTTAAAACAAAAATTGTGTGATGACAGAAAATTAATGTACACTTATTTTGATAGTAGGTCTTTAATTTTTTAAAGTAAAGAAAAGTTAAAAAAAAAAAATACAGTTACAGCTTTTTAAATGTAGATATTTGCTTTTATATGTCTGATATTAAGTTTTATTAAAATGTTTAGTTATTTTTTTTATTATTATTTTATCATTTTATTTTAAGTCCCCCTATTTAGCTTTTATAGACAATGTACAAAATATGTTTAATACATGGTTTATAACACGCTACTATGTCGCTGTAACCAGATACAAGAACATTTTTTTTAATGGACAGTATTTGTAAGGAATTATAGCATCTACTATGATAACATTTTGTTTTATGACAGCTGTGTTTTACTATGTTTTGGTCAGTCATCATTTGTTCATGCACCAGTCTCCACTTCTCAGTTGTTGACAAATACATGAACAAAACATTTTTTACATTCATCTTCTTACAACTATATCATAGAGTTGCAACGATTAGTTATTAATTGATTAGTCAATCAACAAAAAATGTATCAGAAATTTCATTTAAGACGTTACTGATGTTGACAGTTTATAGATAAATGACTAATCGATTAATTGAAAATTAAAATAATTGTTAGTTGTAGATCTATTGATGCATTATGAACTATTTATTAAATGTTTCTGTACTGTTAGTTTCAAATCTGCTGATTACTTCGATTAATCTTGTGGGCTGTATAATGTCAGACATTGGTGAAGAATGCAGATCGCAGTTTCCCAGAGTCCAAGGTGACGGTGCCAAATGTCATATTTTTCTGACTTACAGTCCAAAACCCAGAGATATGCAGTTTACTATGATTTAAATATATATATATGTATATATATATAATATGTGATATAAAATTTGCATTTTCTCTCATTGGAGATGCTGCTACCAGAAACTGGTTGGAGTCTCTTTTTAAAAACATGACTGAACCTGTTAAATCAACTTTCAAAATAGCTAATGATTACATTTCTGTTGCTTGACTAAATGATTAATAAAGTAATCTTTGCAGTTCTAAACTAAATATCTCTGACATTTGGACTGCTGGTTGGACCTAAAATAAATTGCTTCATTGTGAAAATAAATAAACGGATTTATCAATAATAAAAAAAATAATTATTGGCTAGACCTCTGCTTCTGTTTCCCTTGCTGTTTTTTCATACTGTGACATTTGTATTTAAAGTGTTCGACCCATCTTGATTTCCAGGCCGAAATACGTTGAGTAAAATCTTTATTAATGTCTCAAACTACAGGTTTTTTATTTGCTAAGCTGTACATAAAACAGGATTTCAGGCCTCTGTTGTCAAGACACTCATGTAACAGTTAAAACTGTTAAAAGTCAAAATTTCATTTGTAAATTGGAAATAAAATCTAAAATACAATAACGTCTGAAGCATCAGTTGGTCTCCTGAGCTGACCTTGCTCAGCTGCAGAGTTGCTGTGATTGGACAGCATCCCTCATATTTATCCTGATAACCAACCTATAACAAAAGGGGGGCGTTCCTGAACGCTTCCATCGATTGGTCACATCAGAACCACGAGGGCGTGGTTCAGCGGTCCTTTCCATGCTGTGACCAAAGAGGCATAAAATGACAGAGCGCCCACACTCACTTTGTTTTTGGATACAACTCCCTCTCCAATCGTGAAGTATGCACTGATTTTACAGTATACAAATACATATAACTACATATATTTATGATTGCTTTTGTATGTTCATCTGTATTGTCCTTGCATTGGCTGGCTGTACATCTTCTTGAACATAGTTTTTGAAACTTTGTACAAGTCATTGAGAAAAGCTAGAAGGTCAAAAGTCAAATTCCTTGCGTACGTTAACATATTTGGCTATTAAAGGTCATATTTTCACAGAAAAAATGTTTAAATTTATGTATTTAAAAATTTTTTCAAGAAACATTTCATGTTCAGCAATTGTTACTGTAACTACAATCATTAGTTGGCATCAGCAGACTACATAAAGGACACATTATGACATTACAAATTCCACTGGTGAAAGAAGTACCTCAGATCCTTTACTCAAGTAAAAATACCACATACAACAAAAGTCCTGTATTGTGAATATTGCTTATGCTAAATAAATATTATTAGAAACATGCAGTTATACTGTCAAGTACTGTATAGTGCAGAAACATGAACCCTGTGAGTGTTATACTATTATGCTGTAGCTTACATTATATTATTGGATGACTGCAGCATTAATGTGTCAATAGCAAATATGGAATATTTGCTATTTTTGCTTTTATATTAGTGAATAAAAAAGATTAATAGTTTATCAAATAGTTGCCAATTAATTCTGTTGATTGACTCATCTTGTTTTTCACACTGTATGGCTTTACATTTTAAAACATGTCTTGAATAGGTTTTAAAATATGTAATAAAATAATGTATAAGAATCGTTATTAATTTTGTTAGTTGATAAATTACGATTGCGTAAGAGCCCTTAGCATTTTTTACAAATAGTGACTCCTCTTGAACATAGACGATCTTTGGTGTGACGTCACGGCCGTCTGTCCGAACAAACATGGCGAACATTCGGTGTGTCAAGGTGAGGAAAGAAAAAATGAATCTGTCTGAGCTCCGCATTTATGCGTTTATGTTATTTACTGCGAAAGAATATGATGCTTAAGACTGATAACGAGCCTGTGTTGTGATGCATGCCAGTGTTTCTCCTCCTGCCCGGCTGTTTTCCCTGTAGTTCTGAAGTTCAGCAAACGTGTTGGGAATCAATTAGTCTACACAGCGCCCTCCGTCTTGTGTTTGACACCGCAGACCACCTTTATTTATTTAAAGGCTCGGTCCGCTTAAATATAAAACGCATTGTGATTTGCCTCTTGCATATAAGTCTGTCTAACCCTGCATATAATTTTAATTATATTTATCCTAGTCTTAAGATATCCCTCTCTGAAATCTTTGCCTGATACGGTGTTTAGACTATACATCAGGCCAATATCAGCCCGACCCGACAGATGTAGGGCGTCAGGACAAAAATGGCCATGGGGCGTGATAATTTGTTGATTTATTTAGGTTGATTTGTTTTGTGTAGTGTATTTTAGTGGACGATATGTGATGCCACATCTGTGACGCCTCATGACAACCAAACAAAAGTTCTCGGTCACCTTCCTAGGTGTTTTAGAAGGTGAAGTTTATGGTTATATCACACGATTATTTTTAATTTTTTTGTCTGTGCTCTTCTCACTGGTTTGACGTGGTGGAAAAAATGGGCAGTAGAAACCAACTTAGAGAATAACTCACAGTGTACATGAAATGTGAGTTAAATGTCAAATGTTACAGAGACATGCTTAAGATGTAAAACCCTATCATGAGGTGCTGTGAAAAATGAAATAGAAACAGTGTCTCAGTTGTTGTAGATAACCCCAAGACCTCACTGTCAAATATGGTGATTATCTCAAGATATTAAAAAATGGTTTTCTAAAACCCAAAAAGATTGCATCTGATGTCCTGTAATGTCCGAGTAACAGTCCAGAACACACAGATATTCAATGTCCTATCACATAAAACAAAGAGAAGCAGCAAGTGGGAATATCGGGAATATTTGACATGTTTGTATGAAGTCCTATTCTGTTGATCAACTAATCGATAAATCGACCAAGTGTTTCAGCTCTAGAGCAATTATTCACTTGGGTAAGAACATCTATTGATTTCCAACTGTCCTACTACTTAATGACAAAATGTGTGAGGTTTTCTCCTCTGCATTTTAAATTAATCAGAGCAATTATCTCTCCTTCCATCCATCTTTCTCAGTGACCCAGGTTTTTCCCTGTATTTATTTATTTTTAATTCCCTGTCTTTCCTCTTTCCTGTACCACCCTCCCATCCCTGTACATGTGTGTGTGCACGCGTTGAATAGGGCATGGTTGGCCTGGTGACGGGCGGTGCGTCAGGTTTGGGCCGGGCCACTGTGGAGCGTCTGGTGCAGAGCGGAGCGTCTGCTGTGATCCTAGACCTGCCCTCCTCTGATGGACAAGCTCTGGCGGCCAGTCTGGGAGACCGCTGTGCCTTCGCTCCTGCAGACGTGAGTCCCAAACTCAGCAGACACATTAGATCTGGATGTTCACTGATACGAAAACAATATGTATGTTTATTTTGTTTGTTTCAGAGGTAATATGTAGTTTTTTCACATAATGCCAAATTTGAACTCTGTTGCAGTGGAAGAGTGGGGGAAAAAAAAGTGAATAAAATCTAGCTTATGGCTACAGTTGTAACTGGAGTTGCAATATACTCTCAGCTCAGTAGATGGCACTCTCACACCAAACAACACTGTCAGTACTGAATGCATGTAGTTCATGTTGATGCTGCATGTTCTGCTCCTGTACATTATTCATTATTTATACCAGACCCGTCTGTAGTTCCTTGATTGCATGCACCAAAGAGTGGTATCATCAGTTCATCTTTAGTACATTTACTCGTGTATTATTGAATATCTTAATTATCTCATCAGCCAGGATACAATTTAATGTGAGGTCTGAAACGGCCGTTGGACTAAAAGAGGCCTTGTCATTTCCTAGGTTACATCAGAGGCAGACGTGCAGTCAGCAGTGTCCCTGGCCAGAGAGAAGTTTGGGAAGCTGGACCTGGCAGTTAACTGTGCCGGCATTGCTGTGGCTGCCAAAACCTACAACTTTAAAAAGGACCTTCCTCACAGCCTGGAGGACTTCCAACGTGTTATCAATGTAAGATGGACAGACAGAAGAAATGGCAATACCAGCCGCAGCTCATCAGACAGTCATGTGTGACGTTTCTCTGCTTTTTTTTGTGTGTATTCCTGCAGGTGAATATTGCAGGAACCTTTAATGTGATCCGCCTCGCTGTGGGGGAGATGGGGAAGAACGAGCCTGATGCAGATGGACACAGAGGCTGCGTCATTAACACTGCCAGTGTGGCAGCTTTTGATGGACAGGTGATTTAAAACGCATACAAACATTAAAAAATAACAAAGTGGTTGCTCTGTTTGTCAGCTTTTTTTTTTTTTTTAATCTCTCTCTCTCTCCATTTTTGCTCCAGGTCGGCCAAGCAGCTTATTCTGCGTCTAAAGGTGGCATCGTTGGAATGACCCTCCCCATCGCACGAGACCTGGCACCCATGGGCATCAGAGTCATCACCATAGCACCTGGTTAGTTTACATACAATACATAACAGTTTTCAAATTAAGTAGGTGAACTAGAACATGTTGTCTACAAATATACAGAGAGAATCTAGCAGGATTCTGAGCTCCTGCTAAGAAATCATCTTTAAATCTCTACTCATATTTTTATGCCTCTGCGCCAACGACAGACGTGGCCACAGGTGTCATGTTTTTGGGTTGTCTGTCCATCTTCCCATTCTTGTACATACAATATCTCAGTAACACCTTGAGGGAATTTCTTCTAATTTGTTACAAACATTCACTTGGACTCAAGGATGAACTGATATGAACATATGAGAATACAAACCTTTTCCTTGAACATGGGATAAAAAAACAATTTAAGCCCATGAGTTGTCAACGGGTATTATCTTTCATTGTATTTGGTGTTACTATTGCAAAGTCTTGAATGAACCTTGGTGAACCCTGTAGAAACTATGTCTGATTTAACTTTGGGATACGACACTTCCTTGGCATCTAAATCAATACTCTAATTATTTCTTCCTCCAGGTCTGTTCTCCACTCCTCTCCTGGCTGGGCTTCCAGAGAAGGTGCGCTCCTTTCTTGCCCGACAGGTGCCCTTCCCCTCGCGTCTGGGAGACCCCGCAGAGTTTGCCCACCTGGTGACATCACTGGCTGAGAACCCCATGATTAACGGAGAGGTCATTAGACTGGACGGAGCCATTCGCATGCAGCCCTGAGACAGATGGTGTGTGTGTGTGTGTGTCTGTGTGTGTACGTGTGTACGTGTGTGGCTGCCTGGTATGTTTATGTCATGTTTAACTGTCATGGATCACCAACACCATTTTTTTGTGTGAGAGTGTGAAAGTTTGTAAAAATGAGACTGTACATCATTCAGAGCATTGCAGTGCTTTGTCAACTCCACTTTGGTTGTTTTGTAAACTAATGCAGATTATAATAAACCTCTGATGGGTTTGATTATCTACTCCAAGATTTTTTTTTTCTTAAAGACCTTAAAGGGGTTGTTTGGGTTGATTGACGTTGGATCCGTGCACTGCCAGTTCAGAGAAGCTGCAGGGAACACCACAGACGCAGAGCGATGTGCTGCTGTGCACGGTGCCAGACACTTTTAAAAGATGTTCACCGAAACAATCCAATATCTGTTTAAATGTACATTTCATTTAGAATATATTTAGCGTGTCACCTTCCTGTCAAAACAAAGTTTCTGATCCACTCAGCCGACCTGCGGCTGTGGCGTAATACAGTGTGCACTGTGGGTGTGCTTGTGCGTAGGAATACAATAGTAAAGTGGTTGAGAAAAATTTTATAAAAAAAGGAGATGCTGAATTGTAAACATTTCTTCCAGACTGGCAAGTAAACGGCTGTTAATGCTAATTTTGGCTATGTAGCAATAGTAAAATATACAAATAGCTCCTTTTAAATGCCTTGTATTTCATAAACCCATTGCATGTTTTTTTTATGTAAAATGTTAAAAATGTGAAAAATATCAAACAGCCTAACTGCAACTGTCAGATAATGTAGTGGAGTAAAAAGTGAAATGGAAATACTCAAAGAAAGTACAAGTAACATGAAATTGTACGTATGTACAGTACTTGAATAATTGAAGTCACTTAACACCACTGGTGGTAAGATTTCAGAGCATCCTTTTCTTCTGTCCATTTCCTTTATAAAAGTACACAAAGCCATCATGAACAGACTCCTCTGTTCTTCAGTCTGCATTCAGATCACACATGGGCTGCATTTTATTCTGTATTAGTTCATTGTCTTTTCATGAAATTTGAAGTTTTCTACAAAATGTACAAATTGTCCTTGGCAAAGCATGAACTAAAGGCAGCTGACTCATTTGCTGAAACAGGCTCTCCAATGTGTAGGGACACATTTCCTAAAACACGTCTCCTAAATATTTGGGGTGTATTTTCTAAAAGAAACATAGATATCAATGTGCCTTTTCCCAATGATTTTAAAGTGAAGAAATATGATATTACTGGAATGGTGGCTTCTTTTCTAAACCCTCCGCAAAACTATGAGTCTGGAGTGTGAGGACTGGCTGATTTAACCACATAAAAAACACGTGTTGGGTTATTGTCCTCTTGTGATAACAATTTCTAAATGATATGATTTCTCTGAACTACTATGTATATTATAATTTATGACATGCACATGCAGAGGGGGGCAGCTGGATGTCCAAAGTGCCCTTTGCTATAAGTGGCATACTTTATGTTTTTCCTCTTTTTTTTATTATCAAGAACAACATTTAACAATTAATAATAATTTAGCTATAAATAAAGTGACGTGGCTGCCTTCAGAGCATGGGTGTATTATGCTTCAGAGCCGTCCGTCAGTTTACGTCACATGATGACCTTTCACCAGAGGTCAACCATGACGTGTTCTAGGGTATAACGGAGTCACTGCCTTCACCTGGGACACATCAGACAGACTCAATGCTGGAGAAATATTGGAGTTTTGTTTCACTCTTCAAAAGGGAAACTTCAGCTGCTGGTAAGTGGCCTTCAATGCGGTATTATGTGTGCGTTGTTTTCGTGTATTTTACTAAACCAAGTGAGCACGTTTGTGTGAACTTTTCACAGAACAAGGAGCCATTAGCCGCAAGCTAACGGCTACATCACAATTGTGTTGCGGGTGAAAAGTATGAGCAAGTTTTAATGGGCGCCTTGTCTCTGTGTGTCATATAGTCTTAGTTACTTTCTTTTGTTATGGACGATTTTTATTAATGTCCAACGTTTTAAGAAAATGTATAATTTTATTTCCAAGTAAAAGTTAGGTAATCCCTATCCATAGTGCCATCATTAACTGGTATAACAGACTCTCCTGCTATGCGTTATGCTTTTCTTGTCTACATTTTTAATTGTAACACCTCCTCTACAATTGCTTTGTCATTGCACAATTTTGATAGATTAATCATTAAAACATAGAATAAACAACAACAACAATGGGAACATGAGCGTCAGAACTGGACAGAACACAGACTAATGGAAGAAGGTGGCCTGGTCTGATGAATCACGTTTTCTTTTACATCATGTGGATGGCTGGGTGAGCATTGCTCACCTGGGTAAGAGATGGCACCAGGATACACTATGGCCTCTTGCAGCAGGATAATGCGCCCTGCCACACTGCAAAAATGGTTCAGGAACGGCTTGAGGAACACAACAACAAGTTCAAGTTGTTGACTTGCCGTCAAGTTTCCCAGAACTCAATCTAACCGAGCGTCTGTGGGATGTGCTGGACAAACCAGTCCGATCCATGGAGGCCCCACCTCGCAATTTACAGGACTTAAAGGATCTCCTGCTACGGTCTTGGTGCCAAATACCACAGGACACCATCAGCGGTCTTGCGGAGTCCATGCCTCGACGGGTCAGGGCTGTTTTGGCAGCAAAAGGGGAACCTACACAATATTAGGCATGTGGTCATATTGTTATGGCTGATCAGTACAAGAAGCTAGTTTAGTGAAGTGGTTCCCAACCAAGGGGGCAGAAGAAGAAGAAGGTCGCAAGATAAATGTGGGGAGTCTGTAGATTAGTTATTTGCATTGACTTCTCTGTAATTTGACTTTTTTGTTATATTTTAGCCCCTCAACTGCTATTTAACCAGACTGCTATTTAACCAGACTGTACAAAAGAGTTCATGAGGCATGTGTTTTTTTAATGTAAAAATACTACTCGAGTAGTATTTGAGTATATGTAGTTACTTGAGAGCAGGAAAAATGCGTCACACTCTGGCTCCATGTGCATTTATACTTTAGTCTTAATAAATGAAGTGTAAATGCTTAAATAAAGTACATGTGACTTGATTTTGTACAATTAAAGTTTTGATAAAATAAAAATGCATATGGAGCCAGAGTGTGCATGACTTTTTTTCCTGCTCTCAATGCTGCATCCAGTGATCAGCACCTCTCTACAACCCTTGGTTTACATTACCTGTCCAGTATAAATGTGGTTTCTTGACACCACTGGTTAAGACTGTCATGAGAGATGTGTGGATTCATCCTTCCGTTCATTGTCCCTTACAAAAGTATAAATGTTACCTTTATGTGGCTTGTCCTTTTTTTTTTTTTCTCCCCTTGACGAACTCAAAGCCAAAAAAGCTAAAGCTAAAAAAAAAGCTAAAAAAATAACAAAGCTCATTGTAAACATTGCAATACCATGTAGAAGCGCCGTAGCGTTGGCTTGTTATTTGTGAAAAGGTTTGGCTCAGAGCCTTGGGCTTAGGAGCGCCACATATCTTTTTTGTTCTGTTTATTAGTTAAACAGCAGAAGTGGAAGGTGGTAAAGGAAAATGGAAAAAGGGAATGCTGGCCAATGATAAGTAAGTCATCTTATTTGTGCACTTTATTTTTAGTTTGACAAAACCTGATAATTTACCTAAAAGCACTAGACACTGAAAATCACAAAGTTCAAATTTATTGAATGCAGTGAGGCAATACAATAGAAATTGATGAAAATGTTTTCTTAATTTGCTTGTATTAATAATTCATTAAATATAAGAGATATCTATAAGCTGTTTAAAAGCGTGGTCTATAGTCATTCTTGACAATTTAAAAGTGGAATCATATTTCTGCCCGTTACTATGTGGGAGTAGCAGCGCTTTTTATTAATAAAAGGAAAGAACAAGGCAGGAAAAACAGCGTGTCTCTAGCTAAACTTGATCTAACACCAGCGACAACTGACTGTGGTTAACATGAGAAACTAACAGTGCTATAAGATCACTTGCTAATACTATGCATCTAACGCTTCTAACTATGTCATGATTATCAAAATACCTACATACTGTCGTGTTTTCATCTGATGTGAAAAACAACTTGAATCAGTAGAAATTCTCCTTTAGGCCAAACTCAGTCTGAACAATTTCTGTGATTCTCTCAGACTCCTGGGGTGAATGAGCTGGCAGAATGGCCTTCAGTTCACCCTCTATTTTCAGCATCCTGGCATTGATCTTCCTCTCAAATTCTTCCTTGTTCTTCAGGACCAGCTGCAGAATCCCGTCCTGGGCTGCTGTGCAGGACTCCCGCATCTTCACACACTGATCCTTGAACCCTGGTTCATCCTTATCCATGGCCAGGAGCATGCCCAGGCCGCTCACTGTGTCCATCAGGTACTTGTTGGACACTTCAGTGTAGGTACCTGAGATCATGTGAACAATACTGGCAATGTTGGAGGCTTGAAAGGCCTGGCTGTACAGGAGGTCTTTTGTAAAGAGCTTTTCAGTGTAAGACAGTTCCTTCAGTTCCTTTGCACCATCAGATGTCTTGACAAAATCAAGCAGTTTCTCATTGAAGCTGGCTTTGATGATGCTGGAGACCATCTGGAAGAATTGCACCATCTTCTCCCACTGCATTTTCACTCTGCCCATGGCACTGAGACCCTTTCTCAGTATTTCAATGGTGGTTTTAAAGTCAATCTCTGTGAATTCTAATTTTTGCATTTCAATCACAATATCTTTCAGCTCCTTCTGATTATTCACCATTTTCTCCACAGTCTTCTCATACTCCTGTTTTGCTTCTTTGAGTTGTTCTCGGCTCTGCTCAATGCGGAAATGGGCATTCTCACACTCTCTCTGACTGGCAGACTTGCGTCCTGAGTTCTGGGTCCCTATATTGAACATCATCGGTGGTTTGGGGGCAAGAGCTGGGGTGCCTGAAAATCTTTTGCTTTTACAGTCAAAAGTGAAGGCGTCATCATTCAGCTTCTCAATGTTCTCTATCAGCTGTTTAGTTTTCTGCTCATCCCATTTCTCACCTGTGGTATACTTGGCCAGCTCTTCACAGATGGTGATGCCCCGATTACAGAGTGACAGAATGTTCTTGAGTAGTTCATCCTCTGGCATATTCTTCAATTCATCATAGATCCTTTTGAATTGAGTCTCAGCCACTGTAGTCTTCTTGCATTCATTTTCCTGATCACACAATTTCCAGTCTATTTTACCTTCAACAACATACTCTTTGAGAGATCCTGCAAGTTTCAGAATCACATCAGACTTGCTGCAAACTTTCATTTTTGTTTCCAGATCAGCATTGTCATCTCTATTGCTTTGGTTTGTGGATGGTTGAGCTCCTTCCTGGAAAGAAGCGGCCATTCTGAAAGTGAATCCCGTCATCATTGCGGTTACACCTGATGTGAGTCCTTCAACGAAATCCATGGCGATAATCTTCCACCCAGAGGGAAGTTTATCCATGGTTTCTTTGTATGCATTTTGTGCTTCTGCCACCTGCTTTGACATTGCTTCCATTGTTTTGCTGTACTGTTCCTTCATTTTTGTGGCTTCCTGCTCCCTGAATTTGGTGCCCTGCAGTTCCACCTGAACCTTTTTTAGCTCTTCTCCATACAATTTTTGAGCTCCTTGACAGGCTTCCAACAGCTCATGGATTAAATTGATGACCTCAAGAAACTTCATCTCAACACTGTTGGCTAGGGCCAAGCAGTTATCTGCAATGGACTGAATGTTTTTCAGTTGAATTGGCAGGAGAGTTTCAACAACTTTATCGCTGGTATTGAAAAGTATGTTGACTGCTGCCTTCATGTAATCAGGAACTGTGCCCGTGTGAATGCGGATCTGATCCATGTTCTTTTGAGCCTCATTGAATGCATGCCAGCCAGAGTTACAGATTTGCATAAGACAGGCCCTGAAGGAGTCTGGGTGCTTTAAGTACTGGAAACCGTCTTTGGGGGGTTTTTCGTTGATGGAGAAGTCTTTCTGTGAGGAGATGATGACAAGCTCCGCCATGATGGCAACAGAGAGGGGAGCAGGGGTCAGATATGCCTCCCAGTTTGCATAGGGTTGCATCAGCATCTTGGTGGTTTCCCGCATCTCTGCTGCATTGGTGAGACTTTGAGTAGTGTTTGCTATTTGTGTGGCCATGTTATATACTGTTGAAAAAAGGAGAAACAAAATATGTCACGTTTTTGGTGACGTTGTTAGCTGAGCACATTGTTGAAAACAACTTTAACCTCTGATTTTAATTCAAATGTATCCCTAATTTTCCACACAGTATATGAAACCCCCCTTCCAGAGTTACAGCATTGAATAATAGCCGTAAGGGTTTTTGCAGAACATTATGATATGATAGTGAAGTTGACCTTTGAGCTTTTGGATATAAAACTTCATCACTTCATAATTTTATCTTATATGTAATTAGCTTATGAAGTCTGCAAGGTGTAATGAAATTCCTGATGTAACAAATTTACAAGAATGTGAGGTAACCATGACCTTTGGCCTTTGACCACCAAAATCTTATCAGTTGATCTTTGAGTCCAAGTGCCAAATCTGAAGCAACTCCCTCAAGATATCACATTCAAGAGGCCAAAAACATGTTTCATGAGGTCACAATCTAATGATGAGATAAACACTGCATCAACATTCACCTGAATATTATCAGCTGCTATGATTATGTAATCTGTGCAAAGGACTAAATTTGACAAAAACTCAGAGTACAGATAAAACTTCAAAATACAGGCCAGGAGCGTGATACATTATAACAAATAGAATTAGCTGTAATGTTTGCCGTGTCGGGTGTGAGACACTAAGAACAAGGCTTTTGAATGAGTTATGATTGACTGCTTCAAAAGTAATTTACTTACCCTGAGTAAACGGGCCTTGGGCTGAAAAAGAAAAGAGAAACGAGTTATTTTTTCCACTTGTAACATTCATAAAAGTCGCATGACATTTGTCAATTGTACAATTACTCCATTATTACAGCTTCAGAAGCTCTACATCGACTTGAACATAAACTATATCTGTATTGATACGTGGCATCTTCAGGACAAAAAGCTTACTCTGATAGAAATGGAGAAAATGTCACCAGAAAATTAAATGAAACTGTTAGTTTCCCTGTAGGACCTGCCTAGAGTGAAAATAATTGTCATAATGGAAATACACTGGATGCATTTATAGCTAGGGATATCTACCGAAACCCGGTATTAAACAGCCCTGGGGCTAAAGACCAGAGTATCGATAGGCTCCAGCGTTAATGGTATTGCCTTCGGTACTTGAGAAATTAAGAAAATAGATTTCCTGTTTATTATTACGACAAAGTTCTCTTGCACATTCTATCTCAACAGCTCCGTTTCTGATTAAGACATTCGTCTATGAATGATGAATTTTCACTGTTCCCAACCCAGAGGAGAGACCTCACTCTCTCTCTCTCTCTCTCTCTCTCTCTCTCTCTCTCTCTTTCTCTTTCTCTCTGTGTGAGTGGCGGGGGAAGCTTTGTGTCATATGTCAGAGCACCGCGCAGCACAGAGACACACCCAGACCCTGCTGTTATTATCAAGGGCAGCGAGAGCTAAGCGTTTTGAAGTGTGGTTCAGTCTTTTGCATGTAAGAGCGGAAACATGAGCGATCTCTGGAAACATCCAGTTACAGTTTTCGACTGACTAGCTCGTAGTTCATCCGTCGTTGTGTCGTGTGTGTTCTGTCTGCTGCAGCCTGGAGCCCACACACAGTAAATTAAATTATACAAACATGGATTAATGATGAAAAGTAACCAATAGCCATCTGATTGTTATGAGCACGTTCTTTGTTCGTTTGTTAAGCAATGCTATGAGAAAATGTTAATTCTGTTCTTCATTTTTGTTTTTTTTCTTACAAAATGACAAAAAAGTACAGATAACAGTACCATTAAAGTACCATATCAATAAGTGTTACCGATTAAAGTAGTAGTACCGTTAAATTTTTAATGATACCCATCACCACCTAATACATTTTATATTATATAAATAGCATAAATGTGATATTGAAATTATGAAAACCTCCACAATCCTCCGTCAGATTTTCAACATAAAAAAAAGACGAGACGCAGCAATGTTTCATTTAACTCTATTTAGATCTGAGACTTGACAAAAGCAGTTCAGTGATTATCTCAGGTTGGAGCTGAAGGCTGAACACTGAGGTTCAAAAAATATTAATTAGTGAGATACGATACTTATACTGCACAGTTTCTACAATACCATCATACCATAAAGCAAGTGAATATTACAGTTTGTATAAAAATTCACGACTAATTACTTACCAGAATTAGATTGTGTGGTTTGTAAAAGCTGTTATGACTTGTGTACTCAGCGTAACTGCTGTACTAACTACTCCTATTCAGGGGCATAAATACCAGACTGCAAAAGGTTCCTCCCACTCTCTGTGTGTGCGTCTGTGTACTTATATTACTCATCTTGTGGTGACATACAATAAATCTGTTTAAAAAGTCCCATTGTGGGGACACAACTTAATTTTGTGGACAAAAAGCAAGTTCCTATGATGTAAATCATTGTTTTTTTATTTTATGTAAGACAATGTATAGTGCTCTGAAGTGGAAATATGACTGCATGGGAGTGTGTGTCTGAAAAAGAAACTGAAAGTATGAAACAAGCTTCAGAACAAAGAGACAAAGATCAGGCATAAAGACAAAAACTAAAGAAGGTTAAAAACTGATCAAAGATAAGATGCTAATAGTCAACACAGATTATGGTCATTACTCAGCCATACAGTTTCAAAAAGACAGTTGTTCAACTGGCTGTGGCCTTGCTACCGTAAAGTAGTAGGTAGATAGTTGAAATAGTTGTAAGTAACAAAACACAAACATAATATTAAAGAATAAAAAGGATTGTACTAGTGAGATTAAAACAGGACTAAGAATCTACAGCCATGCTAGCTGCTCTGCTCTGCTCTCTTTAGACATGAGCTATATGCAAACTCCAGCATGCTTGCACACTGAGTTTTGGGTGTGAACTGTTTATAAATAGTTTTAGTATAGGGGGTTTTGAAGGTAGTTCTGGCTGACAGTTAATCTGATAACGGAAATTGGCTGTTTGAATATCGTCCTTGAGTAAATTGGAAAGTGAAAGTAAAGATTTCACTTTCCAATAGGAGTTGTAAGTTCATAGACAATAAGTCTGTTCAGTGGAAGCATTAGTGACATTTAAGCCAGTTTTTGAAATTCTTGAAAAGATCAAATTTAATTTTACAATTAAATGAGCATTTAAAAACATACATTTAAATCTTGCAATATTATAATAATGTATAAGAAAATATATAAGAAATACAAGTTAAAAGTTTAATCAAGATGAAGTAAATTTATTTCTGAAGAAAATATACAGAAAATATTAAAATTCAACCCTTTTCAAAGAACAGGTAAAAAAAAAAATATAGATATTTTTAAAACACATTAGAAGAGGAAAGAAAAGCTCAAGAAAATACTATTCAAGAATACATTCAAGAAATTTTGCTATGTATAAGTACAGAATATGCCAAAAATAAAACATGATGCTGTTTTACCATCATTTTGGGAATTTACTGAAAAATATTTTAACCAGATAAGATAAGGCTATTTTTGCAAAGTACAATGAAGTAAAATATAAGATAATAATGATAAAGAAGAACACTTCTTCTCAACATGTGTTGCTGTTATTGTGCAAAAATGAAAGGTTAGAGGTTGCAGTAGCTTCGATCTCGACTGGCTTCAGCTGCAGCTGGGGAGACTGGGGCACACTTCTCACGGGTGGCAAACTGTGGCAAAACAATATCTAAAAATGAAATTTTACTGAGATGACAAGGAATGACATAAAACAACAGTTACAAGGATTTGAAGAATCCAGACTCAACTAGTGAGGTAAAGAAGGTCACCTCCGTGTTTCTGTGGTCTGACTGCCCCCTGGTAGTCCGACCTGTGGAGTACAAAGCAGAAAAATCAAGTTTGTTTCTTCTGTTTGGTTGAATGTTTACTGAGATGGAGTCAGATGGTAACTCACCATCAGACTCCCTCCTCGTCTTCCACGTGTAGAGGAGCAACACAACAGCAGCAAACAGCACAGTGACAAATAAAACCAAAGGCAGGATGTAACCTGGATGAGAGACTTAGAACAAGAATGGGGAAGAGGAGAGAAGAGAACAGTCAGTGAACATTTTACTGGTATGTTCACATTGTGTGACTTGTCAGATACACTTACTCATTATGTTGATAAAAACATAACTCAGGTGACATTATGTTTCTCACAAAGTGTATTTTCTGTTGCAGGTTGGAAGTATATAAACATAATTTATAGGAAACGGTGATACATCTTTATATGTTACGTTTATATCACACATAAAAATATGCCCTATATCAACAATAAACTTTTGCATCATTAATCGGTTCCATGTTATGTAAACTTGTTTTAAAGATTCACATATAATATTTTAATATATGTATTTTGTTAAGGATATAACAGGTTGCAGTCTGCAGGTTTGAACCTTTAACTGTAGCTGCAGCTGCTTCCTCCGCCTGCTGCTGCTGTTCAGGCTGCTTGACGCTCTCAGGGAAAATCGGCGCTGTGAACAACGAAACCATAACGGAAATCAATGACAATCACATTCATGCATAAATAATGATCATTTACATACTGTACTTAGGTCATATTTGGTCCTAAATAGGCATTTGCTAACATTGACACCAATGAAAATCTACACAGCTAAATGTGTTTGTTAATTCAGGATATTTAAAACATCAGCAGCTGTCAGGAAACTGTTAAAACCTGCAGACCTCTTGTCACCAAAGACATGGAAATGAAACAAACAAGGCTGGACTAGTTTTGCAGCCTCTTGACAAGAGCCACATCCACCAATTACTGTATATTTGCAGTACACTGTTTCTATATATGCCACCTGTAAATACTGGCAACCAGTTTATTTAATTGTAAGCACTGATTTGTTGATTTGCAAGTCAAACACCAAGGTTAAAGGTCCCACACTGTAAGTATCAAAGTGCTCAGTCTTTAGAGAAATGACACAACTTGTATTCAGAAAGTGTGACTTAAAACGAGCTGTCAGGACAACAAAGCAGTCACTGACCTCGGCCACTCCCCTAGCCCGGCCCATCACACCCACAGTCAAGCCTCGCAGGATTTGGATTCTCTGAGTGTTTACCTGAAATCTGCTATACTTTTATTTGATCACTCAGAAAACAGTCAGCCAATCAGAGGAGAGGCTCTGAGCCTCTCTTACACCAGAGTTTTGTGACATATTTAGAAATGGTCTGTAAGTGCACTGTATACAATTAAACTGAATAAAACTCCTGACAGACTCCAGAGTGTGTCATGCTGATGTTCAACAGGTGTGTCTTAGTTTACACTGTTAACATGCTAATATTTGCTAATTGGCAGGAAACAATAATTACAACTGAGGCTGATGGAAATGTCATTAAGAATTTAGTCATAACCCAAACAGACCTTTTTGGTCAACTTACCAATGGCAAGAAATTCAGGTCAACTGCTTTTGTGTGCATATGTGAACAATACAGCTCATTGTCTCAAGGATTTACATTCCTATCGGATGCTTATGCAGCCCAACATTATTACCAAAGTCAGTAGTATTCACCCTCAGGGGACCATGAATGGAAATTAAAATGAAGGAATGAATTACAATGAATGAATTAAAAACTGAGTTCATAATCTTTCTTCAAATTTAACCAAATACCTCGAGAATATTAAAAACATGAATCATGCTTTAGTTGCTGTGGGTGGATATTGTCAGTAAACAAATGAAAAATGCTGACTGCTCTACAGATATATTCAGCATGAACATTTTGCTCATATTTAACTCTAATACAACTCTAGTTTTCTCATTATGTGGAGAAAGGATGTGATCCAGGCAGCATTACATGACTCTCAATACGCTTACAAAGAAACTCACCGTCTGTGACCCTGATCTCAAACTCCCAGTATGAATCAGGTAAGAAAGGTCTTTCCAAACCACACCTGTAGCGTCCTGAGTCCGACTTGGTCAGCTGTGTGATGCTCACATAGAGATATGTAGAAGATACTGGAAAAGCTCCTTCTTTATATTTGATGGTGTATCTGCCTCTCTGAGCTACGCTGCCTTTGGTTTCAATGAGAATGTCTCCTGCTTTACATTCGTCCTTACAGAGGAACTTCTTCCTTCCAGAGAGAGTGAAGGGGCATGCGGCCATGACACTTTCTCCTTCAGCACGGACCAACGTGTTTGTATTGATGAGCCCGGTGTCTCCATCACAAAGTGCTGTAGAAAAGATGATGTGTGATTAGACTGAACACTGTCTATAGGTGAGTTGTTGTTGTAGCCTATTATCTGTTTTAGTTCCTTTTTTTTTATTTCTTAATGAATTAGTTAATTAATGTTCTCCTTGTATCACATCATAAAGCAAGGGTAACCGTATCAGCATCAGTTACACTGGTTGTTCTACAGTGCAACAGCTGCAAAAGTCGGCCTACCTGTCTTTGTGTCGCTTTTCTTTTTTTTTTTCTTTTTTTTTAAATTGATTAGTAACACATTAGAGAATTACAAAAAAGTAGTGATGGGTAAAAACATTACAGTAGTGGCAGAAGTACTTCAGTGTAAAAACACTCCACTACCAGTAATAAGTCCTGCATTGAAGGTCTTACATAAGTAAAAATAGACAAGTATAGTCAGCAGAATGTTCTAAATATTTTTGTTATGCAAACAGACCCTGTCATTGTTGTTTTGTATGTGTATTGTTTTATTATTGTTACCAATGCAATAATCTGTAAGTAGCGTTTTATTGTTTTAATTGATTGATCTTGAGCAAGTTTGAACTAATTTGTATAGTGTTGTGTAGTTTAATCTATAACAGTCATCATATTTTATGAATTAATCATATTTTTTATTGTAAATTTCAACCAGAAGAACTATAGCACAAACAGTGGAGTGAAAAATATTTCCTTCTGATATGTAGTGGAGTAGAAATATAAAGTTGCATAAAAGCAGTAGTATAAAATACCGGTACCTCAGGATTGTGTTTAAGTAGTTCAGTTTAGGCTACGTATTTGTAGTTGCTTTCCATGACTGGAAAACACCAGACAATAATCAGATATCTAAATGACAAGCATAAAGACAGTTGTGACCAACAGGTAATCAGCTCTCACCTGATAAGAAGCAGAACATCAGAACACGATGGATATTCATTCTGATTCTGATCCTGATGGAGAATAATCAATAAACTGCGAGAGAACTGCCTCTGGCCCGGTCTCTGTCTGTCTGAACAATCAGGAAACTGAGGCTGCCCAGTTTAATGTCTCCCTTCCTTTCTGTGGTTTATGATGTGGTGCAGTGATGACTTTGTCATTTTGAATTAATAGTTTTGAATTAATAAGCAGAGACGTCAAAGTCCAGTGAATGTCTGCAGCCTCAGTCTGTTTAGATTTAAAGATGAACAAACAGAACACAATAAGAGACATACTGTATAGTTTACATAAAATGCCCTTCTAGGTTCTGCTGACAACAAATACCACACCCAGGGAAACAGCAAAGTCATTTATTTTTAAAAATACATCTAAAAAGTCTTCTTCAGCGAGTTTTACAGGCTGTTAAGTGGAAACTTGATCTGGCGCCATGATCTAGAAATAGACCAAAAAGACATCAGGTGCCTCTTTCACAGTTATCTGCTTCCCCATCGCGGTGCCACAGCAGCAATATGTGAGGAGGATGGAAAAGTTTTATTTATAGACTAAAACTATGAAACCTTGGCCACTTTTGGCAATGACTGATAATTTCTTTTCAGAACACTAGCTGATTGTCTTCGTTCAAGCAATGCTCTTACAGTGTATTTGTTTATGTCTTTAAAATCGTTTGAAGCATCAAATTTTCTTGAACAGCTTTAAGCAAGTCTGTTCTGTAGATGATTTACACTGTGAAGTTCAGCAGAATCTGAAAAAAGGTGAGTTGATTTAAAAAAAAAAAAAAAAAAAGGTATTCCACACAGTGTGAAAAGGCAGGAAGATTAACTTGCAAAAAATCTAACTCATGATGGATATTGATGAAACTGTTGTAGAAAGCAGGACAGAAAGGAATGATGATAAACCTATAAACCATTTTTCATGTTGATTGGACGTTTTCCTCGTGGTGATGAGGTGACGAAACAAAGTGGAGTGGAGAATGCCTCCAGTCTGGAAACAGATGGCTTTATCCAACAACTGATGGAGAAAAACATCTTGTTTTAAGGTTAGACAGCTCCTTCTTACTGCTACGTGTTTATGGCTGTTTTTAATGAGAGGTAAAGTGTAACCAGAGCGTATTCAGACCATATACTTATCTAAAAGTACTAACTGTACACTGTAAAATATTAATTTCTCAATACTCAAGTCCTGTATTGAAAGTATTACGTAAGTAAAAGTCTGTAAGTAGAATCAGGAACTTGTGCCTCAACTCATACTAGAAAGCATTGTGTTGTGAAAAAACAAACCAGATCTTCAATATAAGACCATCAAAGTGAAAACATGTCTCTCAAAGAAATCCTGTTAATCCAGAACAAACTTAGTGAAGTAGATTTAACCGAAATGCCTTCATGTCTAGCTCCTCATTAACACTCTCAAAGTGTCCAGTTTTGAAATCATGAAAGCATCAAGAAGCAACCTCTCAAAATCTCCTCTCAGACTCAACAAACTCGTTTTATTTTTATACAATAGAAAGACAGATACAAAGGATGAAATAAAAAAATATTTCATTTGCATGTGCCAATTTATAAACATCCATAACAGCAATGACAAAAAAAAAACACACACACACACAAGACAGAAAGGAAACGAAGAGTAAATCAGAAAAAAAACGAATAACATCAAGAATCTATCAGATTACAGAAGAAGTTGTCCTCAATTTTTTATTTTTTTTTTCAGTTTAAAAAAAAAAAAAAAGAATCATATTTCTTGTCCGAGTGTGGAGTACATCTGATCACTATCTGCGTTTTGTTGGTGGAGGGTTTCATACATGGGTGAACTGAGGTTCTCGTATACGGGGTCTTCCAGTGTGGAGGCCGGGGCAGAGTTGTCATAGGGGACAAACTGAAGGGAAAAAAAAGCAGGAAAATTGAACCAAAGTGACAAGGAATGATCACACACCTGACATACAGTGGCAACAGTCCAGCTATGTGTCTGTTATATGAACATTTTGATTTGTTGTATAAAAGCATGTTGTAAAGTAAAAAAAAAAAAAAGAGAAAAGAGTTACCTCCATGTTCCTGTGAGTCAAGGTTCTCCAGCATTTCAAATCTGTGGAGCAGAAAGTTTTCTTTGTTCTCAGTTTGTAATTATTGATGATACAGTTGACATAACAGGAAGATAACTCACGGGTGGAGCTTCTTCTCTTCCATTTGTATAGGAGCAGGAGAGAAACGGCTAACAGCACAATCACGATCAGACAAACAACCAGAGGCAACGTGTAACCTGGATGAGACGTGCGAGAGCAGGAACAATTATTGAATTAATTAAAAACATATTATAGATGCTCGCTAATTTGTTGCTGGTGCATTCTGTTGGAAGTTGGAAGAGACTGTTGCTATGGTTACTGTGGTGCTCTGGGAGGTTGTTTGGTGGCAGTTATGGTGATTGCTCCAGTATCTGACTGCTGAGATGTACAAGATGCACAAAGTGTTTGCTGATTCTAGTGTTACAGTATATTTATTCAAATATTACTTTTGTGGTAATTAAGCAGGTTTAGGGTTGAGTTGGTTAAAAAATACCTGGGTTCGTTAAGATATGTGTCTAACGAGTCCCTTATTGAATCTTTCATACACTTTCTCTGTTCTGTTTGTTTTAGTTTGTTTGACCTCTCTCTTCGACACTGGACAGCAAAGAAAAAAAAACTGATGTATACATACATGATAATTCAGCAACACTGTTAACATCAAACATGGCGGACTGACTTCAATGTTACAAAGTCAACAGAACCGCTGCATAATGTAATATTCGCAGGAAGGTACTTATGGCAAAGGGGGGAATGACGACTTTGTATTAATCAATGTTATTGATTATAGAAAACTTCTTTTTTTAAATTTCTACAGTTATTTTTGATAACTTAAGCAGGACGATTGCTCGGCCTCAGCCTATCGCTGGGGTTAAGTTGCCTTCTGCGACCTGTGAGGTTGTATGACCTGAAGTGGTGCACCAGTGGGTTTGCATTCAGGTAACATCAAGTGCATTGTGCATATTATTTTCATTGTGTTGTTTTAACTTGAGTTTCTATGGATACACAGCCCATCAGTGAAGAGCAAATACTGCTTTCTCTCAGGACAGGGGTGATGAATGTCACAGAGCAGTGATAAAATATGTGGTAAAAGAATATTCATGGTTTGAGTGTGATAGATAATTACCCGATTTTCTATTATTGTCAGTGTCATGCTTGATTGGTTATTGGTCCCTAAATCATAATTAAAATGACCACTTGTGCTATTAACGTGATGTGAACAAGCTGTATTCTTAAATATCAAGTTTCATCTTTTGTTACACTAAAGAGTTGAAATTTGTTTTGTTAATACGCCGTATTATGTATTTATTCATTTAATCAGATCCCCATTAGCCGCTGTGTTGTAACAATGGCTACTCTTCCTGGGGTCCCCCTTAAATTCCCCTTAAAAGTTGTTAAAAACATGATGAAATGTTTAGGTGTGGTGACCCCTCTAAAATATGAGTGATCAATGTATAACAAAGCTGTAAGATTTCAAAAGGGTAGGTTTTTATCAATAATAGGTAATACATACAATAAGTACAGTAGATTATTTAAAAGTTTTTTCAGAACCCCAAAACCTTGAGTAGAAACTTACCATCTGTAACAGTGATCTCAAACTCCAGGCACGTGTTTTGTGACGATTGTCTTCCTACACCACACCGGTACTGTCCAGAGTCAGACTTGGTCAGCTGTGCGATGGTCACATTGAAGAATCTATTGCTCCCATACTCAATGCTGTATTTGCCACTCTTTGCTACTACATCGATGGTTCCAATGAGAACCTTTTTACAGTCCTCTCTACAGAGGAACTTCCTGTTTCGTTCAGCTGCACCCAAGGAGCATCTAATTGTGACATTTCCTCCTATGGTGCTGCTATAATCTCTAGGTTCTCCAATGACGACGCTTCCTTCGCACAGCTCTGTTGAAAAGATCAACAGTGGACAGGGATGGTCAGTTTGTTCTGCAGGTTAATGAGGGATCAAACATCACACCTGACAAAGAAACAGAGATGAGCTAGCAAAGTTTGATCAATCAAGAGACTTCCTCTTCAACTTCGACAAACCTGTACTCACCGTAATTGTGTGGCAAAAATACTAAATGTGTTTTCAGCTTCTCAAAAATGTGACTATTTGCAGCTTTTTCTTGTCTTAACTTATATTATATTAACTAATATTTTGGGTTGTTTCGTCCGTGGGTCAAACAAGACGAGACATTTAAAGAACAAGTAATTGATTATTTGAAAAAATAGACTCATCGATTTTGAATAATAGTTGCAGCCCTCGTGTTCTTGTGCAATGAAACATAGTTATTGAAGCTTTTGGTGAGCGTACTTTCAATTTGACCACCTTATAAAAAGTGGTTTGGATAATTTGGCTTAACTGTCCGTTTGTTTACTCAGGACATCCCTGTCTCAATAGCTATCTGATCTGCCCAAGACGCACAACGTGACTTAAGTGTAAATGGTGTTTTTGTTGTAGTGACATTGCCTTGTTCCTAGATCTCAGCAAAATAACTTGGTGTCTACTAATGCAGCATAACTGACAGAACAGACAGATGGCCAAAGTTATAAAAATAGGATTAAACCACAATTATAACAACATCCAAGACAATAACCCTATTTGGACTGTTGAATATGCCATTAGAATAACTTAAAAGATCCTATCATATACAGATTCTATACACAGTGATTTTTTAGATCCATTAAACAATATTTTGATCCAATGATTTCTTTTTATAAGAAGAAGTTTCAAGGCCTGTTGACCCCACTGACTACAGAGATTCACTTTCTTTGCTTTGGTTACTATATCTGTCCACTGATCTAAAGGAAATGATTAAGAAAGAGGAACTGGTTCATCTTTTTCTTTTTCTTTTTTGGATGCAACATAAATAACAGGTAACTTTGCCTTGACCAAAATAACAGTGAAAGTCTTCAGTTTCCTCTTTTTAGGAGCAAAACATGACTAAAGAAACTGTGTTGCAATTTACTTAACCAGTGTCACAGTTCCATAGAAGTATTGTTGCCATGGTTACCTTCAGCTTTGTGTGTGGCAATTTTATGCTAAAATTGTACGTAAGCTATCAGCCAATCAGAAACAAGTATTTCTATCTCCATTGTGTAATGAAGTACCCTGATGTGGACAGGGCACTTTTTTTTTTTCAAACTTTAAAATGTAAGAGTTATTACATCTCTAAGTTGAAATATCTCAGCAACTATTGGATGTGTTGCCATGAAATTTGGTGGTGATCTCCTGACACCACCAGCACATTGACATTTTTGGCTTTTAGGGACATGTCTCGACAACTTTTGGATAGATTGCCTTGAAATTTGGCACAGGTGTACAAGATGCTGTACAAGATAAAATTTCATTTTATCCAGTACTTTGTTTTATGACCACTTGAAATTTGTGTTGTAGTAACAATTATCACATGCTAAGAGAATAATTTCTTTCTTTGACATTGAGTCTTTTTTTTTTTAACCAAACCTTTTAGCAGAAATTACTTATTAGCATTTTGTGACTTAGATCAAACTGAATTCTAATGATTTATGTTGTTTCGACATGGTTATGAAACGACTATAGGCTGGACAATGCTTGAAATGAGCTACAGAAGGTCACATGATGTGTTTAACTACAACCAAGGCAAATGTTCATAGCTGTTCTGGATGGCCCTGCTTGAAGGTAAAGCAAAAAGGCAGCTTGTCAAAGAGAGAGGTGAATTGTGATGTATTGTACAATTGGCCACAGATTCTCCTTGAAAGCATTCATGATGTTGCACTGGCAAAAATTACAGAAGTTATTGAGTAAGGAATGGAAAAAAAGACAGCTTAAGAGAGAGTTTAAAATCCTGCCTACTGAGGTGTCAGAGTTTTAGCAGTTTTATGATCTGACCAAAGTGTTAGAAGAATCCTGATGCCTCATGGGCAGATAATAGATACACGGGTCATAGCTGTAAATGATGCATTTTAATACAACAAAGCTGCATTAAAACCTTTGTGAAACTTGTAATGTTCATTTTCATTTAGAGTGTGCCAGTGAGGCGTTCACTGAGTGTGGATCGGTGTAAATGCAGGTGTTTCTAATGTCTTTCAGTAGAAACTCACCTCTAACTCTGATCTTAAAGTCCTGGAATACACCCAGTGTGGAAGAATTACTTATACCAAACCTGTACCGTCCCGCGTCAGACTGGGTCAGCTCTGTGATGACTACATGCAAAACACCGTCATATCTAATGATGTATCTGCCGCTCTCAGCTCTTCTTCTGTCTGTTTCGATGAGCACGTCTCCTTCTTTGCACTCATTCCTACAGAGGTACTTTCTGCTTTTTTCAGCCTTGATAACAGTGAAGTTGTGTTTGAAATCTTCTCCTTCAGTTTTTGTAAAAATTGTCTGTGCATTGATAAGACCAGTGTTTCTATCAGACAGTGCTGTTGAAGAGAAAAAGTAGCGGTCAGTAGCAGTTTCCTTTATATGCAAATTGGACCTGAAAGCTGAACTCTGCTTTTATAACGTTTATAAAATGTAGTTTATTGTAGTTGCAATGACTGTATAAACTTTATCAAAAAATAATGCTTTTAGGTTTATAAACCTATGAAGCAGTATGATGCAATATACTACTTACTACTACTACAGCAATTTTCAAAAACAGATTACAAAATACTTCATAAGGTAAAGAATAAGACAAATACAAAGTCATATAGGCAATAGAAAAGTAAACTGTAAAAGCTTTGGATCAATTCATACATACATGCTACATTCAAACATTCATGTTAGATTATTAATGAAAGGTCAATAAGTAGAGCATTTTCTAACACTGCTGGACCTTATTTAATAGCTATAAGCCAAGGCACAAGCAAAATGCCAAAATTAAACTCAAATGTGAGAATTTGCTGCTTTTTCGGTATTATGTTATTGTAGATAAATCAATTAATCAATTAGTTGACTAACTTAAAATTAATCAGCAACTATTTAATAATTGATCAATTGTTTCAGTCAATTTTCAGCTAAAAATGACAAATGAATTCCCTAGTTCCCCAGCTTTTAAAATATAATGTATTTAGCTGTATGAATCCATCACCTCAAGGAATGGGCATTTTCACTTTTTTGTGATATTCTATAGACCAAAGGATTACTCATTTGAAAAAATAATCAGGAGATTAATCAATAATGAAAATAACTGATAGTTGTATCATTAGTATATTGAATACTATTAGTTGTACAAAACAAGCAATCTGATACAAAATCTCTGGCTCTGGGAAATTTCAAAGAGCATTTGTCACTATCAACAACTAAACAATTAAATTAATTAGAAAATACTCCACAGATTAATCAATAACAATAATAATTGCAGCCTTAAAATTATCACACTTTTATAAAGATATTACAACTGAAGCTAAAATTAAACAGTGGGATACTAATAAATGCAAACAAAACAATATAGAAATTGTCCTTAAGCATGAAACAGTTCTAATATTTACACAAATTAAGGACAAACGTGTAAAGTATGTAAAAAGTATGTAAGGGAGCGTGTACCTCAGCTTTAAAGAGACATACAGGTCATCATGCCTCACCTGATAAGCAGCAGAAGAGCAGAGCATGGTGGATATTCATTCTGAATTTAATCCTGATGAAGAGAAATTAATAAACCGCAGGAGAAATGTTACCACTTTACTTTCCACTGTGTCTCTGATGTATAAACAAACTTAGTTCCTCACTTCAGCTTCCACTAAATTGCTCAGTGAGGTTGTGGTTAGGTTTTTATTTCAACATATTTTCCTGGTCTCTCACCCACTCCCTCTCTTGATTCTCAGAACTGAGCTTTAGGTAAATGCCCAGATACTCAATCATTTTGCTGCATTAAAACTCTTACTTCCTGTAAACAGTTTATTGTAAAAGTTCACTACAGCAACCGTTGGTCATTCAGACCTTTTCTCAAGTTAAATAAATCTGAATCTGGAGATTCTGCCTTGAGCCTCCACCATCAGGTCAAACTGCTGTCTGACATGTGACTCATAACTGACACCTGATTAGACTTAGATTAGATTAGTGAATGATCCCTTCCTTTACTTTGTCCCACACAGTCCGTCAGCAGAAGGTGCATCAGATGAAGGACCAATGATGTTCAAAAAAGGAATCGCACACATTTGTGCTGAAAGATTTTATGTTAAAAACGTGTCCATTCAATAACGGCACATCCTATGTGAAGGTAAAGTAGAGCTGGTCCTGATCTCTGCTGGCTGGATCAAGGCTCTGGTATGTGGAGTCGCACCAGGTGGCTAGATCCCAGTTTTCATAGGTGACAAACTGATGAAAACAAATGCACACACACACACACACACACACACACACACACACACACACACACACACACACACACACACACACACACACACACACACACACACACACACACAAAGATCCTTTTATCAGTGCAAAATTAAAGAGGGATTTTTGAAGCAAGTACTAATCTCAATATATGACAGCTTCATAAATCTGATATATTTGTTTCTATACATGAGCACAGAACAGAAACAAAAACGTTTGATCAGGATCCCTCAGGTAGCTGGTAGGGTTGTCACTTTTTCCAAACAATTAGATCTAATTAGTTCGAACTAACTCGAACACAACCCATATACAGTAGCTTAATGCATCCACCATCCCAACAAAGCCGATCCGTCAGTGTTCAGAGCGTGTGTCTTACACTTTAGTATAGTTTTTTTTATATTTTACTGTGTTGTCTTATATCTTATGTTGGTTGTGACTGGTGACCTGTTGTGTAATCCAAAGGGTGGAAGCAGCAACGGTGATGAAATAAGTCGGTTGTATCCTCGCTCTTGGTCAGGACAGTTCTCCTGCACAGTTTACACACAACGGTCTTCTGATATGGGTTAGACTTAAAGAAACATCGCCATACTGGCGAGCTGACCTGTGCTCTTTGTTAACTATGTGCTCATCATCTTCATTGGCTGTACTCATCCACGCTTCTGTTGTTGGTTCAACTGAACACACCCGTTAAATGATTGGCTGTTTGCATGTCACTCGTATAACGCTCCATTATCCTGGGGTGTGATAGGCTGTTTATGAGCCAGGGAAGGAGCAGGCTTGAGGTTTGTTCATGAAACCGTAAAACTATCCGACTTTCTATTGAACAATTTTCTTGCTATTGAAGATGTCTGGTTTCATCGCCCAGGCCTAGTCACCTGCTTTACATTTGTTTTGCCATTTCTTGTGAAGAATCCAAAATACTTCCTCACAGTGCTTCTCAGATGTTTTGGTGTACTAGCTTCGTGCACTGATGGGCCAGTAGGGCAGCAATAGAACAAGTTAATAGTGAATATTAAGAGCATCCACTCCTGGACCAAGAGTACTGTCTACTCAACTATTACTGAACTATTTTAAACAGTCTGAGGTGCTTGTAGACTCTAAAATTTGAATTTAACAGGTCATTACAGTTTATTCAAACAAAAGTTTTAATTTGACATAAAAGGTGAGTAGTTGAAGAGTAGTAAAGAGGCTTAATTCTAGTTCTTGGTGAGCAAAGTGTAGTTTTTTTACAGTGTAGTGAGCCATTGTAGAAGCTGAGGGTGAGCGTAAAAGCACAAAGAGTTTAACAAAGTCACCTCTGTGTTTGTGTTGTCTGACTTTTCCCTGGTGTTCAAACCTGTGGAATAAAAAGAACAAACAACAAAGAAAAGCTTGAGTTAGGTTTGTTGTTTATTTTAGTCAGATTAATATTTCTAATGAGAATGACGACCTTTTTGTTTCTGTGTGTGTATTTGTTTGAGGTACAGAATCAGTGGGAAGGTAACTCACCATCACTTCCCTTATTTGTCTTCCATTTGTGAAGCAGCAGAAGAAAAACAGCCAAGAGCGCAACAACAACAGCAACCACCGCCGCACATATGCCCACAACCAGGGGGTAAGCCAAGTGCGACACTAAAGAGGAGAGTGGGGGAAAGGGGAGAGAGAGAGAGGGTTGGTGCAAAAAAAAAAAAAATTAACTGACCAAACTAAAAAGATTTTAGTTTAGGATTTTGGAACTGGTAAAAGTTTCTTGTCAAGTTTCTTTCCCTGAAACAAAGGGTCTTTAAGCAAGACCTCAAGTTTTATGAGGAGGTTAAAAGGAACATTTCACAAACCTCTTTGCTACAAGTGAGTGGTGTGGACTTCAGAGCTTGAACCAAACTTGGGAGTAAAATCAGAATATTTTGGCCTCTATTGCTTCAATTTTGATAATTCGTCATCCCAAACTTTATGGAAGTGCAATACTAAATAGCTGGAGTTCCCTAACAGGAAATGGGTAAATTAAATGGAAGGGTTGTTATTGCATTTCTTGTAAATGTCCAGGAGAGGGTGTAGTGCCTATGCAGAGAAATGCGTGGTTAGTAGAAGGAGAAAACAGAGGCAGTCGGCAGAGTTTGGTCCAACTCTGGTCCAGAGAATGTACATTTTCAAGTTATTGGTGTGTTGCAACACACGCATAAACACAGTGCACTTTTTCAAATTGGAGACTGCAGATGAAGTGATGTATGAAGTGACGATGAAGCTCATGAAGCGACATTTTCTTTCACTCAAGTGAAGGGACAATTGTTTCCAGAGTTCCAGAGGTGTGTGTGCCATACCTGTGTATACCCAAATCTACGTCCGCTGGGTGCTGGTGATGGATTGCTGGTAGCTTAGCCACATTTATGTTACTGTATGTTAGTGTATAGTGTATTTGGGTTTGGTAGCTTAGCCCTGCAGGGTTTATGATTCTGTAGGTTTTGATCCTCCATGAACTGTACTGTACCTGTAGCTGTGGTGTCCTCAGTCTGCTCCCATTCAAACTGCTTGATGGTTGTTGAAAAAGTGGTTAAATCTGTAAAGAAGGAACACGGCTAGGTCAAAACCCAGTATGTGGCTGACCGCCTGTGGTCAAATCCTGATTTTTATGACTGTGACATCGTCTGACAAAATCACCCAACGCATAAATTAAAGACAAAGACTAAGCTGTGATTTCAGCTGTGTTTACTCATAAAATGATCACTCAGAGAAAGTTAGAAGAGACGGACTATCTTTCTTATTTTTTCAGGCACTTGCCTACAGTCATAGTGATCGAGAGAGAGAGAGAGAGAGAGAGAGAGAGAGAGAGAGACGCAGGGAAGGGCCACAGGCTAGACTCAAACCCAGGCCGTCGGGTCAAAGACTAGGCTTAAACGGCACGCAGTCCACCAGGGTGAGCTGCCAGGGAAACCCATAAAAGCTGCGTGACAGACAAAATAACAAATATAGTCTCACAGCTCCATCTGGGATCCACAATAATAATATTTAATTTTAAGGGGATAAAAAACAGTGTGCAAATATTCATCAACTCATTGTTAATCATACTTTGGTGGCAGCTAACCTCAACTCATTCAGTGTAACTATAGTGACTGTATTTAACTTGGTTCATGGAAAAGCAGAACTAAGCTGTCCAATTGTTTCCATGACATCATTATACTGTAACACCCTGAGGCCTATGCAGGCTGACTGCTGCCCCCGAGCCACCCACAGAAAAGTAGTCTAGAAGAACAACTCTGAACATCTGCCTATATAAATTGTGCTATACCTTCAGTGTCATGTCTTGTTCCCTCACTGGACCGTTGTTCAGACAGCTTGGTTATTTCAACTGAAGGCTGAGCTGTGATGATGAAATGAAAATACAATAGAAATAATGAAATTAATACTGATAAAGAACAAATCAATAGATGCCACATTCACTCTTCAATCTGGTTGTTTCAAACTGTGGTAATATTTCACAGTTGTAGAAAGAAGTGCTATGTAAGCACATTGTTATTACAGTCATTACGTCATTGCAACTGCCCACAGAGAAACTGTAGTGACTGTGTTTAATTCAGGTTTTTAACAGAATAGCTAAACTGATTTAAGGATGGGCAATATGGATATTTTCAATCAGGTTACATGTCATTGTGATATACTATATATATTTTTATACATCCGCACCGCATTATGTTTTCCGTCTGTAGATCATATTCTCGTGAACGTGATATCGTAGTAATCAAGTACCTTCATGGAATTTCTTAAAATGTCATACAACAATCATTTGATAATTATGACACAATTTAAAACTAATGGAATATACATTTGCAGTGTAATTTGCAGATGTGTCTAATGGGAAAGACCCTGCTGCTTAGCCCTGCAGGGCTCATGATGCTGCAGTTATTGATTTTCCATGAACTGTACTGTGCTTGAATTTGCCTCATTCTGCCACTAAATGTGATTCATTCAGTGTAAATATAGTGGAGACGTTTTACTCACTTTGGTTCTGCTTTTACATGAACTGAAGTGTTGCCATGACATTATACTGTACCACCCTGCAGCCTACGCAGAATGACCCAGGCTACCCACAGAAAAGTAGTCTAGAGGAAGGTTTCTCTCTAATTTGATGACTGGTACCGTACCTTCAGTCACATGTCTTGTTTCCTCAGTGAACCACTGCTCAGGCAGCTTGGTTATTTCAACTGGTGGCTGAGCTGTGGAAAATGGAAATACAATGGAAATAATGTAAAAACTTAAAAACCATGGTAATATTTCACTGTTGTGAAAAGACGCCCTAGGCAAACATATTAATACATTGAAGGACAGTGTCAACTGTGTCAAAGCCCCTGTTGTTCTTTTTCCCTGAGATAGTAGCCTATGCTCCAGCTCCACTTTGCCCAGTTGGTAATCTGGAAATTGGAAACTGGAACTGGAAAACTGCAACATCATTGTTGTGATCGGCCCTCACTTCCCCGCTTTATATGCAAATAAACACACATGCGTTGGTCTTTTTATGAGTGTGTGTGTTTGTGTGTGTGAGTGTGTGTGTGTGTGTGTGCGTGTGTGTGTGTGAGAGAGAGAGAGAGAGAGAGGGCGGGGCACGGAGGGGGCTGAGCGAATCAATGCGGTGCTCACAGCTCTTACAATGAAATCAGGTTTTATCTATTTCAAATAGTAAAATATTTTCAGTTCCCAATGAAACTGTGTTGGGACTAATTAGACTGTTTCATAGGGCGTCAGTAGAGTAGGCGGTCCTTCAATGTGGCCAGGACGCATTTGTGTTCACACTGGCAAAAGAATGTGGCCTCATGTGGCCCAGACCACCTCTGAATGTGGTCTGAGTGACTGAATCTCAAATGTGTCCTCAATGCATCTTGGGTGCGTTCACACCTGAACTTAGAGCTGTCCACTTGTGATAGGATCAGCCATACAGATGTTAATACCAGGTCCGAACAGGGTCTCAGAGACCTAGCCCAAATCGTGAAAAACAGTCTCTAGCACAAAAGTGTGAGGCCTGAATCTGCCGTGTAAATGGCATTTGTCGACATATTCACAAGTGAACATATGTACCTCTGGATATTTTGCTTTTGAACTATATAGTTCAGGTTAAATAAAACATCAACAGCTGTTGGTAAAACAGTTTAAACTCTGGTCATACCTCTAACCTCATGCAGAAGCATTTTCACGACTTTGCATTGAAACTCACCTTCTGTAACTCTGATCTCAATGAGCTCCTCGTAGCAATCTGGTAAAAAAGGGCTCCTCACACCACACCTGTACTGCCCCGAATCGGACTTTGTCAGATTTTCGATGGTCACTTCAAACAATCCTTCATGATATCTGAGGCTGTATCTTCCCACCTGAGCTGTGGCATGATGTGTTGTAATGAGGGAGCCTTCCTCTGTGCATTCTCCCTTACACAAGTATCTCCTGCTGTTTGCAGCCTGAGTGAAGGGGAATTCAAAGGAGATACTTTGTCCTTCACTCGCTGTATAGAGGGTAATGTGTCCAGAGGAGATTCCTGTGAGCATTAAAGCATAAACATTTGTGTTTATTGAATATAAATGATCAGTACTTTCTACTCCCAACGTCTTTGGAAAAAAAAAGATTTATGTCTAATGAGGTTTAGAGAGAAATGCTGCAGGAGCTATTTACCAGTTAGGTTTTGAGGGAAACATAGTTCCAGACATTTAGTGTCATGTAGGTGTGTATTAAACAGTAGCTTCCCATCTCCCACTAGCTTTGACGTTTTTTTGTAGTGACACTTTTATTCGATCTGATGTTCCTTTATCCAGAGTAAATTATCTGAACAGCTGGATATCTTGGAAAAACCAGACACCCTAAAGTCTCCACTTCACAGGATAAATTGACTTTGGACAAGCTCTGGTGTGTATGTTTTAATGTACATAATGCTTGTAGTTTAAAGGAATGGTTTGATATTTTGGGGAAATCAAACTGTTCAAAGTTCAGAAATCCACGTACCAGAAACTGTAGAACTCAGTAATTAACACGTTTTATCTTGTTTGTTTTAATTGGTACAAAAATTGAAAATCCAAATATTTCACTTCCGTACAATAGAGTAAGTTTGATAAGTTTATCTCACTAAGACTACACAACAAAGTATTTTGTACACACAATGAACAAATATCAATTAAATTATAATACAGTTGAAGAGTAAAAATGGATTTTAATATTTGCGGTAGATAATTGTTTCACTTAGACCAGAGTGACAGGGAGGTTTCAAACACCTTCAACAAGAAAGTAAGAACAGTGTGTACATAAGAAACTACATCATTAAAAAGACTGCCAGGTAATCAGTCCTCACCTGATAGGAAGCAGAGGAACAGAACAGGGTGGATCATCATTCTGATGGAGAAAATTCATTAAACTGCAGAACAACTGCCTCTATCACTTCATTCCTTCCAGTCTCTGTCTGTGCGATGAATGAAACTGAAGTTACCCAACTTAATGTGATGCAACCACTTAATCCTCTTCGTGTCTGTGGTGATGATGTTCATCAAGGCTGCATGTGTAATGCCATTTTGTGCCGACATGTGCAGTTTTATGAAAGCGACACCCTGTGTGACTTTGACACTTTAATCTGTCTTGTAGTTTTTAGCCATGCTGGGACCAGTTACACGATGAAAAAAATATATATAAAAAATAGAATATGAAATATATTTACAAAGATATTTCAACAACTATTGCATAGCTTACCATGAAATGTTGTGCTGTGTTCATGACCCCCAGATTATCAACCTCTTTGTGTTTAGTCCTAATTAGCAAATTTTAGCGGGCAAACATCCTAAACTAAGTTTAGCTGGTGAACACACTAAACATCATACCTGCCAAAGAGTCGCATATTAGCACCACTGTTGTGCCCAAGTACAACCTTAGCTGCTGACATGGCTGTTAGTCTTGTTTCTGGGTGTTGGACTATTGTTGGACTGGAATGAAACTCCCCCGCTTAAATCATCACGACAAAAGTTAAAATGTTTTTGGTGCACGCCTGCATAGAAACTCCCAAGATACATTTAGGCAAGAAATGTCCAATCATAGGGCTTAAAATTGTTATGTGCGCTGCTAAATGCTTAATGTAACTTTGAGAAGATTGAACACAAACTGCAAGTAAGATTTATTCACTTTTTTAATTTGGGTGAATTCTGGTTGAATTTTGCCACTAAAATCTAGTTCAGTTCTGTTTGCATATTCCATAAAGAAGCATTTTGAATTTACTACAAGCTTTGCTTGGTGCCTCTGGTTGGCAGACAACACGGGATTTCTCAGAAAATAAGCTCAAATAATTAAAACTGACAGTCATAAAATAAACCCATATGAGTGTTACGTTATTGGGAGAGTCCCGTGTTTCTATGTGGAATATAAATTGGGAAGAAACATTCTGTTATTAGGAACCCAGTAAACCTGTGAAGACCTCCACCTCCAGTTCCTGAACAAATATTTGGCCTTTAATAGCAAGATGCTGCACTTTCTTCAGACTTTATCTGTCTGCTGTTGGGTGATGAATATTGGACAGTGGGCACTGGAGCCTGTGAGCTGGAAAATGGCTGCCTACTGGGGAGGACAAGAGCAACTCAAACCATGTAGTAAATTGGAACCCAACCAATACAATTTCAATGTTGATATTTGAGGATTTATAAAATCTGATACATGTGGAGTGTCTGAATCAACTTCCGCTGTCATTAACTTCTCTCAAGTGTTGTTTCACTGGTCTTATTGTCTCTCCAATGTCACCAGTTCTAGCAGCTGTTTTGAAATGTGATGGTGAGATATCAGCTAAGGGGGTTAGTGTCAATTTTGAAGAGGTTCTGTGTCTCAGCTTTAAACGTTTGTGATAAACTACCGGTGTAACCTCTGGTGAAAATGACATGAGTTTCTAATGTACCGACTGTAACTGTACTGACATGCAAGTCTTGCATACATTTCCCATTATGTCATTTAGGCAGAGTATAACGATATACGTTTACTGCTCATTAGCTGTCTTCCACTGACAAACCATGGCATTAGCTAGCTTTGTGGCTAACTATTTTAGGAAACAGATAAACGTCATGTGTATGTTTTTTAGCAGCTGTTGGCGCTATAATGTCAAAGCAGGAAAAGAGAGGGCCGTAGGTCATTTACTCACTATTGCTCATATTATGTAGTCTCATGACTCTGAGTGACTGATAAAATGTGCAGTTGGTGAAAAAAAGGATAAACGTAGAGGGGAGGAGATTAGAGGTTTTCATTTCATCATTTAGAGAAAAAAGTTCTTGGTTTGACAGTGAAGAAGGAAGAAGCAGTAATAAACCACCTGAGCTTCAAACATGAGAGTCCGTCACACTTTGATCTGCTGCTTCTTTCTCAGTGAGCATATCCACTTTATATTTCTGTCATTTTTAATTTGTTTTTCACAATAATAATAATAATATTTAACAGTTTTAACAGTGGAGTCTGTTTCGTTACATCTCTCATCAGCATTGCTGTCATTTTTACAGTGTTGATTCAACTGTACGGTCAACAATAGGCTTCATTTGTTTTAGCGAGGTGTACCTAATAAACTGACAGCTAAAGTTAGTTGGTGTATTCTATAGAGGGACAAACTTTTTTTTTAAAATCATTGTGAAATACCAACAGTTAGCTGGTCTTAGCTGCAGCTGCCAGATCTTCGGCGCTGGCTGTAAATGAAATTAGCAGAACAGATGAATCACCAGATCATGATTGGTTAGGATGCCACAAATTAGGCCACCTCGCCAAAAGAAATGGACTAACATGAACACAATGTTGCACTGAAACACTGAAGTGAAACAAAATGACAGTTCAGTTGATTATCGGGCATGTGCTGTCTAAATGAACGGGATGCTTTGCACTAAAGCTTCAGTGTGAGGTTTACTTGTGGAGTGGATCCACCAGTGTTTGACAGCGGAAATGTGAAGCAGGGAATTATTATCATCAAACTGCGGTATGTAACTGAAAAATAGTAACTGTTCATCATTTCAACAGCGCTGCAGGATGTCAAGACTGGGCTCACTAATGCAGAAACCTGTGTCCATACAGGAACTGAGGGAAGAAACATCAGCATTACATGTGCATTTTTCTTCTCTGGATGGAAGAAGTTCTTTTGTAATGACGAATGTAAAAAAGAAGACATTCTCATTGAAACAGAAGGCAACATAGGACAGAAAGGCAGATACAAGATTGAATATGAAGAAGGAAGGTTTCCATTTTATTTTACATTTATTTATATGACTATCAGTCAGTTGACCAAGTCTGACTCAGGACAGTACAGCTGTGGTTTGGTGCGATCTTTTCTTCTTGATGGATACGAAGAGTTTGAGATCAGAGTCACAGATGGTGAGTTTCTACTGAAAGTCATGGAAATGTTCCTTTGTGTCTCTTTACAGCTTCTTATGTTTGAAATAACCTGATATGTTCAGTCTAAAACACGTTAATTCTGCTTATTTTTGTTATTGTGAAAAACCAGACAGTTAATTGAAACATGTTTGCGAAAACTGAGGGTAAATGTCATTGAAATTACTCAATCATCTGCAAACAGTCAAACAGCCTGTAACATCAGGAGGAAAGAAGCAATCATCGGGATTTATTTATATCAGTTTCTGATCATTTCATTGTTCACACCTTCAGCCACTTCTCGACATTTGTTAACATCACTCCTATCATCCTCCACACCTTCAGCCGCCTCTGACACCACCAATCAGCCTGAGACATCACCTGCAGGTATGTTGCACATTCAAAGGTGTTTCTCAGCATAAAAACAGGAACAGTAATCTCATATTCACCACTCTGAGCTCTAAGTTTCTCTTTTCAACAAAAAATAATTTTCACTAACAAATTAATTCTAATCCTTTCTGCTTTTCCTTTTTAAGAATTTGTTGTAAAGCTACTGTCAATGAAACTCAACACTTCCTGCACAGATTTTATTCTTGTGCTTTAAGGGACACATTTCTTCCCTCTACTGATTGGCTTTATTAATTATGAGAGATAGTAGATGTTCTTCGGTCCCCTTTCCCTCTGTGTTCTATGTCTAGCTGTAATTTGGGAATCAGCCTGTGATATTGGTTACTGGTTTATATTTCAGAATTTGAAATTGTATAACTGTATAATTGTATTAAACAGTAATACAGTTATAGATTTTACCTTTCAGTTGAAAATCAGTTCTTATTTTATAGACATGACCTGTTTGAGGTTTAAAATCACCTAGATTTCTTCTTCATTATGTTTTTGATGTTTACAGCTCCAAACATTTCCCCTGAAAACAAGGAAGAATCACTACATACAGGTCACAGCTTTGTCTGCTTTATCCTAAATACAATTCACATAAAATGAAAAAACTGTTTCAACATTATCTATTTATATTTAAATCTACTACACAATAAATTAATGCCTCCTAAACTCCTCCTGTCTCTTGTCCAGGTTTCTTCCTGGTTTTGGTTGTATGCGTCTCTGTGGTGATGGTGGTCGTCCTATTGGCTGTTGTTTTGCTGTTGCTCTACAAAAAAAAGATGAAGGACTCTTGTGGTGAGTTACCTTCCAACTGTATCTGCACCTTTTAATAATAACTAAATTTAAGAATGAAAATCTTGTATCTGTTCTGCAGATTTAAAGACAAGAAGAAACTCGGACCACAGCAACATCGAGGTGACTTTCTCTAGCTAATCTTTCTCTGTTTCCTCTCACAGTTGCTGCTACTGCACTGTGAGAAGAGAAAAAAGAAAATGGTCAAAGTACGATTGCACAGTTTGCTAAATGTTCAGTAAATTACAACTCCAAACGTGTCTGGTCTGTGTGCCACATGTTTCAGCTCTGTGCTCTGCTGTGTTTACCTGCTGCCTCTGTTTTTCTTTAATCACCACATACTTGTTCTCATTTACTCTCCTTTCTGTTGTTAGATGTCAGTTATATGTTAGATGTTATAGTGAATTGAAAGGAGCTACTTGTAAGTTCTGCTATTGCTACATAGCTAACATTAGGATTAACGGCTGTTTACTCACGAGTCTAGAAGAAATGCTGCAAGTTTAGCATCAAAGTGTCTCAAGCGATGGAAAGCAACCCTCTTTTTTTGCTTCTATTTCTGTCACTCCTACTGAAGTTAGCATGCTAACCAGCTAGCTCTGTGGGTAATGTGAATGGTGCGAATTATCACCTGACTCCGCAGTTCCCCTCCGCTCCACAGAGCCTTTTCCTTTACAAATTCAGGAAGTCATAGTGGGTGGAGTAGAGCTTGTTTTGCTGCCCTGAATATTACCTGCCCTGAATATTGGTGCTTAAAATGTAAGCTGGAGAAGTGTTGCAGTTCACAGCAGTTAATGGACTTAAATAGTGACAATTTTCACAGAGAAAAGAAGTACTTAGACATGTCACAAACCACAACCACATAGTTCACTTCTTTGTATGCACGACAAGATGTTTCAAACGCTCCAAATACTTCTGCTTCCACTCTGATGCTCAATCCTGGTGCGTGACGACAGCTCCTGCTTTCACATGTCAGCACTAAGTAAAGTTATTGTTGTTTCTTTTTACTTCAGTGTATCACCTATGAGAACTGTCCTCCACCCTCTACATGTGAAGACTCCACCTACATGAGCCTCAATCCAGCCAGCAGGGACCGTGACCAAACCTACTCCACACTCACTCACATATACACATAATTTTTTTAATTTGTCAAAACATGATGAACAGAAAGTGACATATAATAATACTTATTATCATTAACAAAGATAATAATAATAATGATAATAATAATAATAATAATGATAGTAGCGATTACATGATGAACAATGTTGTGATAATAATGACATGGCAACATTTTATATATGCAAACAATACTAATATATAATAATAATATAATTTTGTGTAATATTAATAAAATATAATACTGATACCATCCATCATGATGATAAATTATTATATTCATGTAGTAAGAGTGGGGGAGAGGCCACACCAGAACGGTTAATATTTCATGTGACTCTAGATAAACAGGGATGTAACCTCAAACTAGTGTGAGTGGCGGAGGCATACAACCGCAAGGCTGTAATTCTAGTTTTTTTGTTCCTGCTTTGGACAACCCCCAGACCTTTCTGGAGGGGGGGTCTGTCCACTGAGGAGAGATACATTTCTTTTTCCTCGCCCCGTAAGACAAAGGGAGGGAGGTCTCCCCAGGTCTTGCCCCATTTCGCCGACATGTCGCCCAGAGGTCAGGCAGGGAACCTACATCTTCCACGTCCTTCCGATCCAGCCCAGCCTCATCCTCACCCAGTCCAAAGTAATATAAATAGTAATGTATAATATATAAGAGACAATACATATAATGATATAATAATACAAGTCTTACGCACAACTTAAGTTATACTGTCTGAATTTAGACCTGGGTTTCATTAGTGTGCAGGTTAATGTTGTGATGTCAGGGCATAATTCGAAATGAAACATCACTTTTTAAGATGCTGCAACCAGAAAATGTTTGTAAAAAAAAAAAAAAAAAAAAAAAAAAAGACTAAACTATCATTTGATTATTAAAATTGTTGATTTTCTGCCAATGGACTCGATTGATTAACTAATAGTTGCAGCTGTAGTGTTATCTAATTTTCTGCAGTGACACGCCCCCACATTAATGTTGGCTGGGAAGTGTGAATGTTTGGCTTTGAGTGACAGTACTGATACAGAGAGCCGCAGCATTATAGTTTATATTTCCTTATACATGAAGTGAGAATTCAAATTTCAGAGACCCTAAATTTCAATTTAGGGTTCTATAAGAACAAAAAGCATGTACATATTACAAGAAAAAGCAAATGCTTAAGTGTCTAAATAAGATGACAAATAGGAAATGGGAAATGAAGCCATCAGGTGAAAAAAAGGCATAAGAGAAACTTGTTTGTTCAGACAAGAAGGTGACTGTGTATATGTGCTTTATGGTGGGATTTAAAAGCCACAATGCCAGCAGACTGAATATCAAATACTCTTAAGTTTTGTTTTATTATCTCAGTCTTATTACAATGTTATGTGCTTTTTATTGATTACTGTTTTATTGTATAAGTCAGATATTTTCTAACTTCTTTCTAACTTTCTATCATTTCTTAAATTACTCTCGTGCACAGGAGCAACCCTGTCTTATAAATAAACACACTTTGCTAAAGAAGTTTTGGGAGAATATTTTTATTCCTCACACAAATCATTTATGTAGATTGTTGGACACACAAAACTTTGCACTTTGGAAAAATCTCAAAGTCTTGTACCTCATCTGTTGTTGAGAAGTAGCTTCTCTGATTTTAGTTTTACACTCCCATAACAGCGGGACTCATGATGAACTGTATCAGCAGCTTCCTCCTTGTCTGAACCTGGGACCTACGTTACCCACAATGCAACTTGGGATTCAAGTGAGTTATCCTAGTAGCAGCTAATGTAGCCTCTAGCTTCAAGCAGAGATGGGCAGTCAGGTAAACTAACTTCTTTTAAACTCATCATTCACAGATGTTTTTTTTTTTTTTTCAAACAATAGCTTTGAGTAAAACGGAAGCTTTAGTTGCTGTGAGCTGGTACAAAACAAATGAAACGTTGTCAGTTTGCAGAGATGTAGAGTGTGAAGGTTTTTTTTGATACATTGATGAAAACAATTCATACAGCATTATATTTTCTACAAAACACACAATAAACATCCACAACCAAAGCAAAACAAGTTGTATATGAACAAAAGACCAGGAACACACTGGTAACGGGTTAGAGCGGACACACTGGCTGCATGAGACGCCTCGTGGCCACATTGCGTGGTCTATTTTTCAAACATGATGTGCATGTAGTAGCAAAAATAGACAGAGGAAATTCCCTTGATGTCATATTGACATCATACCAGCAACAATACATAAAACTGACACCTTCCATTATAGTTGAAATACACCATATTGCCAAAAGTATTCACTCACCCATCCAAATAATTGAAATCAGGTGTTCCAATCACTTCCATGGCCACAGGTGTATAAAATCAAGCACCAAGGCATGCAGACTGTTTCCACAAACATTTGTGAACGAATGGGTCGCTCTCAGGAGCTCAGTGAATTCCAGCGTGGTACTGTGATAGGATGCCACTTGTGCAACAAGTCCAGTTGTGAAATTTTCTCCTAAATATTCCACAGTCAACTGTCAGTGGTATTATAACAAAGTGGAAGCGATTGGAAACGACAGCAACTCAGCCCCGAAGTGGTAGGCCACGTAAAATGATGGAGCGGGGTCAGCGGATGCTGAGGCGCATAGTGTGCAGAGGTCGCCAACTTTCTGCAGAGTCAATCACTACAGACCTCCAAACTTCATGTGGTCTTCAGATTAGCTCAAGAACAGTGCGTAGAGAGCTTCATGGAATGAGTTTCCATGGCCGAGCAGCTGCATCCAAGCCATACATCACCAAGTGCAATGCAAAGCGTCGGATGCAGTGGTGTAAAGCACGCCACCACTGGACTGTAGAGCAGTGGAGACCCGTTCTCTGGAGTGACGAACCGCTCGCAAACGGTATTTGTCTGACTGCATTGTGCCAAGTGTAAAGTTTGGTGGAGGGGGGATTATGGTGTGGGGTTGTTTTTCAGGGGCTTGGCCCCACCAAGAGATTTTGGACAATTCCATGATCCCAACTTTGTGGGAACAGTTTGGGGATGGCCCCTTCCTGTTCCAACATGACTGTGCACCAGTGCACAAAACAAGGTCCATAAAGACATGGATGAGAGAGTTTGGTGTAGATGAACTTGACTGGCCTGCACAGAGTCCTGACCTCAACCCGACAGAAGACCTTTGGGATGAATTAGAGCGGAGACTGAGAGCCAGGCCTTCTCGTCCAACGTCAGTGTGTGACCTCACAAATGCAGAATGAAGAATGGTCAAAAATTCCCATAAACACACTCCTAAACCTTGTGGAAAGCCTTCCCAGAAGAGTTGAAGCTGTTATAGCCACAAAGGGTGGACCGACGTCATATTAAACCCTATGGATTAAGAATGGGATGTCACTTAAGTTCATATGCGAGTCAAGGCAGGTGAACCAATACTTTTGGCAACATAGTGTATGTCTGGGCTGAATCTGAATATGATACAAACATGACAAAATATGAACATACATTTGAACTGTTTTAGCAGCTGCATGTGGAGAGAGTGACACTTCAGTGACACTGTCTGTCACAAATAAATCAGAAATTAATTTATAATGAAAAGAAATTCAACATTTGAGTAACTTGCAAACTGTAACTGGCAGCAGCAGTTGAGGTAGATTTTACACAATGACATTACATTTGTACCACCAACATGGCAGTGCAACTTCCACATGGGTGTCAAGTGGCAGTTCCTGTGTGTTTTTTTTTTTTTTTTAGCTTATATGTGTTTACACTTTGTTATTAGAAGTTCCGGCTTTCAGTGTGTTATGCAGACGACTGTTACTTTGACACTAGAGTAAACTTAAAAACTTGCCTGACTAACTCTCAGGCAAGATCTGGAGTCATGAGGAGCTTTACCTCTGCCAAGGAGGTCATGTTTTCACCTGTGTCGGTTTGTTTGTCGGCAGGATTATACACGTACTGAACCAATTCACACAAAACTTGGTGGGACATGGGTCAGGGAAGAACCCATTCAATTTTGGTGCAGATCCGGTTAAAGGGCAGGGGCAGGACCTTGATGTAAATGATCAGACTTTTTTATGGTGTAATTTGGTGCAGATCCATATAAAAATCTGGATCCAGATAATAATCTGGATCTGCTGGAAGAAAATCAGAATCTGCGTCACACACAGTTGTACTTATTATTAATAGTAAGTTACAGTGCATACAGTATATATTAAATGCAACTCAGCGTTGTGACAATTTATTCATTTTTGGAGCTGTCAATCATCTGTCCACCAGCTCTGGATTGGACGAGCTATGCATTGGCAGAGGACATCCTGGACAGGTCACCAGTCTATCACAAGGCCGACACATGGAGATAAAAAACCATTTACACTCACATTCGTGCTTCAAGTTAAAGTCGATTTTTTTTTTTTTTTTTTTTTTTTTTTTTTTTAATTTACAATTTCACTGTAAATCACACACGTTTTGCAGTTGATGGGGACTTGAGGAGAGGTCAGTGTGTGCTGTTTGGAGGTGGGACATTATTTGGAGAAGTGACAAGTTCCTGTTTCAGTAGTAAAGAAGGATGATAACAGCGTGAAAACATCAGAGCCTCAGACATGAAAGTCTATCACACTTTGATCTGCTGCTTCTTCCTCAGTGAGTATATTCTCTTTTTTCTCTATACCACTATACTTAGTCCTCCATTTTCTTTTCTTAGAGTTGGGTCAATGGTCAGTTTCTTGTGAGTGGTTTGATACAACATGATGCTCTTTAAAATTACATGTGCTTTTTACTTTCTTAAGATAAAGTTTGAAGTAAGGAATGAGGAGTTTCCAGAAAGTAACCTGACTATTTTCAGTTGGTGTCCCGCAGTAAAGTAGTGGAACCAACAAAAACTTCATATTTCCATGGAACAAGTTTTATTCAGTTGGTTGACAGACTGCAAGTAACATTTTGTTTCTGTTTGGTTAAAAAGCATTTCAACTATTTTTTCACATTTCTGGAATCAGCTCTTGTTCTGCTTATTTTGTTCAAAACTAAAAAAAGTCCTTCAGCCCAGCCACAGTCGAGTCTGTTATAGCTTCTCTGCATTTAAACCATCTAGTGCATTAAAGGAGAAGAGAAACATGTAGTCATAGTGATGCTGCCAGCATTTCAAAGCCACACGGTGTGGATGAAACTTCATGTACTTGTTGAGGTTCACAATTTTTCAAGTAAAACAATAACTAGGTGCCAGTGTGATCACTGAGACACTTGTTGCTTGCTGTAATCATTCATCCTGTTCAACCTGGTCATCAAAAGGCTCCACTTCCAGCGTCCAGTTATATGATGTTAATATGAGGCTTCAGTGCTCTGAGTGAGAAAATTGGGTATGTGTATTTAAATATAGATATGCACTAAGAATAATAATATACGTAATGTGAATTAACTTCTGCAATTGGAGTCTTATAACCCTAACAGAGTAAATGTTGACACGTTCATTCACGTGTCAATTCACAAAAGATGTGGCAGGATTTTAGTTTCGGGATCAGCAAACAGAAACCAAAGGAAAATGGAAACGTCGCTGTCAGTTTCTTGATATCAGAGCCGAGACAATTTAGTTTGATATTAGTTTGATGGCTCCATCTGTGAAGGAATGTTTCCTTCATTATGTCTTAGGTATGTCTTATGTTTATTTTAGCATGTTGTGCTTATATTTATACAACAATAAAATATTAAATGCTAAAAAGATTTGGTGGCATGCATAAAAACAAACCGGTGGTTAATGTTCAGCTTGTACCATGGCTGAAATGTGAGCGTGATAGTCTGAAGATTCAGTACAGTAGCCATTAGAAGCGCAAACATCCTCTGACTTACGGTGGCCCTGAGAGCTCAATGCAGTGTTTGCGTTTTGTCAGTTGCGGTGCGTTGAGCCCTCAGGGCCACCGTACTTACTGCACTAATGTCTGTTATAAAAGATGACAAAATTTTCTCTTGAATATTCAGCTTCTTCTCATGTATGTTTTTATTGAGATTCATATTAGTGATTACTATTAATAATTCTTAAATATAATGTTGTTGACTAAGTCATTTTTTTAAATGAGTTTTGCACAAAACAACAATGATTATAATCAGCAGAATGAGACTAAAACAATCCATAAGTTCAAAGGTATGACCTCCTTGTTTTCTTCTTCCAGGCCGAAAACGACTAGGTTTAAACTCGCTCCCTGTGGTACTGTTGACAACGTCGTCTACTCGGTGTCCTGAAGCTTCGCCTCTTCTGTTCTCTGTGACTTTGCCTCAGCTGTAACGTCAACGCTGCTGCTTCCACATTTACTTTCTCAGTAGCCAGCAGCTGATAGGTAAAAATAATTACTGTAAATCATGTGAAGCGTTGGCTTTATGTCACCATGAGTGGTGACACCTGTTGTGACTGATTTGTAGGTGATGAAGACAAGCCGGGGGGGGGGGGGGTTAGGGGTGAGGTCGAGACAGAAAAAGCAGGGTGGGATCCACAGGTTGAAGAAAAAGAGGAAAAAGGATCATTTCAAAGATGCCAATATGTACGTTGTATTTCCTTATAATTTCAGTTAATTAGGCTGAACGTTAGTGTTTGTGTGCATCTGTTTTTGTCAATATTCTATTCTATTATTATCATTAATCTTAAAGGTATCAGCTATTTATTTTGAAGGAATCTGTTTTCTTTTTTAAGGGATCTAATTATTTGAGTATTAAATATTTTGGTTAATTTCAGATTATTATAAGAAAATATGTGAGCCACCAATAAAACAGTTTTATTTATAACATTGTCTTGGCTACGTTATTTAAAGAAGGGAGCAGCTATAAGTAAAGAAGCCTGGATTTTAATGTGTACATATCAGGTTAGTTTTCCTTTAAATGGGTTAACCTTCATGGGAGCTACCTCTATTAACAAACCCAAATGGTCCTATTGTTCCAGTGTAAACTCAGTTTTTCATAATTAATTAAAACATTAACTTGTGGAATTACAGTCTATGGGTCTCCCTTTTTCTGTTTAAAGATACAAACACTCATTTAAAGTTAGAACATGTAACTTTTCCACATTAAAATGTCTAAAAATAACTAGACATATATCTTTTCTTGGAGTTGTGTAATGAAATTATCCCAAATGTTTCTAGCAATTTTCAAACCTAGAGAAATTCGTAATATTAATCAATATCAATCACAACAGTCGTTTCATTTGGTCAAAGAAATGCTTGATGCGGAGGGGAGGAGAGACGAGTTGAGTGTGTGTTGTGTTTGGAGGCGGGACTCCTGGTTCATCAGTGAAGAAGGAAGAGAGGCAACGTTACACTATCAGAGCGTCAGACATGGAAGTCCACCACACTCTGATCTGCTTCTTTCTCAGTGAGTAGACTGACTTTTTTCACTCTTCTTACCACCCAATTTTTCTGAGATGTGTCACTTGTTATCTCCTATACTTAAGTTGTAGGATTTTCCTTTCTCTGAAATAAAATCTTCTCCTCTTCTTTTTTTATACATTTTATATTTGCCTTTTGTTGTATTTAGGCCGTTGGACGAAGTACAGTTAGAATTATGTTGCATCAACTTGTCAATGGCTGAGACACTAATGGCTTCACAACAGAAGAATATCTCAAATAGATTCTGCAAAAAGATTAAATATGTTAGCTGCAAGTTGCTACCAAAGTAAATCTACACAGTCAGTGACTCTTGCTTTTCTTAACTTGCTGTTTGCTAAAAAACAGTTAAGTCAAACTGAGGAGAGAAAGCAATTAACTTCCATTAATTCATCGGAACAGCGCTGCAGCAGTAAACCACAGTCTGCAGCCTTGTGGTCAAACTGAGAGCTGTGCATGTGAACACATCAAATCCTCATTTCACATGAAAAGAGGCAGTGAAGTGATCATGAACTCATGTTGTAACAAATACAAACCCAAATTCCAAAGAAGTTGGGACATTGTGTAAAATGTAAAATAAAAACAGAATACAGTGATTTGCAAATCCTTTTTGACCTACATTAATTTGAATACACTACAAAGACAAGATATTTAAAGTTCAAACTGAAAAACTTTATTTTTTTTTTTTCAAATATTCACTCATTTTGAATTTGATGCCTGCAACACGTTCCAAAAAAGCTGGGACAGGGGCAACAAAAGATTGGGAAAGTTGAGGAATACTCAAAAATCACCTGTTTGGAACATTCCACAGGTGAACAGGTTAATTGGAAACAGGTGAGTGTCATGATTGGGTATAAAATGAGCATCCCCGAAAGGCTCAGTCATTCACAAGCAAGGATGGGCCGAGGTTCACCACTTTGTGAACAACTGCGTGAGCAAATAGTCCAACAGTTTAATAACGTTTCTCAACGTACGATTGCAAGGAAGTTAGGGATTTCATCATCTACAATCCATAATATCATCAAAAGATTCAGAGAATTTGGACAAATCTCTGCGTGTAAGCAGCAAGGCCGAAAACCAACATTGAATGCCCGTGACCTTCGATCCCTCAGGCGGCACTGCATTAAAAACCGACATCATTCTGTAAAGGATATTACCACGTGGGCTCAGGAACACTTTGGAAAACCATTGTCAGTTAACACAGTTCGACGCTACATCTACAAGTGCAAGTTAAAACTCTACCATGCAAAGCGAAAGCGATATATCAACAACACCCAGAAACGGCGCCGGCTTCTCTGGGCCCGAGCTCATCTGAGATGGACTGACGCAAAGTGGAAAAGTGTGCTGTGGTCTGACGAGTCCACATTTCAAATTGTTTTTGGAAACCATGGACGTCGTGTTCTCCAGGCTAAAGATGAAAAGGACCATCCAGATTGTTATCAGTGCAAAGTTCAAAAGCCAGCATCTGTGATGGTATGAGGGTGTGTTAGTGCCCATGGCATGGGTAACATCTGTGAAGGCACCATTAATGCTGAAAGGTACATACAGGTTTTGGAGCAACATATGCTGCCATCCAAGCGACGTCTTTTTCAGGGACGTCCCTGCTTATTTCAGCAAGACAACGCCAAGCCACATTCTGCACGTGTTACAACAGCGTGGCTTCGTAGTAAAAGAGTGCGGGTACTAGACTGGCCTGTCTGCAGTCCAGACCTGTCTCCCATTGAAAATGTGTGGCGCATTATGAAGCGCAAAATACGGCAGCGGAGACCCCGGACTGTTGAGCAACTGAAGTCGTACATCAAGCAAGAATGGGAGGGAATTCCAGCTACAAAGCTTCAACAATTAGTGTCCTCAGTTCCCAAACGCTTGAGTGTTGTTAAAAGGAAAGGTGATGTAACACAGTGGTAAACATGCCCCTGTCCCAGCTTTTTTGGAACGTGTTGCAGGCATGAAATTCAAAATGAATATGTGAATATTTGCAAAAAAAAATAATAAAGTTTTTCAGTTTGAACTTTAAATATCTTGTCTTTGTAGTGTATTGAATTTGATTAAGGTCAAAAAGGATTTGCAAATCACTGTATTCTGTTTTTATTTACATTTTACACAATGTCCCAACTTCTTTGGAATTGGGGTTTGTAGAAAAATTAAAAAGAAGAACTTCCATCCTGCTGCTGAGTGTCTGCCGACATCTCCAATGTGTTCAGCTGCTCAGACTGGTCTGGTGTAAATGCAATTAAAAAAAATAGGATGTCATCTTCCTAAATGTTAGCTACCTGGATAAATTCATGAAAAATCACAAAAATGGTGACAAGCTCAGATCAGACAGATGCAGCTGTACTGGTTGGAAGTCGACTTGCAGAAATAAAAAGTCCTATATGGTATATTTTTTCTTTTTTCTTTTTATTTGACTGTCATGAGAAATTTCCAGTAAACTGCTCTTAGCAACCGCTACCAGAGCTTCTGTGCCGACTGAAAATCAGCAGGACAGATGATACTGATTGGTTAAGACAAAACAAATTAGCCACCAACTTCAAGGCCTCAGGGCATGATGGGAAATGCCTGGCTCTCCTCTGATCTATGAGCTGATTGGTTTAGATGTTGGACTGATAACATGATGTTTTATAGACATTTTTTTTGTTTAATTGGAAAGATTTTGATTTAATTAATCTGATTTTACCTTATGAAGTTTTATTCTAATATTGAACAGAATAAATGTTGTGTGGTGACTGCATATGTTCAGCCTGTATTACAGTTGTGAAGCCTAAATATCTTGCAGACTAATAATGAAAACTTATATCTTGTGTTTCTGTGACTTCCTGTTCAGACTGTGTAGGCTACAGCGAACTGTCTTGACTGCAGCTTGTTGCCCCCTGCTGCCCCCACCTGCTCTTGTCTGCTCTCCGGACGAAGTGCAGTTCATCTTGAGCGAGTCTGATTATCTAAACCTGCTGGGCAATAAAATTCAGTTTTATCAACTCTGGTATCAGTTCATTGGAACCACTTTTTTGTTTATTCTTGTTGAATCGAAGACATTAATTACAGTTAAAATCTGAATCTTTTTGACGACATCAAAACTGAATCAAATTGTGTTGGACTGTGGTGGAAGTAGGAAGCTCCCACTGTGACTGTGTAAATGTGAAGCAGGAATTATTATCATTGGTCGCAGTATCTTATTAGAAAATAATAAGTGATTGTTCATCTTTTTAACAGTGCTGCAGGATGTTAAGACTGGGCTCATTAATGCAGAAACACGCATCTATACAGGAACTGAAGGAGGAAACATCAAAGTCTCATGCTCATTTCTCTTCCATGGAAATACGAAGATCTTCTGTAAGGACAAATGTGAAAAAAAAGAAGACATTCTCCTTGAAACAACAAGTGACAGAGCTGAGAGAGGCAGATACAGGATTGAATATGAAAGAGGAGCTTTTACAGAAAGAGCAACTCTGTATGTGAGCATCACACAGCTGAACATGTCTGACTCTGGACGGTACTGGTGTGGTTTGGAAAGATTTGGTCCATATGGACACGACGAGTTTGAGATCAGAGTCATAGAAGGTGAGTTTCTACTGAAATTATAGAAATGTTCCCTCATGTCTCTGCAGGTGTGAAGAAACTTTCACTGTTCCCTGACAGCTACTTACAGTATGTTTCTAATATGATAAAAAAAACTTAGTGGTGCTTATGTTCATCACTGTGAACACTGGTTAAAGCTCAATATAACAATGAGTTACTCACATGCAGACACACAGGTTTATCTGAATATTAATGAACTAGACAGTTAACCTACTTAACCCAGTGTTGTAATGATTAAAAAGTGTTTACCTGTTTGAAGATGACTGAGTCATTTCACTGAAATTTAGTTTTCAGCCTGTAACATCAGGAGGAAAACATCCTGTCATCCCGATTTATCTGTATCAGTTACTGATTGTTTCATTGTTCACAGCTTCAACTACTTCAAAACCAAACTTGACTCTACGACCGTCGTCAACTTCACTCCCACCATCCTCCACACCTTCAGCAGCCACCAATCAGCCTGAGACATCACCTGCAGGTATGTCACACATACAAAGGTGTTTCTCAGCATAAAAACCACTCTGAGCTCTAAGTTTCTCTTTTCAACAAAAAAAAAGTTTACACCAACAATTGAATTCTAATCCTTTCTGCTTTTCCTTTTTAAGAATTTGTTGTAAAGCTACTGTCAATGAAACTCAACACTTCCTGCACAGATTTTATTCTTGTGCTTTAAGGGACACATTTCTTCCCTCTACTGATTGGCTTTATTAATTATGAGAGATAGTAGATGTTCTTCGGTCCCCTTTCCCTCTGTGTTCTATATCTAGCTGTACTTTGGGAATCAGCCTTTATTTGTTATTGGTTACTGGTTATTCTGGTTTATATTTCAGAATTTGCACTATATTTTGATAGATGTGTTTTTATTACACAAACTGTAATGACCATAAATGTGAAAATACCACAAATAAGTAGTGTTGAGCTGCTGCTAAACAGTAATACAAAAATCAGTTCTTGTTTTATAGACATGACCTGTCTGAGGTGTAAAAACACCTGGATTTCTTCTTATCAGCTTTGTAGCATCTGTTTTGATTATGTTTTTGTTGTTCACCACTCCAAATATTTCTCCTGAAAACAATGAAGAACCGTCACATACAGGTCACAGATTTGTCTGCTTTATCTTAAATACAATTAAAATAAAAAAAAACAAACAAAAAAAACTGATCAACATTATTTAATTATAATTAAATCTACAACACAATAAAGTGTGCAATTTAAATGGCGTGAATACTTCCTGAAGCCGCTGTATTTCTTGTAACAGGAAGAATTTCCATCCTCTTTTCTTCCCCTCTCTCCTCCTTTCTCTCGTCCAGGTTTCTTCCTGGTTTTGGTTGTATGCATCCCTGTGCTTATGGTGGTCGTGCCATTGGCTGTTGTTTTGTTGCTGTTGCTCTACAAAAAAAAGATGAAGGACTCTTGTGGTGAGTTACCTTCCAACTGTATCTGCACCTTTTAATAATAACTAATTTTAAGAATGAAAATCTTGTATCTCTTCTGCAGGTTTAAAGACAAGAGGAAACTCGGACCACAGCAACACTGAGGTGACTTTCTTCAGCTAATCTTTCTCTGTTTCCTCTCGCTGTGGCCTTTACAGTTGCTGCTACTGCATTTGTTTTCAAGAGACGGACACAAGCATGACTTGGTGGACTTAAATAGTCACACTTTTCACAGAAAGAAGAAGGGCTTAGACATGTCACAAACCACAACTACATAGTTCACTTCTCTGTATGCATGACAAGATGTTTCAAACACTCCAAATACACAATTACTGCTTCCACTCCTGCTTTCAGCACTACGACTGTATCTCAGCTGCGCTGTCATTTCCTGTCAAGTCAGTAAAGTTGCTGTTGTTTCTTTTTAATTCAGTGTGTCACCTATGAGAACTGTCCTCCACCCTCTACATGTGAAGACTCCACCTACCAGAGCCTCAATCCAGCCAGCAGGGACCATGACCAAACCTACTCTACACTCACCTATACATGATACTGTCTGGATTTATACATGGATTCTGTTGATGTGCAGGTTAATGTTGTGATGTCAGGCATAATACGACTTGAAACATTTCTTTTTAAGATGCTGCAACCAGGAAATGTTTGACATGTTTGTTTAACTTGATTATTAAATAGTGACAGTGCTGATACAGAGAGCTGCAGCATTATAGTTTATATTTCCTTATACAGGAAGTGAGAATTCAAATTTCAGACAAACAAGATATAGTGTTCTATAAGAACAACAAGGATGTAAAAATTACAAGAAAAAGCAAATGCTAAATAAATGATCTAAATAAATGACAAATAGGAAAAAGTAAAAAGAAGCCATCAGGTGAAAACAGGACATAAGAGAAACTTGTTTGTTCAGACAAGAAGGTGAATATCAAATACTCTGAAGTGTATTATCTCAGTCTTATTACAATGTTATGTGCTTTTTATTGATTACTGTTTTATTGTATAAGTCAGATATTTTCTAATGTATGTAATTTCTTAGATTACTCTCGTGCACAGGAGCAACCCTGTCTTATAAATAAACACATGTACATTAACTTTGCCAAAGAAATTTTGGGAGAATATTTTTATTCCTCACACAAATCATTTGTTTTGGTTTGTGTAGATTGTTGGACACACAAAACTTTGGACTTTGACACCAGAGACAAATGTCAAAGTCATGCATCTCATCTGTTGTTGAGACGTTGCTTCTGTGATTTTAGTTTTACACTCCCATAACAGTGGGACTCATGATGAACTGTATCTAAACAAGATCTATCATAATTGATGCAGCAGCTTCCTCCTTGTTTAAACCTGGCACCTACGTTACCCACAATGCAACTTGGCATTCAAGTGAATTATCCTAGTAGTAGTTAATGTAGCCTCTAGCTTCAAGCAGAGATAAGGAGCAGTCAGGTAAAGTCACTTCTTTTAAACTCAGCATCCACAGATGTTTTTTTATTTTCAAATGAGCTTTGAGAGATATAGAGTGTGGAGGTTTTCTTGATACATTGATACAGCATTATATTTTCTACAAAACACACTAAACATCCACAACCAAAGCAAAACAAGTTGTATATGAATGAAAAGCCAGGAACACACTGGCTACGTTGTGTGTGTGTTGCCACTGTGGACCATCTTGGTTTTCATTTTCCCGTGCATAGTTACGTGTTAGAGTGGACACACTGGCTGCATGAGACACACATCTCACGCCTTGCAGCCACGTGGTGTGATCTATTTTTCACAAAAAGACCTGTTAATATAACATAAACATATTGACATCATACCAGCAACTTTACATAAAACTGACACCTTCCACTATAGTTGAGATATGTCTGGGCTGAATCTGAATATGATAAAAACATAAGAAAATATGAATATATTTTTTAACCGTTTTAGCAGCTGCATGTGGAGAGAGTGGCACTTCAGTGACATTTTCTGTCACAAATAAATTAAAAATTAATTTATGATGAAAAGACATCCGACTTTCGAGTAACCTGCAAACTCTACGTAGAGAGATAGAGCTGGTAGCAGTAGAGAGGCAGCAGAGATGTAACTGGCATGAATACACACGTGTGCTTCTCCGCAGCAGCTCAGCGACATCAGCCGCAACACAGGCAATGTGATCCCGGCGTAACTTTTAGGAGACAGTGTTGTGGTATGTAAGTGATATTAGGTCTGTTAAGTTTTTCTTCTTCCTCTTTTGTGGAGATGTTTTTTTTATGTTTATGTTTCTTTTAAGATTAAAAAAAATAATAATATCAAAGAAAGTTATGACATCATGGAGTTCATTTTTTATCTAGACAGTGTTGTTGTTTCTGGATGTTTTATGTAAGAAAAATATGTCTTGTGTCAATGTGACTTCCCGTTCAGACTGTGAAGTCTACAGGAAACTTTTCTGAATGCACTTTGTTGCCCCTTGCTGCCCCAAACTGCTCTTGCCAGGCGCAGTTCCAAGGGTGTAGGTTTGGTCTCAACATCAGTAGGGATGCAACATCCCCGCTACTCCTCCAAAACAAAGAGATTGATTTTTTAATGTCTTCAACCAAACAGTTTATTCTGAAAGTAAATTCAGAAATTTACATTGAGAAAATCCCATGAGCAAATGTAATATATACTTGTGTTGAATTTCCATAGAAAAAATATATGTATATATGAAGTAAAATCATATATGTAATACGGTATAGCCTATGCGTGTGAAAATTACATTTGAAACCTGTTACAAATTGGAACAATATCATATGTTGACATATAAGTCTAGCTAATAGAAACATGCATTTTAGTATGTCTGTTTATATCATAGGTTTATAGTATAAACATATGTAACATGAATATATATGCATCCCAAAGCCTATCAGTCTATGTTCATTGTATATGGGTTATATATATGCATTGTTGTTTTAATAAAGTTGCATTTTACTATGAGTATTCCATATGTGTTATAAAATAATATCTTCATATATCCAAGGGATGTATATATGTCATAATAATATATCCTCTTATAGATGGCACATATGGTTACATCACTCTTGATATAGGGAAAAATATGTCATATACAGTATATGTTATAATTCATAGTATAGTAAGGAATAAAAATCACCATAGTATAATAATTAATAAAAATGTGAAAGAACATCATAGTATATTAAGCGATAAAAATGTCATAAAAACATCATAATATAGTAAGGAATAAAAATGTCAGAAAATGTCATAGTATAGTATGTCAAAAAAAAGTCTAAGTATGATATGGCATAAAAATTTCAAAATAAGTCATAGTATAGTATGGCATAAAAATGTCATGAAAAGTCATAGCATAGTATGTCATGAAAATGTAAAAACACGTCATTGTGTAAAAATATCAAAAAAAGTTGTAATATAATATGGAATAAAAAGTACATTGTATAGTAAGGCATAAAAATGTCAAAGAACGTCACAGTATAATGAGGCATAAAAAGTCATAGTATACTATAGCATAAAAACATCATAGTATAGTATGGCATAGAGCTGACAAAACACTTCATAGTATAATAAGGAAAAAAATAGAATAAAAAAAAGTCATACTACAATAGGGCATAGAAAGTCACTGTAGTACTTATAGTATAAGATAACAATGTCAAAAAATGTCATATTATAACAACGCATAAAAAGTCATAGTATAGTAAGGCATAAAAATGTCTTAAAATGCAAAAAAGGACGCAACAAAAAGGACCCTTTGTTGGGATTCGGACACACAGCCTCCAGATTCAGTGACATCAGTTCTAATCATTGTACCACCAACAAGGCTCATTTCTTATAGATAGTACAGTAAGACATAAAGGGCCATATTATAGTAAGCCATAAAAATGTCAAAAAACATCATTATATAGTAAGGTACTGTATATAAATATCAAAAAACATCATAGTATAGTATGGCATAAAAATGTCATTGTATACTAAGGCATAAAAATATCATGAAAAGTGATAGTATAGTATGTCGTGAAAATGTCAAAAAGACGTCATAGTATAGCAAGGCCTTAAAAGTGAAAAAATGACATAGTATAGTATGGCAACAAAGTGAAAAAAACAACATAGTATAGTATGGCAAAAAAAGTGAAAAAAACGACATAGTATAGTACGCCATTAAATGACAAAATACGGCATAGTACAGTAAAAAATGAAAAAAACAAAAACAACATAGTATAATATTGCATAAAAATGTGAATTTTTTAAAATTTTTCATGCCAGACTATAGTATCACGTTTTTTTGTCATTTTTATGCCTTACTATACTATGAAATTTTTATACCATACCAAACATTGATGTTTTTTGACATTTTTATGCCATACTATACTATAAGGTTTTTTATGACATACTACACTATGATTTTTTACTACATAGTATAGTATGATGTTTTTTTGATGTTCTGATACCTCAAACTACCTTTGCTCTTTGAAGAGGTAGATTGATAGAGTAGTGCTTAGAGTTATTACCTTACAATCAGAAGGTCATGGGTTCGAAACCCACCCCTGGCACATTTGTGTGTGGAGTTTGCATGTTCTCCCTGTTCTTGTTAACTTTTCTCCAAATAGTGTGACATTTTAATACATACTATACCATTCAATTTTTTGTCATTTTTATGCCTTACTATACTACGACAATTTCTATGATATACTACACTATGATTTTTCTACTACATAGTATACTATGACGTTTTTTTGACATTCTTATAGCTCAAACCACCTTTACTCATTGAAGAGGTGAATTGATAGCGCAGTGCCTAGAGTTGTTGTCTCACAATCAGAAGGTCATGGGTTCGATCCCTACCTCTGGGACCTTTGTGTGTGCACTTTGCCAGTTCTCCCTGTGCTTGTTAACTTTTTATGCCTCAGTATAGTGTGACATTTTAATACATACTATACCATTCCGTTATTTGTCATTTCTATGCCTTATCATACTACGACAATTTCTATGACATACTACACTATGATTTTTTAAGACATAGTATACTATGACGTTTTTTTGACATTGTTATACCTCAAACTACCTTTACTCTTTGAAGAGGTGGATTGATAGAGCAGTGCTTAGAGTTGTTGCCTCACAATCAGAAGGTCATGGGTTCGAAACCCACCCCTGGGACATTTGTGTGTACACTTTGCATGTTCTCCCTGTGCTTGTTAACCTTTCTCCTAATAGTGTGACATTTTAATACATACTATACCATTAAATTTTTTGTCATTTTTACGCCTTACTATACTATGACAATTTCTATGACATACTACACTATGATTTTTTACTACATAGTATACTATGACGTTTTTTTGACGTTCTTATACCTCAAACTACTTTTGCTCATTGAAGAGGTGGATGGATAGAGCAGTGCATAGAGTTGTTAACTTACACTCAGAAGGTTATGGGTTCGACTCCCACCTCTGGGACCTTTGTGTGTGTACTTTGCCAGTTCTCCCTGTGCTTGTTAACTTTGTATGCCGCAGTATAGTGTGACATTTTAATACATACTATACCATTCCATTATATGTCATTGTCACGCCTTACTATACTATGACAATTTCTATGACATACTACGCTATGATTTTTTACTACATAGTATACTATGACGTTTATTTGATTTTTTCATAACTCACACTACTTCTCTTTTCAAGAAGTGGATTGGTGGAGCCGTGCTTTGACCTGTTACCCTACGATCAGAAGGTCATGGATTCAAATCCAAGGTCTAGGACCTTTTTTTGTGGACTTTGCATGTTTTACTTGTCCTTGTTAACTTTATATGCCTTAATATATTTGTGACGTTTTAATACTTAGCCATTCCATTTTTTGTAATTTTAATGCCCTACTAATACCCTTGCTCGACTATGACGTCTTAATACCCTGATATACTATGACGTTTTTTGATTTTTCTATACCTTATTATACTATGTCTTTTTTTCACTTTTTTAGCCATACTATACTGTGGTGCCTTTTTCACTTTTTTGCCATATGTTGTTTTTTTCACTTTTTTGCCATATTCTGTGTCAGTC